TGCTCGTTATGTTTCTCAAATAATATCAATCTACACTGGTGTCATACCAGAGATATATTTGATCGCATCAGTTACTGCCGTTGTGGTAACATTAATTCTGTGTGTCATTATCTTTTATGGTAAATTGGTTTTGATTGCAAGGCATCAGGCAAGGCGTATAGCAGCAGCTGAGATCAATGCTGCAGATGCACAGGTTCAGCTACATCGCTCAAATATCAAATCTCTCAAAACATTTCTGATTATCACAGGCACTGTCTGTGTCACTTGGCTGCCTTCATTTGCACTAATTGCTGTGAAGGATCCCTGTCTTTGGACATTGTTTGATGGTCTGCGTTACAGCAATTCCTGGCTGAATACAATCATCTATTGCTGGAGAAATGAAGCTTACAGGAAGGTTGCCAAAAGGCTCATTTGTCGAAGTGGCAGAGCGTGACGCTCAACAAATGCACTCAAACGCAGCAAAAAAAACCGTGAAGACTGCTGAAACCCTCTGGGAAGAAATGTCTTTTTAAAGGCTTGACATTGTCCTCTGCTCTCAAGAATACTGATAGTAACTAGACATTCTTGTTTGTTGAGTTACAAATGCAAGGTGATTGGGCAGACAATTATGTCACTGGACATTGCCCAGTTCAGTTGTGAACATTTTTGTCAAAGCTAGAGGTTTGCGTTTGTCTTTTTAACAAACCCAGGGCGATAGGGCATGGACCTTTTTCATTTGGCGTTATCTTACAAAAAGGCCAGATGAGAAACTACTTATTGTATTTTTACTCAGCCTAGTAATCCTGCAATAACTGCTTGGAAAATATAACAACGTACAAAAAGCGATAAACTACTCGAGAGTTGTAATCTAAAGGTTCATTGATGAAAATTTTGTAATTTACCTGGCATAGAAGAGTATGTCAATTTAGAAAACGCTAAAAACACCAATGATTGACAAGTTGTTTTTCAAGCAAACAGTCTGGGACCAGTGATGGTCTGTAGTGCTCATTTCGAAGCAGATTGCATGTCAACAATTAATTGGTTGCCATGATTCTGCCGTGACGCATTTTAGGATGCACAAGTCTTGCTGCGGAACAATTGAGAAGAGCAATGTAAGTTTAAACACAAGAAGCAAAGCTGTGAAGACCTTATCGCGGTCTGGTGGTGTTCAGATGAATGGTTACTTCATTCTTCACATTTTGGAGTTGCTCATGCATCACAGTGAAATGACCTGTGTAGCTTACTGACTACGCTTGCATTGTATCTTGACATCTTGGGTGTGTGCTAATGTCGTTGTAAATATTTGGAATATAGACTCCAATGAGCACCGATTCTTCCCCTTCAAAGCGCAATGGGAAAACTTATTGGCACAAAAGTACATTGTGATGTACACTTGAATATCATACACATGACATGCACTTAGCTGGTTCTGCTTCAGTACTCTTGGGATGGAACTGTACAACACACTACTGAATTGGAGGACAAATGTGTATGACCCAAAGATACATAATGAAACAAGGTCTACATGTACAACCAGAGGTAGCTGTATTATAAGTTGTTTTTCAAGCAAACAGTCTGGGACCTGTGATGGTCTGTATTGCTCATTTCCAAGCAGATAGCACGTCAACAATAAGTTGGTTGCCATGATTCTGCCATGACGCGTTTTAGGATGCAGAAGTCTTGCTGTGACACAGACACAAATGTCACTATTCACGGTTAAAGCATTGGAACAGACTGCTGTACGCATCTAAAGGTGTTACAGCAGCCGATTTCACAAAACAGCGCGTAACTTACGCCATGCGTAGGACTTACGCAACAAATTTATTGCACAGCTGCGCAATAAACTTACAATCGAATAGATCCCATGAAACTTGGCGTAGCTGCGCAAGGTATAACAGTATTTACGATGGCTGTTTGTGCATGATTTTGTTCGTTCATGAGCCTGCCATTTTGAAAATATCTTTGTCTGACTTTTTTCGAAATCGTGGGGCAACACTAAAAACTCTGTCACAAGTAAAATAGCAATTCATTTACTTCAAACACAAAGCTGTGAGTGTCTTTTATCAACCGTGATAAGTTGTGCAATAACAGGCTCCACGACGATCACGATTTGCTGGTGAAACAGGTCATTTTCAGTCACTACACCACAACTTACGCCACCTAAAATGATTGCGCCATATTTTGTTGCTCAATTCGCGGACTATGACACTTTGGTGAAATTGTCATAACTGATATGTTGCACAGTGTGAAATGTTGCACAAGTAGCGCAATAAATTGTTGCACAAGTGGACTTATATGCCATTGCGTGAAGTTTGGAAGAATTTAGAAGACCAATTTAAGCTACATGCGCGGCGTGTACATCCTTTACAGATTTACATCCTGTACAAGTTTGCCTTATACCTCAAACCCGTTTGAGTCAAATATTTGTCGTTTTTTAATCACAATTTCAATCAGACAAAAAAAACATTTCCTAAATGTAAGGAGAGCAAATGAGCCCTCAGTTTCTAGTATTATACACCTAAAAGTTCTGCAAGTGATTTGCATGTTTTCATTAAACTCTTTGATTTGCATAATGTGGCCTTTGTGCTTTCCGTGCAAAGGCAACCTGTGTCAAGTTCTCTTCTGTGGGTTTCAAGCAGAGAAGATCAATGCTAATTTTGGCTGAGAATTCTCTCATTTTGGCATAAAGCTTTGTAAGGCCAAAAAAAAATGTCTCCGGTTTCTGGTATGGAAGCTTGCCCAAAAAGTGGTGCAGCGACGCGGCTTTTTTTTTTTTTTGCTTCAAATGTGTGCCAATAACTGCAAATGGTGCCCGACTAAACTTAGTGCAAATATATGGGAGTCCAGAGAGGCCACATAAACCTTATTCTCGACCATAACCCAATCTAAAAACACAGTGAGTTTGGCGGTTTTGAGACATCATCTTTCATTGAAAAAAAAACTTTTTCATTTTGCCGACGCGCGTGGCTACGGCGACGCGCGCGCATACCAGAAACCGGAGACTTTTTTTTTGTTGGCCTAATGTAAACCATATGTTTGTATTGTAATGTAAACCATATGGGAGGGTAACCATTATGGAGGGTGTTTTAAAAAAAGGAAACCGATCTTATTTTGTTGATTGCACTATAAGACCAATTGACAGTTTTCAGCATGTTGAAAATAACAAAATCCAGGACGTACATTATCAAAGTCATTTATTCAATTGCTAAAACATATCAAGGTTTATCACTGTCCCCGTTAACCCCACTGTCCTTCAACATGCCCCCATTCCTATGAACACAAATCTCTGCCCTGGTTCTCATTGCTGTGAACGCATTCCTGATAACGTCTCTCTCTCTCTGATAACTGTCAATTGGTCTTATGGTCCAGGTGCATGTGGTACAAGGCCATATTTGGCATGTCAGTTACATCACTTGGTGCTCCGTCATCCGTTACGGTAAAATGGAGTTCGTGGTGTCAAGAAAAAGAAGACATGGTTATGTAACAGATGGTGGTTACCATTTTCCTACATAATTAGTCATACCTGAGAAATCAACAAAATAAGCTCGGTTTCCTTTTTTTTTGAAACACCCTGTAGAAACTTTCACTGAGTATTGTTGTAGTTTATGTGATCTCTTTTGACAGACACGATTCATTATTGTATTGTATTGTATTGTATTGTACGTACGCACACAGCTAGTCATGTGTTCAACTTTGACATCCACGTTATATCACTGTGTCATTATATTGTACTACGTAGGCTTGCTAATAAATTGAAGTTCAGGAGATACTAGTCATCGTCATAGTTGTTGTTTTATTGTTTGTTTTGATTGAATTCTCGTCCTTTTTTTTTTAAACACCCTGTAGAAACTTTCACTGAGTATTGTTGTAGTTTATGTGATCTTTTTGTGAGAAAAATTGTGATATTTTCGCGACAGACACGATTCATTATTGTATTGTATTGTATTGTAGTGTACGTACGCACACAGCTAGTCATGTGTTCAACTTTGACATTCGCGTTATATCACTGTGTCATTATATTGTACTACGTAGGCTTGCTAATAAATTGAAGTTCAGGAGATACTAGTCATCGTCATAGTTGTTGTTTTATTGTATATTTTGATTGAATTCTCGTCTGCTTTAAAGAGGTTGTGGAATACTCGAAGACATTTCCGTCATTTTTCGGGTATATGTAGCCTAAGGTGCGATGAAATAAAAACGACTATTGTGTCTGTCATGAAATGAGTACCAAAGGTACTTTTGAGAGCTGTTTTTCAGGTCCTGTTTCGACGCGAACGTGCAATTTGAGTAAAAGTCGTCGTTGGGGGCAGCAAACAAAACGTAGTAAATCGTGACGTAATAAACAGGACTCCCGATGCAGCGTAGTATAAACGAGTCCTGTTTATTATGTCACGATTTTCTCATTTTACGAAGAACCCGACGACTGTTGATTTCAATTATGCGCTCGCCGACCAACAAATTATTCAATGAATTTCAGTTTTTTAAACATATAAACGCACATTACAAAAGAATGGGACTTATGTCATTATGATATATATGGGTCTACTCTACAATAAAAAAAATATAAAAAACAAAACGACTTCAGCATTCCACAACCTCTTTAACTAGAGGAATGTTCCTCTCCCTGGACCTTAACTCCCTAGGCCTTTTTGCTAGGATGTAGCCTCAATCCTGCAAAATCCTGCAATTGGCCTCATGGAAAAATAGCATATAGCCTCAATCCTGCAAATTCCTCCATTATTTCTTGAATGTGGTCCGTGGAGGGGTGACCACTGCCTCAATCCTGCAAAATCCCCCGGCTATGACTGTCAATATTTCGAGGCAGAGGCAGTGACATCTTGGAGCAGTGCGGAGGATTTCAAGTATAATCAAGGACTAAAATTTATGCATGGCTGAGCATAAACACAAGGTCCAGCCCAAGACCTTGACACAGTGCGTCCTCTGAAATCAGTAACGCACTTTTGCCATGTAACCTCAATCCTGCAAATTTCTCCAAACGGTTTTGGAGGATTTGGGATGGTTAAGGTTAATTGACGTGGGTCTGGTCCGCTACACAATCATGTTTCACCTGTCACGTGCACTTGGCTTGCACTTACAGCACAAAATATGTTCGGACAAATATTAAAACAAAGAAAAGGTAAATATCTGATACCCAACTGTAATTTCAGTTTTATGAAATCGATAGAGCGTACCTTCATAAGCGGGCCTTCAATCACATTCAGAGTTCGTGGGTACAATTCTGCGTTTTGTCTGGCTTCCTCCGTGTCGGCCACGACATACTTGTCAATGCCCTGGCAATCAGGTCAATGAAAAAACAACAAATTAAATGCAATTGCCTACAATTGTTAGTGTTTTGTCCCTTACATTTAAAATTTTACAGCAATTTTTTTTTTTTTTTTTTTTTAATTTGCTATTTTTCAAGCAATCTTTTTTGAATGAGCAGAGTTGTAATGACTCGAGTCAATGACTCGACTCGAGTCCGACTCGAGTCACAATTTTTGGTGACTCGAGTCGACTTGAGTCCCTAAGGGCAAATGACTCGACTCGACTCGAGTCCCTCATCAGAATGACTCGACTCGACTCGAGGAAGGCTAATGAGACTCGAGTCCCAAAAATAAATGCAAAACTTTACGAAAAATATTTGCAATGACTTACGCCGGTGCCGGTTTTTGTTTACGTCACGTTAGAATGTTTGCGAATAATGTATACATATACATGTACGTGGTTTGATCAGTGTCCCCATTAGTTGAATGGCGATCAGCTGGCACCCCCTTTTTATTTTCATTAAGAGGCAAATGTGGTGTTGCCACATGCAGTAGCCCGAATGTAAAATTTAAAAAGCCAAAAAATGACTTTCTCTCTTGTGTTTATTTATTGTATAGTGCTCAAATATTTGTGACTCGAATTGACTCGAGCTAAATACTTGACTCGACTCAACTCGACTCGACCACACACTGTGACTCGACTCAACTCGACTGTCTTGACCTAATGACTCGACTCGACTCGAGTCACTTCTTTAAAATGACTTGACTCGACTCGAGTCACAAAAATCAGTAACTCGTTACAACTCTGTGAATGAGACATGTAAATAAACAAAATCTGACCAAGTTTTGGTTAGGGAATAATTACTATACAACTTCAAATAATTATTGCCCAACAGTCATTAATTTGTTCATGTATTTTATGCTAATGTAATTTTTATGCTAAGTACTTTTTATTGTGTTTTTATTGTAAACTGACAGTAATCTCAAAGTCTTTTAATAAACCATTAATGATAAATAATAATAAAAAATAATAATAATCCACGAGGATCATTTGTTCGCGACTGGGCTGCAAAAGCAGCTCATGATAGAGTTTTGAAGGCCAAAAAAGTAGTTCTTTGGTGGAATATAATACAACAAAAAATAGGGGGAAATGAGGGTTTTTTTCATTAATGACAGATTCATTAGGAGGGCAATTCCATGTGAAAAGGACATTGCTGACAAATCAAAAATTTATGAAATCTTCAAACCTGCCGGCATCACAACCTAAAATGTGGTATGAAATTAAAGGGGACAACGAGACCTTTCATTTGAGAGGCAGTGAGATGGAGTATGTTTTAGTGGGGTTTTTTTTTGGGGGGGGGGGGTTGGTCCAAAAAGGCAGCGAGAAAGGTTCATATTTTATTTTAAAGAAATAACACACAGAGCTTAGAGTTTCATGATTCAGTACGGTTTTTTAACACTTGTGTGGCATTGATTTCAGATATCAAACGTCCATAATGAAGATTTGAGGTAAATGTGAAAGGGCCTTTTTAGCTAGCTACCTTGACTAACGAGTATTCCAGGCGTTCCTCCACGTTGTTGTTCCTCCAGCTCTCATCCACGACTCCCTTCTTGGCATCTTTACCCAATGCCTGTTGCCATGGAAACAGATCATACTGTTAAATACTGCGCAACTCCGTGCAATGACGCATAATACTTGATGGAAAAAGAACAGATATGGGCAACTCCAGCTTTAGGTAATGTCCGCGACAGAGATTTTAAGAGCTCCGTGAGTAAACCGGAAAGTGCATTTTACAAATCCATCATCTTGTAATCGTCAAGGAGATTACAGACTTGGAGTTTGGATCATTTAATTTAATCAGTAATTAGATGTCATAGTCTATGGGCTCTGTGCGCCAACAAAAGAGGGCGCCCTTTTACCTAGCAACGACGTCCCATGGGCGGGTGCGACACGTACATTTTGCTGGTTGACGCGCACCAACCGTTCCTTGTGTGTGACGCACACACAAGGGGATTTGTACTATGTACATGCAATGGCTGCGCTTCAACATAAATAATGCAGTCAGGCAAGATGGCGTCGATCGGTCACCCCCAACTGTACTTTCTTTGCCGGTGAGGGGGTTCTTGTGAATGGAGCGGATTTCTCTGTCACGGACATAACACTTCCTTTAATAATGCTGAAATTGTCACTATATTGTTTAAACAATATAGTTGAAATGTTTTTTTTGTAGTTTTTTTTTTGGCTTTTCTCAAAATCTCTTTTCATTCATTTATTTCTTGGAACCCTCAAGCACAAATCAAGAGACGAAGCGAAAGCAGGATTTTGTTAACCCCAAAAACCTAGAATCAGCTTGACGACTGGAAACTTTATTTTGTCAAAAACGAATGTTAAGACAGGAACAGGTTGTTTCTGGGGGTTGTAATCTTACACTTGTGTTTATTTTTGGATGAAATGACCATTAACAGGTTGTAACTTTTCTGTGAATAACACTGGCATTTCCATTCCTGTTTAAAGCTATAGTCCATCATTTGCAGCTATCTGAAAAGTAACTGGCGTAATTATTGTTGAAAAACATACTTGGTTGAAAGATAGTAAGGGGACTAAACTCCCTGTGAAATTATTCTTTCTGGCAAGCTGTCATTTTGAAGCAATCAACGAAAGAAGACCTTTCCAATGGTGCGTCTTAAGACGCACCGTTGTAAATTTAAATTAGTAGTTCGTTTTGTTATTTGGCGAAACGCGCGCAAGCATTTGCACGACGCACACGCGATTGCTATAATTCGTCGCATCAGTGTGCGACATCACGTAGCTGCAATCGGCTCAGTGAGAACGTGTCTCGGACGCTGAATTCTGGCCCAATTCAAAACATGATTCAGCAACTTTTGATTTGAAATTGAGATCCTAGAATGCTGTTTTTCTCGGAATATACAGCTGAAGCTGAGCTGAAAATTCATCAGGTTAGTTGTTCAGCACCCTTCTTTAGATTTTGAGCACTTTTGTTGCTTCAAACGAACAAAATACACAAATTCCAAATGATGGACTATATCTTTAATATATGGAAGAAGTCAATCATGTAGTTTGAAAAGTAACCTCTTTGAGCCAGACACCTAACTAACCGTCAGTTATGACTTAGATTGGTTGTAGACTGATGAGGAGAGTCGGACAGTGCTATTGTATAGCATTACCCTGTAATGCCAACGAGTGGGCAAAATCTGCCCCATTCTGTCGACCAGATGCATGAACGGACTTCCAGTGAATAGCCATTCTGTATCAACTGAATAAAAATTTGTGCTCTCTGGACTGGGGCCAGCTTTAGATTGCCTATTCTTGTTTCTTTCGTTTCAAGGCATATAGGATTATTTGCTTTTCATGCATTTTGTTCGTTTCCAATAATAACACCACTCAAAATCCAAAGAAAGAATACGCAAACCCTAACCTGTTGAAGAGTCAGCTCAGTGGATACTACACTTTTTCGAGAAAACAGTGAACAAAAATATGCATAACCTTTTGATCATGGAACATAGTTTTGTCGATAGCACTTTCCATTCCAGAAATCAGTCAATTGACTGATCGTTGGAAATCACCTACATTCTTGATTTCTTCTAAAAATGACAGCAAGCCGGACGGAATAATTTCACGGGGTGTACAGGACCAAAACGATCTTTAACCCTATCCACCCAACCCTTCAAATTCCAACTGCGTGTTTTGTTGGAATCTGTTGGAGTGAGGACTGTACTAGTTAACTGATAAATGTTTACATGGTACCAGGCATACCACCATAATCAGAGTCCAACAGTTTGGGTGTTTCGTTACCTTATGGTGTTGGATTTTGCGAGAGAGGGAATGGTTCCTAGTAGGGTTAATCCAATTAAGCCTTTTGATAATAATTTTGTAGGGTACTTTGGGGATAAATGCAAATGATCCTATATGCCTTTAAACACTCCCATAGGAAAGTGAGAAAAGTACCACTGCGCAGACTGGGCTCGGAGAAACTGTACAAGACTAGAAGTCTGAATTTATGGGAATAATTGGTGAGCTGGACAAACCTGAGCGTATTCCAGGAGCTTGTCTGTGGAGGCAGGATCTCTGTTCCAGAGCAGATCCTCGCAGAGTCTGAGCAACGCTGGGTCAATGTCATCATACAGTGGCAGATTGCCTGCATTGACTATTCCCATGTCCATACCAGCCTGGAGATAGAGATAGTACAAATAAGACGCGTTTCAATTTGTCCAGATGGGCATTCAAGAGTTACGCTGAACGGACCAGTACATAGACTAGTCTGAATATCATCCGTTCTCCACGGAGCCCTATCTCCGGTCAAACATCTGATTTATCCGTGCGCCAGTTAATCGGAGTCGACGTAACTAGTTCGTGACGTCATTTCATTCCCAAATCAAGACTAAACACTGTGATTGGTCGATTGGGATGCAGTGTTTTTGAAATACGACAATGGCCGGACATGCATACATCTACAAAACCCAGACACGACCGTGATTGGCCAGCTCTATTATTGCCGGCATATCATGTAACATATCGTTACAGAGCGCGGGACCGCCAAGTGGTGACCGCAGACATTTTTGCTCAATTCACAGCGTGTCCATGTTTTATTTTAGATAGCCATGAGTTTTCCTTGATATTTTCATGAGAATATTCTAAAATTCTGTGAAAAATATTTTCACTTTAACGAGGTTGCTGGGAAGTTGAGAGGTGGTGTAGCACAGCCTATTGCTATTGTCTGGAGAGGTGGTGTGGTACACACACTGCATAACGACTACAATGGACACAGCTTGGACAAATGGCACAAGACGCACATATCATAAAACTGGCGAAAACCTTTGCCTTTTGGGTCACTGTCAAATTCCCCGAGTTTTTGCCATGATTTTTTTGGTGTTTTCCCCAAATTCCCGGACTTTTCCCTAAGTGGAAAAATGGAAACTAATTTTCCAGGTTTTCCCTGATTTCCAGAGTGGCTGGGAACTAATTTTCCAGGTTTTCCCTGATTTCCAGAGTGGCTGGGAACTAATTTTCCAGGTTTTCCCTGATTTCTAGAGTGGCTGGGAACTATTTTTCCAGGTTTTCCCTGATTTCCAGAGTGGCTGGGAACTAATTTTCCAGGTTTTCCCTGATTTCCAGAGTAGCTGGGAACTAATTTTCAAGGTTTTCCCTGATTTCCAGAGTAGCTGGGAACTAATTTTCAAGGTTTACCCTGATTTCCAGAGTGGCTGGGAACTAATTTTCCAGGTTTTCCCTGATTTCCAGAGTGGCTGGGAACTAATTTTCCAGGTTTCCCCTGATTTCCAGAGTGGCTGGCAACTAATTTTCCAGGTTTTCCCTGATTTCCAGAGTGGCTGGGAACTAATTTTCCAGGTTTTCCCTGATTTCCAGAGTGGCTGGGAACTAATTTTCCAGGTTTCCCCTGATTTCCAGAGTGGCTGGCAACTAATTTTCCAGGTTTTCCCTGATTTCCAGAGTGGCTGGGAACTAATTTTCCAGGTTTACCCTGATTTCCAGAGTGGCTGGGAACTAATTTTCAAGGTTTTCCCTGATTTCCAGAGTGGCTGGGAACTAATTTTCCAGGTTTTCCCTGATTTCCAGAGTGGCTGGGAACCTTAATGGAGTGATCTCAATAGATTTTGCTTTCTCAAATGTCAGCTTTACGTTTAATTTTCCAGTGATGAGACCCTGGACCCGAGTCGTTCTGAACGACTTCCACAGTCAAATCTTGGTACATAGTCGCTCCTACTAGTTTCAAATTTTGAGCTTAATTTTGATCTTAGAAGTAATGTCGTTTGGCGGACTTTGGAACGCCCAGTCTGAAATGATTGATTGCTTGCAATTACATGTGCAGACTTGATTAACTATCTGCAGCTTAGTTCTAGGCCTTGTTACCCTCAAGCTCAAAAAATATATAATTGCTTTAAACTGTATTCATAAATACCTCTTATTTATTTATATATTGAATATTTCTTATTCCAAGCGCCTATAACGTGGGTAGTTTTTCAAAAAAATGTCGTTTATGCACCATTCGGTGTTCAAACAACGTTAAAACTGGTAGCGAGCAACCACTGAAACTTGGCTGAAAGGTCCCACATTTCCTGAGTTTGGATCTCACCTTGATGGCATGGTAGAGGAAAACGCTGTGCATGGCTTCGCGAACCTTCTCCTTGCCCCGGAATGAGAAGGAAAGGTTGGACAGGCCTCCGCTGATCCGGCATCCTGGAAGGCTTTTCTGTAAATCAAGTTTATTTTTTAAAGGCATATAGGATTATTTGCTTTTCATGCATTTTGTTAGTTTCCGATATAATAACATCACTCAAAATCCAAAGAAGAACGTTCAAAACCTAACCTGTTAAAGCTCCAGCTCAGTGAATATTACACTATTCGAGAAAACAGTGAACAATTATGCACAACCTTTTGATCACGGAAAACGATTTCATTCTACTTTTCATTTCCAACGATCAGTATTAAACTTGACTAATCATTAAGAATCACCTATATTTCTTGATTTGTTCTAAATGACAGTACCACGGACAGTATAATTTCGCGGGATGTTTAGTACCAGTACAATCTTTTATCCAAATATGATTATTTGACAATAATTCGCTAGGTTACTTTTGGGATTTAGGCCTTTTAAGTTAAGTTACCAAATATTTGGCACATTTAATTTAGGACTGCAGTCGATGTATCTAACGTGCGACGCAGTGCTTACATTTTTGATTTTTTTTGTAGAATCATTCCTTTCAAACATGATTTTTCGACGTCTTGTTATTTAGATAGATTTTACGTACCTCTGTCGTTCCTTTACAACACAAGATATAGGTTTTTGGGCAAAAAAGGGGCTTGCAGACTCCTTATTTTATACAGGCATTGCGCAGTCTTAAAAAAAAAGGTTTGTAGGTGACATTACGTGCAGGAGATAAGGCGCGAGCGCATATAGGACGTGTAGTCTTCGAAATACGTGCACCGCACTCTCTGAATAGCCGGTCAGCGTCGTTTACATATTCTTAACGGCCAGGGGTTAGTGAAGGAACGCACATGCGCGGAGTCCAGGCTGATGGTCCAGTGGTTACGGTGTTCGACTAGTGTGCCGTGGTACGTGGGTTCGAATCCTGACCGGGAACATGGTGCTTGTGTGCTTGGGCAAGGCACTTTACTTTGATTGCCTCTCTCCACCCAGGTGTAGTAAATGGGTACCTGGTAGGAAGAAATTCCTTCAGTGCTTGAGCGCCGTAATGGCAGCCGTGCTGAAGCCAGGGTAATAATAAAAGCGCCAGGAGCGTCACTTTGTGATGGACATGAGCGCAATACAAGACGCCATTATTATATTATTATTATTATTGATTCCAAATTCATTGTGCTACTCCACGCCAGTGGCCTTCGTCATTTATATCAACTGATACAGGTCACACTCAGATCATGTCACAAAAGAGACACGACCTTCCTCTCGTGAGATACGACCTTTTGAGTCCAGGGCCCTTACCTTGATCAGCTCAGTGGACTTGATGAAGTTGATTCCGTACTCGTTGTGCTCCTCCATGCCCGTCGCTATTGTCAAGATGTTGGGGTCAAATATGATGTCATTGGGGTTGAATCCCAGCTTTTCTACAAGGAGATTGTAGGATCGGGAGCAGATCTCTAGTTTCCGGTCCACTTCAACGGCCTGACAAATAGTTAGAACAAAATATAGAATTAGTGGCTCATGGGGTCATTTATCTGGAAACAACAACTTCAATTTATTGACAAAACTAAAGGAGTTATAATGTCGGAGAGCAATTTTAAAAGTCTGGTTTTAAAAGCCATTTTAAGCCAGACGTTTAAATTAGCTCCAACAGACTATTATTCCCATTCATAAATATCTTTTTGGTAACACAATGTACAAATATTGAAAAATAGACAAAATTCCGACAATGTTAGTTCAACAATTTAACTCCATGTTCAGGCCACTTCTATAGTGAACATCACATGGGCCCGGTTTGTTCAACATCTCATTCTTCTTATATGGAGATCATATCGGTGGTTCCCAAGCACCCGCTGGTATTAGGAGTGCGTAGTGCACACTGCGTGCATGTGGCGCATAGAACAGCATCTCACGAGCAATTTTAAACATCACTGAGCGGTGTTCATGGTGTTTAAACGGCGGTTTCATTAATCCATTTCATCCTTAGTGGAGTCAGGGAACCAGACTACTTGAACATTTTTGTTTTTCTTGGTTTTCCAGCATTTTTGAACACAAACCTTCAAACATGTCAGTGTAACAATATTTGATCTATTATACTAACCCCTCAAATAGTTCATTTCTGAAAATTACAGCAAAAGCCAATGATGTACATTCCCTTTAACAGGTTCGCATTTCAGACATTCAAAATGTCTGACACGTAAGAGGGATTACGTTCCAGACATAAAATGTCTGAAACGCTGACCAAATATCTGAAATGTAATCGCCATTGTTAATGTTTCGCACACATTTTCCAGAACAAAAGCATTTCAGGCATTTCTGGTGCATAATTTTACGTCACATTGCCATCGGCCTACCTGTCCGACTTCATCAAACGCCATGATAACCACGGCAGCACCGTGCCTCTTGATGGTCTGGGCTTTCTCCAGGAAGTCCTCCTCTCCTTCCTTGAGACTGATGCTGTTGACGATGCACTTGCCCTGGGTACACTTGAGGCCTGCCTCAATCACCTAGGGAGATGGTAAAATGATCCAAAGTTGGATTCTCGATAAGCCCATTTAATAATAACGATATTCATGATAATATGGTGCATATATAGAGCTTTATCCCAAAAGGTCTCCAAGTGCTTCATGCTCGTAAAATCTAGCAGATTTTTGAAGTCAACTTACATGCTATATTCTCCCAAACCATTTTTTTTACTTTTTAAAGCTGCAACAGGCTTAGGCCTCGTTCTGAGAGATAGTGGTGGGGTCTACCTTCCTTAACCCTAATTCCCTAGGCCTTTTTGCTAGGATGTAGCCTCCATCCTGCAAATCCCTCCACTACTTCTTGAATATGGTCCATGGAGGGGTGACCACTGCCTGAATCCTGCAAAATCCTGCGGCTGTGACTGTCAATATGTTGAGGCTTGGCCAGTGACATCCTGGAGCAGTACAGAGGATTTCAAGCATAATCCAGGCCTATATTTATGCATGGCTGAGCAAAAACAACACAAGGTCCGGCCCAAGACGTTGACAAAGTGCATCCTATGAAATCAGTAATGCACTTTTGCCATGTAACCTCAATCCTCCAAATTCCTCCACTTTGGCAAAGAGGATTTTGAAGGATTCAGGGCGGTTAGGGTTAACAGAACATGTAAGTTGACCTCAAAACCTTCAAGATTTTACGAGAATACAGCACATCGGGGCACCATGTATTGGATCTAAAAAGTGTGTAACGTCCTATTTTTTGCATTATTTTGTGTCCTGACTGGGCCCATCCAATTAAGGGCAATAACTGGGTATTTCAAAAAGTTACAGTTTACAATATATCAAAAATATTGTAGACTGATGACTTTTATAAACATTAAAATTGTTGACCTCAACTTTCATTCAATCGATCACGTAATTAACAACTGGGTAAATTCAAACAAGGGAGTCTGTCGCTCGACAAGTCGGTGTTCGGTACTTAAGACACTCAAAGGAAAAGTAAACATGGACAAGCAAGACTTTACAAACTCTACAGGGCGAGTCAAAAAAAGGAAACCCAAATGGCAGGACCAATTTTTTTAATGAAGTTCTACATGTAGCACTTTCAAAATCCCGGATATGAAAGCCCAACCCATAAGCTTACTTTTAGTACAAGAATCATTCAAATCACTCATGTACTTTTCAAGTTACTGAATTTTAAACACAACCACCGTTTTAAAGTTCTGTCCAAGGATCACCAAAAAGGTAGGTGTTCTTTCAGCAAAACGAAAGCAATTCACATAGGGATGTTGAATTGTTTGCGTATTGCTAAAAAAACACACACCTTTTTTTGTGATCCGTGGATAGAACTTTAAAACAGTGGTTGTGTTTAAAATTCCGTAACCCATGAGTGATTTGAATGATTCTTGTACTAAAGGAAAGCTTATTAATTAGGCTTTCATATACTTGATTTTGAAAATGCTACATGCAGAACTTTATTGAGAAAATAGTCCAGACATTTGGGTTTCCTTTTTTTTTTTACTCACCATGTATACTGCAAAATCTTCCAAAACCGCCTTGTGAATTTTGATGAACCGTGAGGCAGATTCATAAAATTGATACCCTTGTGAATATACTCTAGTAAACATGCATCAACAGTTATGCTGCAGCATCTACCTTGAACTTGGAGGAGTCGATGCACAGCGGCACCCTGCAGATGTCCGGCTCTGACGAGATGAGGTTAACGAACTTCGTCATGGCCTTGACCCCGTCCAGCATGCCCTCGTCCATGTTGATGTCTAGTACCTGCGCTCCAGCCTCCACCTGGGCCTTGGCTATACTCAAAGCCTCCTGGGCAATAAAAAAAAAACACCAATAAAATTGCAGTGCACGATGATAATAATAATAATAATACCGAAGTCTTATATAGCGCACGTATCTACCAACAACTAGGTACTCAAGGCGCTGGAAATAATGTCTATCATTAGAGACAGGTAAGTGAAGTACATGAGAAATATGAGAACCATAATGTAGCACCTTAATAATGGTTTACAAGGTGCTGCGGCGTATTAAGCAGCCACTGCCAGAAACACCAGGGCAAACCCCTTCTCTTAGCGATAAGTGTTACTGGGGTCTTTAACGTGCATTACACAACACACGAGACCTACGGCTTTACGTCCCATCCGAAGGACGAAGCAATAATGGTAAAGTGCCTTGCTCAAGAGCGCAAGCACCATGTTCCAACGGTCAGGATTCGAACCCATGTACCATGGTACACGAGTCGAACACCATAACCATTGGACCACAGCACCCCACTGCAGGTCAAATGGCGCCTTGCTTGGATTCCGAGGAGGTGGGGCATGGTGTTATTTGTTGTGATGTTGGACAAGCGAGGGAGAAATGAACCATCCGTTTTCCATCTTAAGACCTTTATGAAACATACTATTTATCTTTGAGAAAGACTCTGCTAGAATCGAAAGGTAGGACCCCCTAATTTTTCCCAACAAGTATATACTAAATCACAAGTGACACTGAAAACTGTAGTCGCTAGTAAAAGGTAATATATAACATTTGCTTTTGCTGTAATTTTCAGAAATGCATAGATTTGGGGGTTAGCATTTTATAACAATATATTGTTACACTGACCTGTTTAAAGTTTAGTGTTCAAAGATGCTGGAAAAACCAAGAAAAAATAATGCTGTAGACTGGTTCCCTGATCCTACTGCAGACGAAATGGAGCAATTTATAGACGTCTGGGAATTGTGAGGTCAAAGAACCAGACTAGCTGGCTTGCAACCGTTCAGGGAATTGTAACTGATTGCAAACAAACCGTGGACTAACTATTGGTAAATTGGGGGCAGTGTTTGAAAAAAGTTAGTTTTTTCCATACAAAATTCTCCTTCCCTTGAAAATAACAGGACACCAAGTGCCATGGTATCACAGGATGCTTGAGAATATTGTTTACCTACAGTTTAGTAAGGTATTTCATAATAATTTGATAGATGTTTTTTTATGACTGCAAATGTTGTATATTACCTTTAAGTAACAATGGAAGGCCTTGGTCAAGGCATTCTTTTGATTATTTGTAACCTGACTTGTGATAGATCAATTGCATTCAGCAGCTATCTTTGAGGTACGCTTTATTAATTCATTAACAGACTCGTGACAAACTTATAATTTGACTTAAAATCGACAGTGTTCATCCCTTATTTACTTATGATATGACTTGTGATTGGACTTATTGTTGGGCCTGTGATGATTTGTGAGTGAATATTGTGACTTATGACCTACTCGTCATTTAACTTTGTATTGACCAGCGATTGACTTATGATTGACCAGCGATTGACTTGTGTTTGGCTTGTGATTGACATGTGTTTGACTAGCGATTGACTTGTGATTGACTAGCCATTGAGTTGTGATGAGTAGCGATTGAGTTGTAATTGACTAGTGACTGATTTGTGAATGACTTGTGATTGACCAGCGATTGACTTGTGATTGACTAGTGACAGACTAGTGACTGACTTGTGTTTGGCTTGTGATTGACTAGCGATTGACTTGTGATTGACTAGCCACTGAGTTGTGATGAGTAGCGATTGAGTTGTGATTGACTAGCGATTGACTTGTGATTGACTAGCCACTGAGTTGTGATGAGTAGCGATTGAGTTGTGATTGACTAGTGACTGATTTGTGAATGACTTGTGATAGACCAGCGATTGACTTGTAATTGACTTGTGATTGACTTGTGATTGACCAACGATTGACTTGTGATTGACTTGTGATAATGTGCTTGACTTGTGACTGATTTGTGAATGACTGGTGATTTACCAGCGATTGACTTGTGATTGACTTGTGATTGACTTGTGATTGACCAACGATTGACTTGTGATTGACTTGTGAATGACTAGTGACAGACTAGTGTTTGACTTGTGATAATGTGCTTGACTTGTGACTGATTTGTGAATGACTGGTGATTGACCAGCGATTGACTTGTGATTGACTTGTGATTGACCAACGATTGACTTGTGATTGACTTGTGAATGACTAGTGACAGACTAGTGTTTGACTTGTGATAATGTGCTTCACTTGTGACTGATTTGTGAATGACTGGTGATTGACCAGCCATTGACTTGTAATTGACTTGTGATTGACCAGTGTTTGACTTGTGATTGACTAGCAATTGACTAGCGATTGACTAGCGATTGACTAGCGATTGACTTGTGATTGACTAACGATTGACTTGTGAATGACTAGTGATTGGCCCATGATTGACTTTGAGTCAACTGGTGACACTGTCTACTGCACATACTGCTTTCCATACTGTACCTCATATTGACCGTTGGTGATCAGTTTGGCAAACTTCCTGGATCCTGCAACATTGCACCTCTCTCCAATGTTAACAAATAGCGTGTGCTTGCCCAGGATCATGGGTTCAAGACCTGAACCAGAAATTGAAGGAAAAAAACAACAACCAACTTAGAGAAACATATTGTTAACAGTGAAAGTCCCTTCTAATGTTGGAGGAACGGCTATAGCTCTTTAATCTACCCCCCCCCCCAAAAAAAAAATGGTTACCATCAAATAGAAAATGCGAGTGATCAAATTCTTTCAGTCTGAAACCACACCTGCCACATTTACGGGCTCTGTATGGGCTCCGTGCACAAGTACCCAATCAACGGCCAGAAAAGGAAAGTTGGGGGTGACCTAGACTGGTTTCCAATCCATCCACTGCGTATTTTGAATGTATCCAAAGTTATTGGAGGCAGGGATTAGTCTCAGAGACCATCGGAAGTTTTGAATTCGAAGGTATTTTCGCGTCCCGATGACGTCCCGCAAAGACGCGGTGGCTATAACTTTTGCATATTCAGGGAGTCATGCGCACTTCGCACATGAACCAGTACAGTACAGTACGCGCACGCTGAGTGTCCGTCCACGGAGCTCTCAAAAGACGTAAAAACACGCCTTCTTTTGTTGGCGCACGGAGCCCATAGAAACTGTAAATGGCGCTGTGTGGCAATATATTATTGACTTTTAAATTTCGGGGTTGGGCTTCTTTTACAGGTACTTGAATTGGGTGCCCGGTTCCCACGCTACCGGTAAGCACACCACACGAGTCCATACCTGATAAGAGCTGTGCGTGGGGATGAACCTCCGTGGGCGGGACCCTGGGTTTGTACGGCCTGACGGCGTCAGCGATGGCCTTGATGTGTGCAGGGGTTGTCCCACAGCAACCGCCGACGATATTCACTAGTCCATCCCTCGCAAAGGCCGCGAGGTGACTGGACGTCATCTCCGGGGTTTCGTCGTAGTCGCCAAAGGTGTTCGGCAGTCCTGGAGAATGGGAAAAGAAAGACCAAGTAAAATAAATGCTTACCAGAAGATGGTATATCCACAAAAGTATCCAAAGTTGTACACTTTGCCAAGCAAAGCTTCAAAATACATTTTAAAGCCAGAGTCCATCATTTGCAGCTATCCAAAATGTAACTGGCGTAATTATTGTTGAAAAACATACCGGTACTTGGTTGAAAGATAGTAAGGGGACTAAACTCCCTGTGAAATTATTCTTTCTGGCAAGCTGTCATTCTTAAGAAATCAACGAAAGAAGGCCTTTCCAACGGTGCATCTTAAGAAGCACCGTTGGAAATTTCCGTTAGCAGCTTGTTATTTTATTCGGTGAAACGCGCGGAAGCGTTGGCACGACACACACGATGGGCTCAGTGAGAACGTGTCTCGGACCCAATTCAGGCCCAATTCAAAACATGATTCAACAACTTTTGATTTGAAATCGATATCCTAGAATGCTGTTTTTCTCGAAATCTACAGCTTAAGCTGAGCTGAAACTTCATCAGGTCAGTTGTTCAGCACCCTTCTTTAGATTTTGAGCACTTTTGTTGCTTCAAACGAACAAAATGCACAAATTACAAATGATGGACTATACCTTTAATGGACAAAATGACAACATTGCAGTTGATTAATTCTTACCCACCTCAATCCTCCAAAGTCCCCCAGGCACTTTTGGAGGATTTTGAAGGTTTGAGGATGAATGCAACATACACTTTTGGGGGATTGTGGAGGATTGAGGGCACATGAACATTCAGTGTCTGTTGATTTTGGAGGATTGAGGCTGCATGGTATTTCAAGAATAGGAGGATTTTGGAGGATAGAAATTGAATGCAACATAAACTTCTGGAGGATTGTTGAGGATTGAGGGTACATGGACATGCAGTACCAGTTGATTTTGGAGGATTGAGGCTGCATGGTATTTCAAGAATAGGAGGATTTTGGAGGATTGAAGATGAATGTATTTTGAGAGGCAGGACTGTCGAAAGACTTTGAAGATTGAGGCAGTGGGTATCCTTCATTTGAACATAAGTACAACATTTTGGAGGATTTTGAAGGATTGAGGATGATTCCTACCAAAAAGGACCTAGGAGGAGAGGGTTAGGATTAAACAAATTTTAGTTGAAATGCCATTCAATTTAGTTCAATTTTGTGGTTCTAGCTGCTACGGATTTGAGTGGGGCAGCCTTACATAGCAAACATGGTAGCATGAAGCATGGGGGTTGGACAATGAAACCTATCTTACCAGCATTAGGGTAGCATATAACGTACTCCAGCGTGCACATCCCAATGGCCTCAATGAATGGTCTCATCTCCGTCGCGCCTAAGGCACAGTTGAGACCGAGACACATAGGGTTGGTGTGGGAGACACTAATGACGAAGGCCTCGCCCGTCTGACCGGACAGAGTCCGTCCACTCTTGTCAACTATCGTGCCTGAAATCTGGAAATCGGGACAAATTTGACAAAATGCATGTTTACAAAAATGTCCACAAGTAAGCATTATTAGGCCCCCAAAAAAAAGCGTCGGTTTTAATCATGCGCGTTGATCTTTTTATTTCCAAAATGTTCCGCGGTAGCTCCAACAGCGCCCTCTATTTCCGCACCTCCTCAAATTTTTTTACCAAAGAGCACCAAGGAATGGGAAATTGCACCAAGGCAAATGATCGAAAGCACCAAGGCAAATTATGGAGGACACCAATGTACATGAGGACACCAAAAAAGCAAAATAATACCCCACCTTGTCTGTACAATCCAAGCTTGAAGAAAAAAAAAAAAAAACCACATGGCCGCGTCAATTCCGGAACTTTGGTCTGACCAGAGACCGAATAATTTTTTTTTTTGGCCTTATGCACAGATATTTTTCTACTGTGATGACTGGAAAATGTTGCACAACTACAATGAGTTTGAATGTTTAACTTTGCAAAGCCAGCGAGGTGCAACACTGAAGTACCTTGTTTCTCATAAACAAACCTAAGTAAAGCATACTCACAAATATTGGAACTGGCTTGTACTCGTTTTCGAAGAGCAGCTGTATGGCGTAGAGGGCCGCTTTGGAGTTGAGTGTGTCAAAGATGGTTTCAACCAGGAGAACATCGGCCCCGCCGTCTAACAAGCCCCTGGCTTGCTCCGAGTACGCATCCACTAGTTCATCAAACGCTGGGAAAGATACACAGAGATGATGTGCAAATAACCACCACTAAATAACCTGTACATCTATCAAAATCAAACACTGAAATATAGACCAGCTGGGACTCGAACCCATGACTTCCTGCTTTCTAGTGCAGACGTCTTACCAATTGACCACCGAGATTGCGGGATCGGTTGGTTGGTTCGAATCTGATGTACATGTAGCAGGGGGTAACGCAATTAAACTATTCACAAGATGGAATATGCGTCGGGGTGATGTAAATCAATATTAGGTTTTGCCTGTCATAATTGTATGCACAAAAATTTGACATTTAAGTTAATGTATATTTTAGCTACCTTTTTGTATTATAACATAATTAAGAATAAATCTTTTAAAAATATCCAACCCATTTGACATTTTTATTCAATTATTAAGCTACTTTTAAACGAATTGTTTTGGGGTATTTTAACACAATTAAAACAAAGTTCTTTGAAAATCTACAACCAATTTGGCATTTGGGCTATGATTTGCCCACCAATACACCAATTTATTTCATTCTATCCTATATTGCAATCTTTTACACAGCGTGCCCTTTTGCCACTTAAGCGCTGTACGCATGCACGAATATTTATTTGGCACTTAATAATAAAAAATAATAATTTTATAATTTGAATATAACCTTATTAACTACTAGCAGCCAATTTGATGTATTTTCAGCGATGCCAGTATATTCAGTTTACAATACAAAAGCCTTTACTTGACTACAAGAATACAAGCGGCAAAATCGGATATGCCTGTCATTACAACTACATGTACACGTGTATATCTATACAGTGGAACGTCGCTATACTGAACACCACTATATCCAACATTCGGCTATACCGAACATCATCTTTGGCTCCCAGTTTTTGTGTACAAAACATACTGAACATTGCTGATGAAAAATGTCAGAAAAACAGAAGAGCGACAAGTGGTTGTTATTTCCTCTACGAATAAAAGGGGAAAGTCGCCCATTGCTGTCGATAGTAAGCTCAAAAACTGGGTAAATATTCACTAATCAGCACATGTTCAAAGTCATCTTTCAGTAATTACCGGGGCATTCAGGGTGAAGTTCTGAAGGGCGCTATTTATTGAAAAGGGAGTACTGGACCACCGGCGGCTTAAAATCACTATACTGAACGATCCCTCTTACATCCAATTTCTGTGGATCCCACAATGTTCGTTATAGCGGTGTTCCACTGTAGTCGGCAGTCAACGCTTTAAGACAAAAAACAAAAAACAGTCTGCTTCCTGTAACCCTACCTACCCTATTTCAACAGCCCTATCCTAATTTTTTTGGGGAAAAACGAGGGAAAAAACCTGAAAACCATCGATTACTACCTTTTACCCTTGACTACACGCAGACACATATGATCGTACACAAAACAAATTGCCAAAAAAATTCACTACCTACCTACCCTATTTTCAAATGCAATGTAATTAGAAGCAGACCAAGTTTTTTTAGGCCGAAACTGAGTACCACTTAATAAATATTCCAGCTAGCATTCAATATTTCTCCATGTTAATAACTTAACATAATTGGCTCGTGTTTTCCTGGCTTCCAAAAAATCATACAGAGCTGAACATCTGTTGCCAATCAATATTGCATCTACCCCCCCCCCCCCCCCCCCCTCTGTGCATATGGCTAGTCCTTTTGAGTGCATTTCTTGCAATTGATCCTCTCTACACAAAATAAACAAAATCGCTCCGGCTTTTTCTAGCGATTGGATCGAGGATTGCAGTGTGTGATGTTATAACTATGGTGAATCAGTTTGGAAGGCCAAGCGTTCTAAAGGTGTTCCTTAGAAATTCAAGAATATTTCCTTTTTTGAATTGCCCTTTCAATCATTCATATGGAGAATTGTGTAAATTAGAAGTGAGCAATAAGTAAATTTGAACTTACTAGAAGTGTTAAAGCTATAGTCCATCATTTGCAGCCATCCGAAAAGTAACTGGCGTAATTATTGTTGAAAAACATACTTGGTTGAAAGATAGTAAGTGGAAAGAAGGCCTTTCCAATGATGCGTCTTAAGACGCACCGTAGGAAATTTAAATTAGTAGTTCTTTTTGTTATTCGGTGAAGCACGCGCAAGCATTGGCACGACGCACACGCGCGCGCCATTGCTATAATTCGTCGGATCAGTGCGCGACATCGCGTATAGCTGCAATTCAAAACAATTCAAAACATGATTCAGCAACTTTTGATTTGAAATTGAGATCCTAGAATGCTGTTTTTCTCGGAATATACAGCTGAAGCTGAGCTGAAACTTCATGAGGTTTAGTTGTTCAGCACCCTTCTTTAGATTTTGAGCACATTTGTTGCTTCAAACGAACAAAATGCACAAATTACAAATGATGGACCATACCTTTAAATGAATTGCTCATACAGGTATTTCTCATGAAATCAAAGAGGAATTACATTTTAAAATAGAAACGTTTGATAGTAATTATGTTGTTTCATCCTTTTAAAATGTCACACAAAATCACTCATCCTGAAAGCATGTTTCATATTAAATTACACCATCGTGGCATTTCAAAATATATTTTAATGCAATATCTATTAGAAAATTTGAATAATAATGTGTATTTATAAAGTGCACGTATACACCAGTATTGGTGCTCAAGGCGCTACATCACTATATTACCCTGATCATTGGGCCAATGAAGCATTCCAAAGACAATCTCAGCTCCCTGGGGAGTATACATCTCAATGCTGCCATTTCGGCGCAAAGCAGCTACAATCAATCACAAAAACCATCTCGGCCCTCACACGTACTAATTTACTCCTGGGTGGAGAGAAGCAATGCGTGACAAAGTGCCTTGCCCAAGGACACACGCACCATGACCCCAGGCTGGACTTGAACCCTCAACTTGCAGAATTACCCACAGATCACGAATTCAATGCGCCAGACCACGAGGCCTTGGTACTCAAGAAAAGGAGGGGAATTTGTTGGCATACTTATGTTTCTGAAGTCTGGTTGTTCCACGGAGGGGGAGATGGAGAGGGTTCGGTTGGTTGGCCCCATGGCGCCGGCCACATAACGAGGGACGCCTGTAGCCTCCGACACATCCTTAGTTGCTCGCTTGGCAACCTCCGCAGCCACTTTATTCAACCTATAGGTCTGCAAGGGCAAATCAGAAAGGACGGTGAAAATGTAATGTTTGAGTTTTACCACAAACATATGTTTTATTTTTAAATTGCTGTTCAGTTTGTGCATGGACGGTGATTAACACACGATTATCCAAAAACTCACTGTTGTCTTACCACAAAAAGTACGCAAAATTGTAAGTGTCTCCACGAAGGGAACTTTCAAGCATTTCAACTGCATAGGTTTTAAATAATGAACAGTAATTTCCCTCTCTTTATTAATATTTGCCAGAGACACTTTCGAATTCAGCAAAAATCGAAGCTCATCACCTTAGAAATTGCACATTCGGGTGCAGCCTTTTGCCATTTTGCAATAGGCTGGTTGCAGGGAAACATAACCGATGTGATTTTGAATTCAGGAGGCGGGATTCAGACCTATGCACGTCATGCATATCATTTGCATACATTAGGAGGAAAGCCTCCTGCTTGTTACCTGACCCAAATTTGAAGTCCGGAGGACAATGGGGGACAGGGAGCTAGACTAGGGCCTAGAGACCATTCTACTGGCAAGGTGCATCACTTTGTGCACAAAAGCAACCAACAGCTATTTTTCAGAGGTTTGCAGACGCCATTCGAACCTTACTGTGCAATTTTGCTTTGCAACTTTTTCCCCAGTTTATTCCGTGTACACGTCTGTCTAATACTGCAAAATCTTAACTTGAATTGCTGATATGGCTTGTAGCAAAGTAACAGACAATATGATACACAGTCAAGTCATTTCTGGAAAGTTGATAGATTCTCATTAGGCCAAAAAAAAAAAGTCTCCGGTTTCTAGTATGCACGTGCGTCGCCGTAGCCATGCGCGTCGGCAAAATGAAAAAGTTTTTTTTTCAATAAAAAATGATGTCTCAAAACCGCCAAACTCACTGGTTTGACTTGAATCCTGCTGCTGCACAATTTTAACGTGTTTTTAGATGGGGTTATGATCGAGAATAAGTTTTATGTGGCCTCTCTGGACTCCCATATATTTGCACTAAGTTTAGTCGGGCACCATTTGCAGTCATTAGCCGACATTTGAAGCAAAAAAAAAAAGTAAAAAAAAAAACAAGCCGCGTCGCCGCACCACTTTTTGGGCAAGCTCCATACCAGAAACCGGAGACTTTTTTTTTTGTTGGCCTTACTGTCCTTTTGAAACGGAATTCAACCAATTCCAAGGGGTCTGGGTAGTCATCTGAGTCTAACTTGCGGGCCATGGTGAGGCTTACGCAAGTCTAATTCATATGTGACAATCAGACAGTGAATCAATCAGTGAGTCTGGGATCAGACCATTAAAATACTTGTTTCTTTTTACGGATACACCCAAACATAGATTGGGCCCAAATACAACATAAGACACACAAATAGATACGAGATAATCTGCTCTGCGGATCGCACTTTTTTGCGGTCGATCCCTAATGTTTTGAGGGTAGCATTGTTCCCTAAATTTCCCTTTGTATGAGTACCCCACAAGTAGCTGTGGTAACTACGGAGATACAGTCATACGGAAATACGGTCATATGATCATACAAAATTTAGGAAAGGTAAGTGTCCCCCAAAACTTCGTTTTGGCGACACAAAAACATAGTAATTAAATAGAGATAATATAAATATTATAAACAACCACAGAAAATACATAGCATGACAGTGAAGGTTAGCGGATAATTAAAGATGGCAGATAGAAACAGGGGTGAGATTGGCAGACATGACAAATCCACGAAAAAAATCAGCAGAAGGTTTCTGGGAAGCTATTAAGGGCCTCAGAGCAAAGTCTAAGGTCATGATGGTACAGTCGATTCTCGTTAGTACAATTTCTGTCAATACAACATTCTGGTTATAACAAACATAAAGCCTTGGTCCCGACTGTGCATTTATGTGCACAATGAATGGGACTGATGTTCCTCTTAGTACAAATTCTGATATAACAAACAATTTGGCTAGGTCCGAACGAGTTTGTAAGACTCGACTGTATATGTTAGTATAATGACCAAACACCTGGCCCATTGTTTACCACAATAACCACTGATAATGTGCAGATTTCTCAGATGTTATGAATTCCTACAAACTGTGGCATGCATTTACCAGATGCTCCACGCCATAGTCGGCTTGCGCGACCCTGGTGCCACTGAAGGTATTGGTTTCCACAAAATCTGCCCCAGCCTCCAGATAATCCTGTAAGTGTAAGGTCAAATAAGATAATCATAAATTGTACAAATATTTTCATTTTTTTGCTGGTATGCCGAAGGAGATAAAGCAATGTGCATAGTCATCAGCTCTAGTCTAAAGCATCCATGCAATGGACATTTTAAAATGAGTTTCTTGAAATCCGCCCGTGTCCCAGAATAAGCCTTTTCGGAGTTCCAACTGCGCATTCATAACCTGTGACAACGCGCATTATTTGTCTCAAATGGCCTTTGACATCATCGCGCCACTGACTTTACATAAAGGCTGTTTGTGCATTGTGGGTACTGTCAAAGGGCATTTGAGACAAACAATGTTCGTTGTCACGGGTTACGAATGCGCGCAGTTGGAACTCCGAAAAGGCTTATTTTCAGTCCCACTATTTTTAAGATGTTTCTTGGCCTGTTTTGGACAATTTATGCTAATGCAAGTGTTTTTATTCATGACAACTCTGCAGTAAAACTTTTTTTTAAACAATTACCTGGGACAAAAAAGGCCTATAAATCTAAATATTTCTTTATTGTCTTCTCTCCACTGATTTCTGCAGGATTACAAGCTACATGGACTCTTTGGTTCATGGCCAGAAATAAGGTAACATAACATTGGTGAAAATAACATAAACATTGGGAATTGACAAGACTGCTTGAAATCCACTTACATACAGCCAAGTTAAATTTAAAAAACATGTTGGATCTTGGAGAAACTGGATTGTTGTATGACTTATTTACAGAACTAAGTCAGTAAATAAATATCCCGATGACAGAATTGAAAAAAAAAACCTGAGCCTAATTTAAAGTTACGTTATATCTTGAATGTGGTCCTTAGAGGGGTGACCACTGCCTCAATCCTGCAAAATCCTCCAGCAATCACTGTCAATATGTTGAGGCAGAGCCAGTAACATCCTGGAGCAGTGTGGAGGATTTTAAGTACTATAATCTAGGCCTATATTTATGCACAGCTGAGCATAAACAACACAAGGTCCGGCCTAAGACCTTGACACAGTGCATCCTCCAAAATCAGCCACACATTTTTACCATATGACCTCAATCCTGCAAAATCCTCCATTTTGCAAAGAGGATTTTGGAGGATTTGGGATTTAGGTCAGGGTAAACAGAGATGCTCAGCAGCAATTAAGGCTTAGTAACTTCATGTGCTAAGTTAAAAATCCGCCAAGTACCAGTCACAAGCAATCTACAGTACTTTTTGACAGGTAACCTGTTTCTGCTAATCATTTTTCTTTTTTTTGCTTAGTAGATTTCTGTGATTAGGAGCTTGCTGAAAAATGGTCGCACTGACCCTGTGTATCTTGTAGATGGCATCGGGCTGAGTGAAGACCAGCAAGTCATTGTTTCCCTTCAAGGGCTTGGTGTGGTCCTTGAACATCTCCCCACGGAAGCCGTCTTCGTCGAGGTGCAGGGCCTGGATCATGGTTCCCATGCCCCCATCAAAGATCATGATGCGTTCCCCCAGTGTCTTCCTGATGGCTGCTGCCACGCCTGAAAAAAGGAGAGCAACAAATTATAAAATGGATCCAGTTAAAGATGTATGGTCTGCACTCTTTTTCACATTATTTACTTTACTCCTAACAAATATTTTAGTGATAAGTTTTCCTAACAACCAAAGTTTTCCAATGTTTGGCGAAAGTGTGCCCCTGTTTTATTTTGAACAAATGAGTCAAAAATGTTTTTGATCTCTCAAAAAATCACCTTTACAATCAAAAGCAGACTTTTCTTAATTCCAATGACACCAGTTTTGCCATTTTGCATGTTTTGAACAGTTTCTTGGGGTAGAAATCACGATTTTCCTGCACAGTTTGTGCCTTGTGATTCAGCGCGCCGTGCGTGCTCACGGTACATCGCGCGGTGATCGCCATCTTTATTTTCGGATTGCGTGTTGTCGCATGACGTGCAGTGGAGCATGACGTGTGTAGGCCTAGTATGTACAGGTAGCGCTGAGGTTTGTTGAGGGCAAACAACCGTGACACCGTAGCCAGCTACAAGGTGCATAGATCGAGTGGCGGGGTGTTCTGCAATTGTGCCATGTGAGCCCTGATTATATTAGATGCGTTGCCGTTAGGCCTAGGCCTACTTTTTTTAAAATGTTACAAATTCACATAATTAAAAAAATCAAAGCAAACATGCATCTTTTGTGCACTGCCGTGACTGCATTGATTGAAGTGATTGAATGAATTTTGTTGGAAAATGTTGGTTTTTGGGACTGTGTTGTCTAGGTCTCGGTATTAGCTTGGACCTTACTATCGCCAGACCATGTCCAAATGTTAAAAAAAAAGGCGATAAGTTGGGTCCAAGTTACTCGGACTATAGTTCTTCTAGGAGTACACTGCCGTGACTGCAGTGATTGAAGTGATTGAAATTGAATGAGAGGCAGTGCCGGCCAACATGGCCAATAATGTCCAAGGCCACACTACCACTGTCATGACTGTGTCAAATCTGGCCAGTATAGTACACACGACGAACTCACGACACCACCATCATGACCATGGTCACGTCACACACAGCTTTCTGAAAGGAAAAAAAATATTGTTGAACTTCAAGTTCAAGTTCATTTAAGTTAGCAATTAAAGAATGAATGAAAGTTATGTTTTGTTGTTACCAGAAACACTGGCGCTGCAATCTTCGTCCGACACTGTTGGTGGCATTTTAATTAGAGACGAACAAAGTTCTAAATGTTCAGAACAGAGCTAGAGCCGACATCGAACTATACACAAACTAGGCGAAGGTTGGCCGGTGCATGCCGTGCGCGCGTGTACTACAGCGGTTTGTTTTTATGCAAGAAGTTCAATGACAATCATACAGTCGTGCACCTGGACTCCAGCTTAAAAGACACACAGATATTTCTATGGGGATTTTCGCATAGCCGGGTGACTAGCTGACCAGTGAATGCAGAGGGCGCGCTTTATGAACATCACATGCACAGTCACTCATGTCTGCATGTCACTGTGACCGATTGCTGGCGTGTTTGTGATTTAATGAGCGCTTGATAACTTTATTGTAAATGAACTTGAGATGCAATGGCGACGGCTACAAAGGTTCTTCTTTTGGGTTTCTATTATTGTTTTCCTTTTTGATAATGTGTACAGGCCTGGTACCTAATTTGAGAACCTGTACTTGTATGTAACTTTGACTTTGTAGGCCTAAGCCTTTTTTCGGGGGGGGGGGGGGGTGGGGGGGGGAGGGGGCGGGGGTTCGGGGGAGGGGGTAGTCCGAGTAACTTGGACCCAACTTATCGCCTTTTTTAACATTTGATCATGTTCTGGCAACTATCGCCAGACCATATCCAAATGTTAAAAAAGGCGATAAGTTGGGTCCAAGTTGCTCGGACTAGGGAGGGTGTAGGACTAGGCATGCTAGGAGGGGCATCGTCATTGACATTGTTAATGTTGTGCCATGATCTAAGATTTGCTTATTTGCTTTTTACAACCAGTTCAACAAAATTTGATGAGGACTCGTATGACTGCTCTCTGGCTGGGAATTGGGGAAAAGGGGCCATATCTGTGTCTTTTCTCTTCCCACAATATAGGCCCATGCGCCTCGGCCTAGTTGTCCATTGTGTAAATTTCATAGGTGGTATATTTTATTATTTATGAACTATGTTTAATGTGACTTAAAAGGTTTGCATGGTGGACATGGACAATGAATAGAAGGTTTGCGGCAGTCCGAGTAGGCTAACCGGTGGCCTAGACTCTACGAATCGCCTTTTTAAAAATATTTGGACATGGTCGGGCAATTTAATCCAGCCTCCACTACTTAAACAACTACACCAGCAAGAGCCTGGCAGTCTCCTGATGATGAACAGAGCACACTGTTCAAAACATGGAGTTAAAACAACTGATTCTTCTCATTACTACACAAACTCAAAAGAGAGATATTACTCACACGATGTTACCACAAACCTTCCATTCATATTGTACATGTTGTACGTTTAAGTATCAAAAATATCAACTATAACTTTAACCTGGGGGGATGTGAACAGGAAATGTAGGGGCAAGCTGTGATTGGATAACCCTTGTGAACGGCGATAGGTCAATTCCATCATGTTCATAAATTTTGTTTTAATTTTGTTGGTGTTTTAAACAGGTTGAATTTGCTGTGCAGATGACATGCCAGAAATGTGTCGATAGCATCAGCAAGGCATTAGAAGGAGTTGATGGTAAGAGGAGGGTTGTATTTTCCTTTTGTAGATGTTTGAATATTTGGCCGTCACAAGTCGTAACAAATTAATTACGAGTCTCGGGTCATTCGTCATTGTTCACTCTTGTGACCTGACTTTTGATTGACTTGTGATTGACTTGTGACTGACTACTTACTTGTGACTGACTTGTGATTGACTTGTGATTGACTTGTGGTTGACTTGTGGTTGACTTGTGATTGACTTGTGATTGACTTGTGATTGACTTGTGGTTGACTTGTGATTGACTTGTGATTGACTTGTGCTGACTTGAGATTGACTTGTGATTTACTTGTGATTTACTTGTGATTGACTTGTGGCTGACTTGAGATTGAGTTGAGATTGACTTGTGGGTGACTTGTGATTGACTTGTGATTGACTTGTGATTGACTTGTGACTGACTTGTGATTGACTTTTGGTTGACTTGTGATTGACTTGTGATTGACTTGTGACTGACTTGTGATTGACTTGTGATTGACTTGTGATTAACCTGTGGTTGACTTGTGATTGACTTGTGATCTACTTACAACTGAAATTCATAAATAAAATATAAATAACTTGGTACTTGGTTGGTTCTTCTTCTAAAGACTCCATCGGGGAGTTTTACAGGAGGCCAGAAATACCTGGGCAAACCCCTTCTCTTAACGATAAAGTGTTACTAGGTTCTTTTACGTGCATTGCATTGCACAACACACAGGACCTACGGCTTAGGTCCCATCCGAAGGACGAGGCAATAATGGTTAAGTGCCTTGCTTAAGGGCACAAGTGTCCAGACCCGGGCTGGAACCCACATTCTGCTGCCTCTGAAACACCAGAGCATGAGTCCGGTGTAGTGTGCTATGACACTTAACTGATTGAATTGAAAAACGAGTGACAATTAATACCATCTTTTATTTTCCTCTGCAACCAGGAGTGTCGTCATTGGACATCAATCTAGCCCAGGAGCAGGTGGTCATTGAAAGCATCCTGCCATCTTCTGAGTTGCTGGAACTACTTGAGAATACAGGCAGGCGAGCAGTGGTCAAAGGTCATGGAGTGTCTAACGGTAAGAGTACGAAGATGGCTTAATCTTAATCCTCTCACACCACAGACCAAGAATGTATGAAACGCTTTTGTTTGTTTTTGGTGTTTTTGATGCAGGCAAGCATCTTGGTGCAGCAGTATCCGTCTTAGACACCCCCCGCGACGGGCCCGTGGCTGGGGTCATCCGGATGGTCCAATTAGCCGAGAATCGTTGCATCATCGAGGGTACTGTTGACGGTCTCACGCCAGGGGTGCATGGGTTGAATGTCCATGAATATGGTGACATCTCTGATGGATGCAACAGGTGATGTTCAGAATTTGTTCTCCGACATTTTTTACCACCAATACGTGTGTATTGAGAATAATATTTCAAGGGAGTGACTCGAGTTAAGTTGAGTCAAGTCAAATTTATGCCCGAGGCAATTCGAGTCACTGATATTTGAAGACCATCTAATAATATACAGAATACGTATACAGTGTTTATACGTCGGTGAAGGGCAAAACGTAATATTAATATACAGAATGGAAGAAGAAACACAAGGCTCAAAATTATTATGACAGATCGAAAGACTTAACATATGCTGCATGGTACCCAATAGACAGTTTCTGCTGGACGTTTCAACCAAAGATCTACGTAACAGTTAACTAGAAGTGAAATTTCGGAAGTTATCTTTGCTTTGGCTTCGGGCCTGGAGTAATATTTACGCTGGTAACGTCAAAACTAAATTGCAACATACGAAACTGCTTCTGAGTGAGTATTATAATTTAGTTGCGTCAGTATTTTCCCAATAATTCAGTGGTGTAAAACTTGTTACATCGTGGAAACAGTCAATAGTGATTTATTATTATTATTATTAATATTATTATTATTATTTTTCATCAGTTGTGGAATGCACTTCAATCCAACCAACTCCAGGCATGGAGGACCAGAAGATGAAGAAAGGGTAAAACATAATAACTATAATAACGTAGTACCTATATCACGCTTTATACTGAAGGTCTCAAAAGTGCTTCACAATTGTTACCCCTGTGCATCAGGCCATAAGACCATTTTCACTGCAGCAGCTCGAGATCAGCGCAATCTGGTTGCAAAGGTACCCATTTATACTCCTGGGTGTAGTAAAGTGTCTAGCCCAAGAACACAAGCACCATGTTCCCCGTCAGGGTTCAAACCCACGTACCACGGCACGTGTGTCAAACACTGTAACCATTGGACCAATAACAATGGCTACAGAAGCAATATAACCCTTGCATCAGATCTCTGGCAGGGTTGGCTGATTTAAATCACGTCGTTGATTTAAATCACTGATTTAAATCGCGATTTAAATCAAATGATTTTTTTAAATAAAAATCACTGATTTAAATCACTTTTTTGTACAATCTGAATTTTGGCAAAAAAAATGTATTGTGGTAATTTTTATCAATTAAATCAACTAATTCCACCTAATTACATACCGGTAGTGTAAGTTGTTGTTAACATTCAAGCACCCCTACGTACTTCATCAGCATCGACTCAACTTACCACGCTTACATGTAGGTTTTGCATAATTTTGCAAAATCATTTTAAAGACAGCACACTCACTCTAATCATTCCTTGATCTATTTACAGCAATGTGAATCAACTGTGCTGGTATACATGTTGGCTTACCTGAATCATCTAAAGGTGTATATTACAGTCCCAATTGATCAATCTTATTCCTAACGTTTTAAAGATCTATGCAAGGCCTGATTTCTATATCCAACCTTGTATGAAGGACCATCAATCAAACACTATAAGTTACACAAGGATCAGTGCTACCGGTTTTGAAAGTAGAAGCATTTTTATGAAATATACATGCCCATGGAGAACTGTACTATTTTTGTATGTCATACCATACATTGTACATTTAAATCACGTTTTTCATTTATACCCACACACAACGAACATGTATCTCAGCTGTATGCTATCACCTTTAAAGTGTCTTCAGTATTAATGTACCATTGAACCAATGAAGTAGACTACATGTACACATGTAGATGGAATCGTGTGATTTTTTACCACTGATTCCATACATTTTCTCCAAAAATACTTATCAATTTATGGAGTTTTGTGGATGATGGGTATTATAGGAACCTGTAAACTCCTTAGTGATGGGTGTAAGGGTGCATCCGGAAATTTAGACACATTTTTAGACATATCAATATTTTGAAAGTTAAAAAAATCAAATAAATCTGATTTAAATCAAAAAAATATGATTTAAATCAAATAAATCTGATTTTAAAAATTTTTTTGAAAAATAAAAAAAATCGCCAACCCTGATCTCTTGGCATGACTTTCTTCTTCTGAGATACCCACGAGTAGACGCATTGTACTTTCCATTGTCACTTAATTTAAATTAAAAAAAAAACCTGTCCGCAGTGAGGGCTCACTGTGCAAGGGGTCTATGAACACGATTAAGCATTGAACAGGAGAAATTTACAATGCATACGCATGGTGTTTGATCAAGCTGGTGTTTGATCATGAGTAACAAACTCCGTCCCTTTTTCATATTGTACAATATTAGTTTCCACTTGACTTTATTTCTATTTTATAATACTTTCAATTATTTTTATTTTTTATTTTGTTTTTGTTTTGCTATTTTGTTTTGAAGCATGATGGAGACTTGGGGAATGTGATCGCTGGTGAGGATGGACGAGCAAGATTCCGCATGGAAAATGACAGAATTAAGGTTGGTATTCAATCACTTAGTTTCACAGTTGATGCCAGAGTCTTATATAGCGCAAGTATCTACCAACAATTAGGTACTCAAGGCCCTGAAAATTATGTCGTTTATTAAAGACAGGTAAATGAAGTCTATGAGAAATATGAGACCCATTCCAATGCTTCAAAATTGACCAAGATGATTTGAAGGAGTTGTACGCTTTTTGGGAAGGTAGAGCTCAGCTTATTTGGGGTGTTTTTCTGAAGAGTGGTACATTTGTGAGGATTCGGAAAAGTTCCTTGTAAAAAATATTTAGAGAGCTACATTTAGGGCAGCGACACATTTTAATGCAAAGGCAACTGGTTCTAGGCGGTCTCTGAGACAGGCACACTGAAATTTTCTGAGGAATTTCCATTAACAGGTGCGTTAAGTTGCCTTTATTGGTTCTGAGCCACTCTGGAAATCAGGGAAACCTTGAAAATGAGTTTCTCTCCTTCCAGTCAGGGAAAACCCAGAGAATTTGAGAAAAACCACCAAAAATCATAGAAAACTCAGGGAATTTGACTGTGACCCAGAAGGAAAAGGTTATATCCAGTTAGGCTTACATGTGCGTCTCTGTTGCATATGGTGAGGAAAGGACGGCTATAAGTGGAGAAGGGAGGTCTTCGCTTTTGAACAAGTTGCCTGTGCATTAGCAGTAACTTAGTATCTTTGCTGCAACCACGTCTTGATTTTCCCAGCAACCTCATTAAAATGAAAATATTTCCCTTGGAATTTTGGAAATTTCTCAAGGAAATATCAGGGAAAATCGGGGAATTTTGTTCTTCATAAAGTGCTTGGAAACCTGCTCTACACTGCCTGTAAGACCGGCCATTTCTTTGGGTAAATAGACTACTCAGATATTCACAATGTTTGTGTTCAGGTTTGGGATGTGATAGGACGCTGCATGGTCATTCATAGCGGAGAAGACGATTTGGGACAAGGCGGGAAACCCAACTCTAAAACAGATGGCAACAGCGGACCAGGGTAGGTTGGAGTAAGGGATGAACACCAGCAAGTCCAGAACTGAAAAAAAATTGGGGGAGTGCCAGAAAATGGGAATATTTCTTCTTGAAAGGGGTAATGTTGGGGTCTATAAAAGTTAACTGGAGACTTAATGAAAAGTTGATGAGGATAGAAGACATTGTCTTCACTCCTCTGGTTTATTTCTTTCTTTTGTTTGGGGGTGGAAATAGGCCCCAGTTGACAGCCCTCCTTCATCTGCCAATTGGGATGAACCTGTGTTTACTGGACACAATTCTTCTTTTCTGTATGACCAGCACGAGGCCGAATTATTTTTTGACTTCACTGCTGACTTCCTCTTCCCTGCAGTTATTTACCCATAACACAAATGCTTTTCAGAAACTTGCCCTTCCTCATTATTGGAATAGGTGGGTGCGGACATTTGGGAGTTTCTTACATTGCCTTGTCTGGTTCCGAGACCTATTTACTTAAAACTTAATGGTTCTTGAGTCTGGAGTGATGGATGGTAACCCATCACAGCCGATGATGACAACTGGCGTGCAAATGAGTAGATTTTTCAACGGATGACACCCCGCCCCCACCTATACCTGAAACTTCTTTTGCAAATAGCTACATGTAATAAGAGTGAATACTGAAGTAAACAATGAAGTTGTTGAACTGTATGAAAATAGAAGAAATAAAAAATGTATATTTGGATTTTTGTTTTGTTCTTCCCGTAGCCTTGCCTGTGGGATCATTGCCAGATCGGCCGGGCTGTTTGAAAACACCAAGAAAATCTGCCAGTGTGACGGAGTGGCCGTGTGGGACGAGAGAGATGTCCCATTGGCCGGCCCAAGCCGACAGCGGCACGGCCAGAGCCAATTGTAGCAATGTGTGATGATTGGCATGCGAATAAATCTGGTATATGAATATTCATGTCCCATGGGCTGGCCCAAGCCGACAGTGGCACAGCTAGAAATAGAGCCAATTGTAGAATCATGTGATTGATATGCAAATAGATCATTGACATGAATATTCATATCCCATTGGCTGGCCCAAGCTGAACATGGCACAGCCAGAACCAAAGCCAATTACAGCATTGTGTGATGATTGATATGCAAATTGCCTCACATGAATATTCATATCCCATTGGCTGGCCGAGGCCAACCATGGCACAGCCAGAACCAGAGCCAATTGTAGCCCTGTGGGACCTTAGGGAAATACACCACTGTAATTTGTTTTTGTTCTTTGTGTTAAGTTCAGTCTATGTCATTGTTGATTTCATCTTAATGAAATTGAATTAGGGCAATTCACAATGCAGTGCGCCACCAAGAGTTTGCCATGGAGAGTCCATTTTTCAAGTTCACGGTCGACAAAACATGGCCCGTTTGAATGAGTGTCGGTAGACAACTTGAGCTAATATGTCATAGATTGGGGCATAGCGTTCTGCCGCCTTACAAAAAACACCATATTGATAACAAGAAAAGAAATGAGCAAACAGATCCATACACTTACGAAACCACTGACTGGAACAAACTAATGATTTCAAATGTCCTGCACTGCGAATTTGTCGACCATCTCCCACAATGCACTGGGAAAAATGAACTCTTTATGGCAAACTCTTGGTGTCGCACTGCATTGTGAATCGCCCGAATTGAACTGTATGACTGATATGCAAATAACTCAGTGACATGAATATTCATAACCCATGGGCTGGCCAATTGTAGAATTAATAGAAATCAGAATATTTCTGAAGAATATGAATATTGAACTGACTAGCGAGTCATTCCTTTTATAGCATGAAATGCATTCTTCCATAAGTGAGTCTTCATCGGCTGAAAAGCATCGAGACAAATCAAAGTTTTGGAAACAAAGCTAAAATTTATTCATAAAATCCACCATTTCAATGAAATCATGTTAATAATGGATGCCTCTCGTAATTCCACACCATGCATGTGAAACATGATTTATACAAGATGTATTGTAAAATATATTAAATTCATAAATCATATTTCTTTCAACTTAAACCGTTGCATTATATACAGCAGTGGAAACAGTAGTAGTGGATGAAACCAAGTAAAGGCCTAAAATAGTCATTTCACAAATCTTATGTGCATTAGGTCTGAGTCCCCTTTGCAGTGCATGCACTATTAAAGCTGAAAATTGTAAAGCAGAGCAGGCACCTTGCTATTAGTTCAAGCATTCAAACCGTCAGAATGGCCCGGAGCAAGAAATAGAGAAAAATTGGCTGGATGTTTTTACGAAAAAGCAGAAATTTGAATCTGAATTAAAGAAACAACCATCGTTTTGTTTTGTTTTTCCAATTTATAGTGTAGTTCTCACTTTGTATTTTTTCAACGTAAGAGTAGTATGCATCTGACGAAAATTATTATTGTACAATATCATAGAGATTCAATTTCTTCAAATATGATTAGTACTTGCAATATTATGTTTGGAAAGACTTAGCATCCAGATCCCACTTTTTTGGTTGTGTACGAAGTCCAAGGAGAGACGAGTGCATTTTCAAAGTATTTTCTAACAAAATTGGAAATGTTTCTCCGTCTCAGATTCATGTCTCTTCAACATTTTGGCACTGACTGACCTTCATGGAGAAAATATATGATGAAAAAAAGTGGCATCAGTATGCAACATTCTTTCCTAATAATGTGAAAATCTTGAAGTTGCCAATAATGCCATCATTCGACCACAGTTGGAAAAAATCTTTGTGAGGAAAAAAAAGCATCTTGGCATAAAAATTTCAAATCAAATGAAACGATAACCACTAGCTCTAGTTATTTACCCTCACTTTGAGAAAGTGTCATTTGTAATTGTGTAAATAATCTTGAAAATAAATAAAAAATTTATAGAATGGAAACTCTGTCCATTCGTCTTTGTTGGATTTGTTAAAATGAAACCATAACTTTAGAAAACTTTTTAGATCTAAGAACAGTTTCACGGAATCTAAAAAAAAAACATTCCAAAGATGCATTTGAGTGTCATTTGATTTTAAGAAATAAATTCCCAGTCCATGCAATAGTGTGAGCAAACATCTCAATACTTTGACCAAGCCTCCAGCACTTTGAATAGAGTTGGATGTAAGAGCTGTAGTGAAGTCTATCACAAGTCAAACACAACTCGTGAGTCCAATCACAAGTCTATCACTAGTCATGCCTCACACAGGAGACGTCTGTATCACATTTCATTTGGATAGCTTGGATGACTGGTGATGGACTTGTGATGACTTGGGAGGACTTGAATAACCCTTAAAGGCAGAGTAGATCATTTGCAGCTATCCAAAAAGTAACTGACCAAATAATTGTTGGAAAGCATTCTTGGTTTAATAGCCGTGAATAGGTGCGCGCAAGCATTGACATGACACACACGCGCATGCGATTGCTATAAGTGCGGGGCATCGCGTAGCTGCAATTGGCTGAATGTGAATGTGTCCCAGACGCTGATTTTGAGCGCAATTCAAAACATGACTGCAACTTTTGAATTGAAATCGAGATCCTTGAATATTGTTTTCTCAGAATATCAGGTTAGCTGTTAAGCGCCCTCCTTTAGGTTTTGAACACTTTTGTTGCTTCAAACGGAAAATGCACAAATGACAAATGATATATTCTACCTTTAAAGGCATATAGGATCATTTGCTTTTCATGCATTTTGTTTATTTCCAATAATAGCACCACTGAAAATCCAAGGAAGAATGTTCAAAACCAAACAGTTTCAGCTCAGTGGATATTACACTTTTCGAGAAAAACAGTAAAAAATTCTGCACAGCCTTATGATCACAAAACACGATTTCGTCATTTTAACTCCTTATTCCAAAAACACTCAATTGACTGATCATTGGAAATCACTAATATTCTTGACTTCTTAATGACAGCAAACCAGATGGAATAATGTCAAGAGTCTGATCTTTAATCCAATAATTTGCTAGGGTACTTTTGGGATAAATGCAAATGATTCTACATGCCTTGAAGAATGTGTCATTTTGGTTACAGGTTTCTTGCCAGTATTTTTCAAAGGGGACAACAGGATTTTTCAAGGGAGGGGGGGGGGGGGAAGGAGGGAGGGGGAGGATATGGCATTAAAAAGACCAAATGCCCTAAGCAAATTATTTCAGAATAGCACATCAGGAGGGGTTTTGCTGACTCCTTCACTCAAAGACTACGGGGGTGCCCTTGCACAGGTTTGAGGGTCAGACTACACAGACACAAACGCTCAATTGTATGGCCAGGCCTCACAGCACCCCTCTTCATCAATACATGTAGATTCCTTTGTAACTCATGAAATACGCTAATTGTTGACTTACAACTTTCTACAGTTTGTGGACATTTTTTGCTTAAAGCAGAGCGATGAGACGGGAACTCCAACTTGATGTGGGATTTCCATTGGTGACTTCATGCATATATCTAGTTCTTATATGCATCTTGTTTACACTTGATGCACGATGTGACGTGCCGTTTGCACACAAGGCACAAGCTTTGCAGGCTTTTTAAGCTAAAAACAAACAAACAATAGATCAGTTCCACACAGTACTCTAAACATGGAGTGGATGGTTACAGTAATTGTCACTGAACCGTGCCTTCCTAGACTGGTTTCTGCCTCCATATGTATTCAACATCAGAACGATAACAGAGGGACCCGAAACCAGTCTACCTGCCTTCCCTGGTACACACTGATCATATAAAGATGATGCAAAAAGTCTGTGAACCGGTGAAGTGCAATAGCGCCCTCTTGTGTACCCACATAGTCCGTGCTTCAACTGATCCGTCCGCGTTGAGCCACCCAGACATCATGAACTCTGCGACCGTGATCTGAGGTTGTAGGAATGGTTCTTAGATTCATCTTTCTGACGGCCGTTTAAGCAAAGCTCAATCTTTCTGTGCAGCATAGTGGGAAGAAAACTCAGCTCACTGCCTAAAACGTCTATATCACTGACAATGGCCTCCGCGCAAAGTCTGAAAATCAAAAACAAACATTTTAAATTTTTGTTGTAAATGTCGGCATTATCTCTGAGTGATCCCCGTTTGCTATTTCCCAGGTTTGCGGCATTGCTAAATGTGGCTAGCATCGTGACATTGGGCGTGATCCCTGGCTACATGGCACAGACACAGGTGACTGGTGTCCTTGAATAAAGACTCTGACAAATTGGAAGCCGTCAACAAAGGCCTGGGTAGCTCAATTGGGGCGATTCACATGCAGTGCGCCTGAGTGCGCCACCAAGAGGTTGCCACAGAGAGTTCATTTTCCCAATGCATTGTGGAAGATGGCCGACAAATTTGCAGCGCATGGCATTTGAAATTGTTAGTTTTTCTGGCCAGTAGTTTCGTAAGCGTATGATTCGAGTATCTGTTTGCCCATTTCTTTTCTTTTGATCAATATGGTGTTTTTGTAAGGCGGCAGAACGCTATGCCCCAATCTAGAACAAATTAGCTTGATTGTCAACTGACACTCATTCAAATGGGCCATGTTTTGTCGACCGTAAACTTGAAAAATTGACTCTTGGTGGCAAACTCTTGGTGGCGCACTGCATTGTGAATTGCCCGAATTAGTGGAGCACTGGTATGGCAATCTGAGGGTTGCAGGTTCAAACCTGGCTCTTGTCAATTTCTTTGTTCAAATTCTAAACTATCATAACGCACCTAGTCAATTTCCCTTTTAGAATATTTGGAGATTTTGCCTGTCACAAATTCAGAGGGGATGAGATCCTTTCTCCCAAAATTTAAAAAGTATGGCACACTTCAAGGTCATGTCCATGAGCAAGATATTTTGCTGTGACATTGGATGAAAGAGTAATTATCAATGAAAATGGGAATACAGAGATAGGTACATATATATATGGAGGATGAAGCTTTTACAACTTTAACATAAAGGTACAAAGGATCATTTGCTTTTGTGTATTTTGTTTTTTCGCTTGAAGCAACAAAATTGCTCAAAATCAGGAGAAGCTTGCACAACAACTATAACTTTATGACTTTTAGATCAGTTGAAATCCATTTTTGAGAAAACAAAAAATCCTTTGAACAATGTTGGTACCTACTGCTATCTACATCAGATTCGAACCAGCCAACCGATCCTGTTAGCTTGGTGGTCGAGTGGTAAGACATCTGCAACTAGAAAGCAGGAGGTCGTGGGTTCGAGTCCCACCCGAGTGATTTTTTCCAACTTTCACTCAGGAGGTAACACACTGAGTATACAGTGTTTAAATGTCGGTGAAGGGCAAAAACCTAATTTGATTTATATCACCCCGACGCAAAATTCCATCTTATAACAATGTTTTAGTCTCGTAAATATCCGTTTCGTCTATTGAATTACATGTATGCCTGTCGTGATAAAATGTCAGCTTTCAATGTTTAACCTTTTGTCCAGCCGCAGAAGGCTCCGATCAGTGTTATGGCCTGTGTTTCTACCATTGAAACACTCCAATAATGACTGGTGAAAGAGATTAAAACTACGTTCGCGATGATTTTAACGTGCCATTTCTATCGACTTTTCTTCGAAATTATGATTGAAATAAAATGACATTTAGTGAAAAAAATCGTAACAAAATCAAATTTTGTGGGACACATTGTAAGAAAATCGGAAATTTCGTTGGAAAATTCAAAAAATCGGATTTCCGATTAAAATCGGAAAAGTTTCATCTCCAACAGGTGCGCCTGGCATGCAAACAGGCATGCTTGTTGCTCGAAATTTCTTCGAAATACGGCACAGCCGATGCGTGTCACGAAAACTTGACACCCAAAATGCTGATGCACTTGGCAATCTGTAGGAAGCGACGCCATTTGAGAGAGACCCATTAGATACCACATTTGAGGTTTGATGCTTGCATGGTAGTTCTGCAGACTTCATATATTTTCCACTTTCAGCCCTGTCTACTTTTCTCTTGAATTGCCCAGTTGGCTCGTAAATACAAGTTCTTTTGTACCTTGAGAGGCTCTTGGGGCTGAAGAAGAAGTGGAAACACTTGCTGGAGTGGACACTTCTTTGGTCTTGATCTAAGAGATCGTTGCTGCATCCTCCATAGACCACCGCTTCCCCCAAGTCAGCACCACTCACTCCCGTATGCCACATTCTGGCAAGGAAAAGAAAAGGTATGGTGAGGGCACGTGGCAAGGAATGAAGCACAGGGGAGTGTACAGCCTTGTGGTTAGGGTTTGTGACTCATGATCAGAGGGTCAGGGATGGAACCCTGCCGCTGGCCATATGTTGTGTCCTCGGGCAAGCCACTTCACACAACTTGCCTCTGTCAACTTCCATGTGGGTTGTTCTTATAAATTCGAGGTCCACTTTTTTTTCCTGTCCCTGTTACATCTGATACCTATGATGTAATAATTCTGATGCACTCCTTAATGCAGTCGTCCTCCAAGAGTGATTATGAAGAGCAAACTACCTACCCAACAAATAAAAAATCACTTGAATGGCAAATTACAAAGTACCACGTAAACTGGGACAGGAAAAAAGTCACACTTTGGACCCTGAGCTTATAGAATGACCCATGTATAAGTACAAATGGGCACCAGCATTAGCTTGAGAACAACCTGCGATGCACTGGCATCCCATCCACTGCTCTCTATATAAAGACTGGATAGCGGATATCCATACACCAGTCACACAGTAGACTTTGCATATTGACCAATTTGCCCCGGTCTCACGAAGATGGCTGTGTATATTAAGAACGTTCTACGCGTATATAGCGCGCGCTGTATGAAGAGTTGACGCGCATTTTGGTCACGTACACGTATTATGATGTTCTAAAAAGGACACATTTCCACAGTGATTATTATTTCCAAAACGCCGAAAAAGGAACTGCGGCATTATAAAAAAAAGAAGTAAACCACAACGTTTGAAAAATTGTAAACCTTGGTCAGTGGTGATGGTCAAAATATAAATCAAGTGGACTGCGATGTTACAAAAGTAATCATGATGCCTATAAAGACGGCAACTTGTCCTTTATGGATCACCAGCCGGTCTCACCAATATGGCGTCAAATTCATTCATTGTGCGGCTCATTATCCGCTATCCAGTCTTTATATAGAGATCAGTGACCCCATCCAGGGAGAATAGAAATATTTTCAATAGTTCATGCCAATGAAATTGGATGTAAACACTGGCCTGTTCAGCCATACTGGCTTGGGACGGACATTACTCTTGAAGAAGAGCCGGGGGTGGGATCTGAACATTATACCTGATATCAAAGTCACAATTGTTTTTTTGTTTTTTTTGGTTTTTTTTACATTTCATCTTTGTGAGCTTTAGGGCAACACACCCGGCACATTTTGACACAAACTTCACAAATTTCGACCTGCAATTCTTTCAAAATGTGAAATATTTGAAAGTAGGCTGACATGACTTTATACTTGTTCTAGTGATCCTGAATATGAAAAAGTGCACACTTGTTGAAGTACACGTCTGAAATACCCACGGTATCACAAGTGTGCAATCCCAAAGTGTATTGATTTATTCAGGATATCACTGCTACAGAACCTTAATAACAACGGTCTGTTGGTGATGCAGTCAAGTCTGGGTCCAAAAAGTTTCCTAAAATAAAAGTTTAAAGCCAGAGTCCATCATTTGCAGCTATCCAAAAAGTAACTGGCGTAATTATTGTTGAAAAACATACTTGGTTGAAAGATAGTAAGGGGACTAAACTCCCTGTGAAATTATTCTTTCTGGCAAGCTGTCATTTTGAAGAAATCAACAAAAGAAGGCCTTTCCAACAGTGCTTCTTAAGAAGCACCGTAGGAAATTCAAATTAGTAGTTCGTTTCGTTATTCGGCGAAGCGCACGCAAGCATTGGCACAACGCACACGTTCGCGCGGCTGCTGTAATTCGTCGGATCAGTGCGCGATATCGCGTAGCTGCAATCGGCTTAGGGAGGACGTGTCTCGGACAACTTGAAATAAAAATCCTGTATTTGAAATAAAGATCCTAGAATGTTGTTTTTCTCGAAATATACAGCTAAAGCTGAGCTGAAACTTCATCATGTTAGTTGTTCAGCACCCTTCTTTAGTTTTTAAGCAATTTTGTTGTTTCGAACGAATAAAATGCACAAATTACAAATGATGGACTATACTTTTAAGAAAGCCGACAGCCTGATCTGAGCATTTACAGGCATATAGGATCATTTGCTCTTCCTGCATAACACTGTCAATGTTTGTAATTCCTAATCTGTTAAGCATCTAGAACTGACCTTGTTTCTGAGGGTAGACTTTTCTGTTGGTGCCAGGTGTGATTCTCCACATCAAAAACCCACACGTCATCTGGCACAGAATTAAAAAAACAAAGACCACTCTGAAATGTTTGAAAAGCATAATTAATATGGTTTCTGTGCCACTCCTTATAATTTGCATTCTGGAAAAAATTGCACGTAAAATGCGAATGTGAATGCGAATTCTTTTCAAAAAAAAAATCCCCTTCGCGTTCACAGTGTTAACTTTCAATTGCAGCGAACTGTAGATTTGGTTGAAAACAAAATGGGACATTCTCATGGGCGTCGCGAGGGGGGGGGCAAGGGGGGGCACTTGCCCCCCCCCCCCCCCGGAAAAGCAAAAAAAAAAAAAAAAAAAAAAAGGACGAAAAAAAAAAAAAAAAAAGAAAAGAAAAAGAGGCGCGAAGACAAAGTGGTGTAAATTTAATGAGTTGGGGGGGGGGCAAAATGTCCCTGCCCCCCTCTAAAACTGATAAATCGAGAATGTGTTGAGAAATACAAGCATTTTTTGGCCAAAATTTTTTTTGCCCCCCTCTAAAAAAAATCCTGGCGACGCCCATGGACATTCTGTTCAAAATTACTGCATTGCTTCCCCGACTCCTTTTTGTTCAGGTAAAAATGAAACTAACCTGTTTTCAAAATGAAACCAGCCAGTTAGCTCTGGCCCGTACGTTAACTTTTGCAATGTTACGAACCCCATCTTTCTTGCCCACCCCACAGATACATACACCATGCATTCTATACCCCAATATACATGTACCGATACCTCCAGACATCTGGTACATGTGAGCAATGTATATTGCTGTTAATCTTTACGTGTTCATCAAACACATCGAACAAAAAAAGTTGAAATCCACTGGAAATAACTTACTAAGAGGCTTGCAGTCTGTAGGCCTACCGCTACTGTAACCACCATAGACCAACAGGTGTCTATCACTTACTGGGGCCATACAATGCCATGACCGGCCTGTTGGTATGTCTTCACTTGCTGGTTGAATACTATACAGGGAAAAATAACAAGCAACATCACAAGACTTAAAACATTTTGGAGGATTTTTTTTTTTATAGTTTGTGATTAGCACCTCATGAGCAAAGACACTGACTCATTGGGAGGCTGTCAAAGTATCATAATATTCATAAGATGGAATTTTTGCGCCAGGGTGATGTAAAACAAATTAGGTTTTGCCCTTCACTGACGTATATACTTGTTAGCTCGGTGGTCGAGTGGTAGGACGTCTGCACTAGAAAGCAGGAGGTCGTGGGTTCGAGTCCCAACCGAGTGATTTTTTTCCAACTTTCACTCGGGAGGTAACACACCGAGTATACAGTGTTTATACGTCGGTGAAGGGCAAAACCTAATTTGATTTATCATAATATTATTACTTTGGGAGGCTAATCATCCTTACTGGTAGCTGAGATGCCAAAGGACGCGGCTACAACGTGGTCCAGCCGTTGGCATGGAAAGGTGCCTTTGGCAAACAGCCGTACAACCCATGTCTGACCATGGAGCACAGCCAGAGATCGAATGTGTTTGATTTTTGCAGAGGACGGAAAACCGGAGGGCCCGGAGAAAAACCCTTGCGTCACAGGAGAGAACCAATGCACAACTCAAATATATTCCTAGCTGGGAACGAACTGGGGCTACGGTAGTGAGTGGCAAGCACTTTACGCACTAGCCACCCAAGCCACCCACAGGACAGCTCAGTTGGCACAGCACCGGTACGGTGTTCCGGAGGTCAGAGGTTCAACTCCTTCCCCAGTCAAATTTGTTTTGTTCCACCTTACATTGTTTTGACGACATTTTCAAGGTATTGCTATAATAATTGTCTTCACAGTCTGACCAGCAATGGGCGACAATGTACTGACCTTCCGACCCACTCCATGGAGTCCAGGTTTAAGACGTGGAGGTCATTCATGCGAACGTCCTCGAAACGACCGCCAAACACGTACCCTCGGTTGCCGATGACAGCCACAGCGTGAGCTGCTCTTGGACAGGGCCGATGACGCTGATAAAGGCAAAAGATTGTCATGATGGCTTAAAAGAATCCATTGGCAACGGTACTTTACTGTATTACACTGCATTGAGTCACTGAAGAGTCCGTTGCATTGTAGAGTGCTCAGACGGTTTTGGGCGCTACAGGTAGTTTGGGCTGGTTGGTTTGTTTCTTGCGCTACAGTCATGACAGGGACTAATGTTTTGTGGTTAAGTACATGTACATGTATATTTGCTAAGTAATAATTGTCACATTAGAATTGTCATTGATTTTGGGATCAGATTAAATCTGCTTGTGTGTTATGATCATTTCATTCGTTCTATGTGTCCAGTTGTTTTTATTGGCAAATTGTATAAACAATATATCAATTTTATGTGTGTTTGTATAATGCTTATATATGTGTATGTATTTTGTATTTTTCAGCTGCTTTAGATGTATATGATTTGTTTCTTTCCATATGATTCCTTACTGTAAACATTCACAGTTTTTCTTTGTTTTTAAAGGGGGTGTATATATATTTTTTCCTAAGTAATATCTGTCTTATGTATTTGGTTTCATCACAAGCATTTTGCTTGTCCTGATATATTTTCAATTCTTTCGGTCAATGTCTCTATGGGTTGGTAATTTGTATGTGTATAATATTTGTATGTGTATATAATGTGTGTATTTTTGTGCATTTATTAAGTTTTTCTATTTTACTATTTTTATCTTTGACATTTTTATTCCTTGTATTGACTTTTTCACACATTTTAAAGTTACAGTTACTTTTTTTTTTATATAATGCTATAGTATTAGTTTATTTTTTTAAACTTGTAAAGCCCCTTGAGCGTCTTTTTTAGACGGATTTTGGCACTATATAAATGTTCACTATTATTATTATTATTATATAACGGAGCAACTTTGCACCTTTCTTCTTTTGCGTAAAGTGTTTTCACACAATCATTTGGCCTACCCATGTTGAAATCAAAGTATTCGTTCACACCTACATGTACAACAGTGTGTGAATGGGTCGGCCATTTATAGGCCTGGGCGAGTAGTGGATTTTTCTACATCGGTACTCGCAAGGAAACTACTCAGGAGTAGTCAACCAAATTCCAATAAAAGCAGACAAATTACATACACGTTAGTATGACGGGAATTACCTACAAGCAAATAGCGTTCACTTTACACTTTCCTCTAAAAGGCAAGTCTTGGACTTATGCACTGTGCACTGTGAAACAATTGTGTACTGCGTCATAACTGAAATGATGCTCAACGCGAAAAGTTGAGCAACTTACACAATAAAAGGTGGTGTGAGTGGAGTTGGGCCATTGCGCTAAGTTTTTTTTTAAATTGGTTGCAGGTCTCAAGTTGACAATCCGAGTTGACTAATAGCAAAGATACTTTTTGTAATACCTCTGATTTGACATAACTCCATCTGTTGTCCGTTGTGCTGTAGACAATTAATTGGTTATTCCATCCCCTTTCCTGCCAAAAAAAAAAGGAGACGACACAAGTTAAGAGGAGCATTGTCAAAATCTGGATTACCAATTAAACAAAAAGGCTGAAAATTTATGAAAGGTCTGAACGATACTAATAATGTCTTTCTCTCCGAATTTCTGAATCTTTCTCTCCGATTCAGAAATTTCAGACAAAAGTATGAAAAATCTCACGGCTGCAAAATCTAAGCGTTTGGCTGGTTTTAACAAGTTCACGTCGGATGACGTATACAAGCGAGGCAGGAAATATCTGTCTACGACCCGCTGGCAGCGGGCGAGGCCTGAAATATCAGGGTGTGCTACCCGCAGATGACAGCCTGAACCCATCTGGCATCGAGGTTCGTGAAAACAATCCCGCGCCTGGGTCTGGTCAATGTCAAAATAATCCTGGCGAGAACTGGTTAACTCACTGAGCAACAGAACATCATTGTTTTAAACGTGTCACTTGAGAGAGATACACGCAGTGTAGATCAAATCTTATATTTGAAGAACGTTTTACAGTTGATTCTCATAAATACCAACTCAATTGAGACCAAATTTCCTATAAAACAAATATATATCATTTGTCCTGATCAAATTATGTACATTGCTATGGGTAAAAATATTGCTTCAGATTAAGACAAACTTGTTTAACCCTAACCTTGCCAGATGCAACACGGTGCATCGGGTGTAAAAGTCTGTCGGACTTTGCAGTATTGAGCTACCAACACCAGCGCATAAACGGCCAATTCTGAGACAATGACAGCTAGTCCCATTGAACAATGCCATCGTTGCATCCTGCTGCAGTTGGTGACCACAGACTCTGAGGCAGTTCGGCCTTGAAACTTTTGATCTGATGGATCTTGCTACACTGGGCAGGCTCGTCATTTTGACAAGTGTCACAGACAAATTTACAACGAAAGGGATTCTTAACTATGAAAAACAGTCACTTGATTCATTTGGACTGCTGAGATGGCCTTGTTTTATGCAAAGTTCAAATGTAACTGACATTTTGGACAGGTCTGACAGACTTAATAGTTAATGGGAGTCAACAGTACATATATCAGGGTTCTCAGCACTTTATGAAAACAAAATTCCCCGAGTTTTCCCTGAAATTTCCCTGAGAAACTTCCAAAATTCCATGAGAAAAATTTTCACTTTAAAGAGGTTAGTGGGAAGTCAAGCGGTGGTGTAGCACAGCCGACATTTTGTTATTGTCTGGAGAAATGTGTAATATTCACACTGCACAAATTCACACTGTCAAATTCTCTGAGTTTTGCCTGAATGGAAAAATAGAAACTCGTTTTCGTGATTTTCCCTGATTTCCAGAGTGGCAGGTAATGCTGACATATGTGATGCGATCAAGCTACATGAGTTGTTTGTTTGAAATTTTCATTTGGAGATACAGGCCAAAATAGGGCCACTTCATCACATCACTTCATCACATCTCTTGGTGTTCCGACTTCCATAATTTTTTAACTAAAGATGGTATCAGCATGTGATTTTCACAGCAATAATGCTGAGATTGTGCTCTTTTCAAATCTGTAATAAAAAAAATTTGACCATGGTCAAAAAACTATTCATTTAGGCCAAAAAAAAAAAATACTCGGTCTCTGGTCAGCGCGCGCGTCGATTTTAATCATGCGCGTCAACCTTTTTGTTTTTCAAATTAACACGGAAGCTACAACAGCGCCCTCTATTGCCGCGCCTCCTCAAATTTTTGTACCAAGGAGCACCAAGGAATGGGGAAATTGCACCAAGGCAAATGATAAAGGGCACCAAGGCAAATGATAGAGGACACCAATGTATAATGAGGACACAAAAGAGCAAAATAGTACCCACCTTGTCTGTACAATACAAGCTTTAAAAAAAAAGCCACCCAAAAAACAAAAACGAAATGCGTCGCCGCATCAATTCTGGAACTTCGGTCTGACCAGAGACCGACTATTTTTTTTTTGGCCTTGGCTTGATTGCATCACATATGTGAAAAGTGTCAATTATCAACACTTACATGTGACCAGAAGCTTGACGGGTCCAACTGCCACTCGTCTGTTCTGTTAGTATCGTCTTCGTTATACGGAGGCGGGCCAAATCCTCCGAAGATGACCAGTCTGAAAAGAGGGTAATATTTACTGTAAACGTTTCAGTTTTGTAATCTGTATAGGCATGAGAGAATATGGAACCCAAGCAAAAGATAAAACAGAGTTAATTTACACTTGGATAAGGCATATAGGACCATTGAATTTCCATGCATTTTGTTCGTTTCCAATACCAACACCACTCAATACCCAAAGAAGAATGGTCAAGCCTGTGTCAAGCTCAGCTCAGTGGATACTACACTTTTGGCGAAAACAGTGAAAAACCATGCGCGACCTTTTGATCATGAAACACGATTTAGTCTACAGCACTCTTTGTCTCCAAAAATAAGTCAATTGACCGATCGTTGGAAATCACCAACATTCCTTGATTTCATCTAAATGACAGCTAGCCAGACGGAATAATTTCACAGGGTGTTTAGTACCAGTGCGATCTTTACTCCAGATAAGTTTTCTAATAGTAATTCGGTAGGTTACTTTGGGGATAATGCTAATGATCCTATGTGCCTGTAAGGCATTATAATAATCCAGCCCATCACGAGTCTAGTCACAGGGGACAAACAATGACAATTGAGTGCCTTTGTCCAAGTTTATGTCAACAGCTTGTAAATTTACAATGTCGACTTGTGATTGACTTGTGATTGACTTATGACAAATTATGGGTATGTTCACCCAAAAGCCTACTGAAGGGATTGTGTTAGACCGTAACACCCATGCACCATCATACTTGAAAGTTCAGTACTGCGGTGGATTACAACTAAAATAAAACGATGGCACCTCGCAGGGTTAAATAAATAGGTTCAGCTGGGAACTTACATGTAGGTTACAGTGGGTTGATTTTAAGATTGGGTTTAATCACATGTCAGAGTCTCAGGCGTAGTTGAATTTCATTGAATTGGGCTGCCCTACGCAGAGTTGTAGACAATGCACTTGACAAGTCCAGCCACAAGTCCAGTCACAAGTCCAGCCACAAGTCCAGCCACAAGTCCAGCCACAAGTCCAGTCACAAGTCCAGCCACAAGTCCAGCCACAAGTCCAGTCACAAGTCCAGCCACAAGTCCAGCCACAAGTCCAGTCACAAGTCCAGACACAAGTCCAGACACAAGTCCAGTCACACGTCCAGTCACAAGTCCAGTCACAAGTCCTTTCACAAGTCCAGTCACAAGTCCAGTCACAAGTCCTTTCACAAGTCCAGTCACAAGTCCAGCCACAAGTCCAGTCACAAGTCCAGTCACAAGTCCAGACACAAGTCCAGTCACACGTCCAGTCACAAGTCCAGTCACAAGTCCTTTCACAAGTCCAGTCACAAGTCCAGTCACAAGTCCATTCACAAGTCCATCACAAGTCCAGTCACAAGTCCAGTCACAAGTCCAGACACAAGTCCAGTCACACGTCCAGTCACAAGTCCAGTCACAAGTCCTTTCACAAGTCCAGTCACAAGTTCAGTCACAAGTCCAGCCACAAGTCCAGTCACAAGTCCAGCCACAAGTCCAGCCACAAGTCCAGTTACAAGTAAATCACAAGTCCAGTCACAAGTAATTCACTAGCCTAGTCACAAGTCTAGTCACAAGTCCAGTCACAAGTCCAGTCACAAGTCCAGTCACAAGTCCAGTCACAAGTCCAGTCACAAGTCTAGTCACAAGTCCAGTCACAAGTCCAGTCACAAGTCCAGTCACAAGTCCAGTCACAAGTCAATCACAAGTCCAGTCACAAGTAAATCACAAGTCCAGTCACAAGTCCAGTCTCAAGTCTATCACAAGTCAATCACAAGTCAATCACAAGTCCAGTCTCAAGTCCAGTCTCAAGTCTAGTCACAAGTCCAGTCTCAAGTCCAGTCTCAAGTCCAGTCTCAAGTCCAGTCACAAGTCCAGTCTCAAGTCCAGTCTCAAGTCCAGTCACAAGTCAATCACAATTCCAGTCACAAGTCCAGTCTCAAGTCTATCACAAGTCCAGTCTCAAGTCCAGTCACAAGTCCAGTCACAAGTCCAGTAACAAGTCCAGTCTCAAGTCCAGTCTCAAGTCTATCACAAGTCCAGTCTCAAGTCTATCACAAGTCCAGTCTCAAGTCCAGTCTCAAGTCCAGTCACAAGTCCAGTCACAAGTCCAGTCACAAGTCCAGTCACAAGTCCAGTCACAAGTCCAGTCACAAATCCAGTCACAAGTCCAGTCACAAGTCCAGTCACAAGTCCAGTCACAAGTCCAGTCACAAGTCCAGTCACAAGTCCAGTCACAAGTCCAGTCACAAGTCCAGTCACAAGTCCAGTCACAAGTCCAGTCACAAGTCCAGTCACAAGTCCAGTCACAAGTCCAGTCACAAGTCCAGTCACAAGTCCAGTCACAAATCCAGTCACAAGTCTAGTCACAAGTCCAGTCACAAATCCAGTCACAAGTCCAGTCACAAATCCAGTCACAGATCCAGTCACAAATCCAGTCACAAGTCCAGTCACAAGTCCAGTCACAAGTCTAGTCACAAGTCCAGTCACAAATCCAGTCTCAAGTCCAGTCACAAGTCCAGTCACAAATCCAGTCACAAATCCAGTCACAAGTCCAGTCACAAATCCAGTCACAAATCCAGTCACAAATCCAGTCACAAGTCTAGTCTCAAGTCCAGTCACAAGTTAATCACAAGTCCAGACACAAGTAGCAGAGGGATAAACAATAAAAAAGTAGTGCCTCTGTCACATTTCATTTGAATAACTTGTGACTTGACTTATGATATGACTTGTGATGGACTTGTGATGACTTGCAATCAATCGCAATTACCTCGACTGCAAGCTGACCCTAAATTCAGTTGGATGAATACATACAAAGACTTTTTTTTCTGCACTTTTTTAATGCAGACGAAAAGTCCTCACAATCAAATGGTAAACGGAAGACATACTTGTCTTGATATGACCAGCATGTCACTTTATCCCTGGGCGAGGGCGGCATTCCTTCCGGCTTTAAGTGCTTCCAAACTTTAGTCTTCAGGTCCAGCCTGTAAAGCTACGAGGACAAACATTCACAGCGTTGAGTGAAAGCAAACCACAACAGGAATTCTTCTTTTTTTAAGTTCTGATTTAAGATACAAGAGTTGAAAATCTGACTTAATTTTAAATGCAATGTTTCTCTGAAAAACAAATATCCTTATTTTAAATAAAACGATAGACAATTGATAGACAATGAGAGCTAGTCATCCTGCTGCATTCGGTGTCTATAGACTCTGAGTCAGTTTGGCCTTGAGATTTTCGACCTGATGGATGTTGCTGCACTAGGCATTCTTGTCAATTTGACAGGTGCTGCATGTTGCTCTTTGACCCCAAAAGGGCCGGGGGGGGGGGCGGAATCCGCCCCCCTCAACTTTTTCCGAGATAGCCTTGAAAAAAAATTTTTTTTTGCAACCCGAGCTGTTATGACTTTTTAGCCTTGAGCCTTGCGCATCTTTTGATACCAAAAAAATAGAGATCAGACCGTGGGTTGCCGCGCAGCCAAAAATTGTCCGGTGCTACGGGCCGTGAAAACTGATTTTTCCCATATACGTCGTGTACACAGAGCAGAATTACCATTTGTACATATGAATAATTCATTAGCCATAATTCCAAAACCCTTTGACCTATAGTCATGAAATTTATTGGGTATGTTCATGATGAGTTGCTCTATGCATGTACCGAGTTTCACCGAGATCTTACGCCCCCCCCCCCCCCCCCCCCCAGGTGAGAGCTGATCAAAATAACCCCGCCCTTTAAGGGTTAAGTTCTATATGTTGTGATGTACATGTATTTGTCATATTGTGAACATTCCAAGCCCAAATATGTACATCTTGGGTGTTGCCTGAACGGACTTGCCTCATTGGAATTGCCATTCTTGTAGTATCCACCAAAGAGGTACATGTGTTTGCCAATGCAAGCAGCACAGCTCCCAGACATACCTGGGGGACTTTTCCGGGTATGCCAAACGTCCCTGGAACAAAAATGAGAACAAAAGGTCATCTCACTGTCATCTTACTGTTCACACTTATATTGGTTTGTACACGTGTAGAGCACTCAGCATTACATTTTTTGTATTTCCACCATTGGGATTGTATTTTTAACCCTGGGTGTACAGCGCCAGACCCATTTAAAAGCCATGTTGGATTTCGCTGTATGGGGAGAGGTGACTAAAATCTCGACCCAGGCCCAACACAGAAATTTGGCGTGAAATGTAAGCAGCTGCCAATTCAGGCGATTCACAATGAAGTGCGCCACCAAGAGTTTGCCACGGAGAGTTCATTTTTCCCAGTGCATTGTGGGAGATGGTTGACAAATTCGCAGCGCAGGATATTTGAAATTGTTTGTTTTTCCGGTCCATAAGCATATGATTCGAGTAAAAGTTTGCCCTTTTTTTTTTATCAATATGGTGATTTTTGGTACATGTAAGGTAGCAGAACGCTGTGCCCCAATCTATAACAAATTAGCTCAAGTTGTCTACTGATACTCATTCAAATGGGCCATATTTTGTTGACTGTAAACTTGAAAAGTGGACTCTCCATGGCAAACTCTTGGTGGTGCACTGCATTGTGAATTGCCAAAATTAGAAAAATATTGCTTTGGACATTGTTTGTACTATTAGGCCAAAAATCAACACAGAACTAGTCAAGTGCATGTATAATTTGCATGACTTTTATTTTGCAGATGGCCTGTTTAGCTGAGAACATGAGCCAGAAATAAATATGAACTCTAGGGCTGTCCCGAATAAACTAAATATTTGAATATTCGATCATCAACCAAATATTCAAAATAGTTTTTTGCTGGTTTGAATATTCGAAAAGAAAAAACTATGCAGGTGCACACACGGCTGAGATGTTCCTTTAATCATAAAGCTGCAATTTTTTTTTCATATGCCACTTTTTGTCAACGGTAACTTTTTTGTTCACGCCTTTTTATTGGTCCCATTAATTTAGCTGGGTAAAGTCCCTGGACAGTTATACAGTACTTAATGCAAAACACTGCAGTGGCCCATGATATTCATTGCCTCATGCAAATTGTAACCGGCGTGCTTTGTATGCAACTTTTGACCAGCGAGGAAGGCAGCTGCAGCTGGCGCGTGTAAAACTTGATCGGCAAGTTTCAAATTTCCGAATATTCAGTCAAGTGCAGTTTCAAATAATCGAACACTAAATTATTTGAAAAACGGACAGCCCCAATGAACTCAGAGTTAGGTTTTGCCCTTCTGAGTGAAAGTTAGAAAATTTCACTCAGTTGGGACTCGAACCCATGACCTCCTGTTTTCTAGTGCAGATGTCTTACCACTCGACCACCGAGCTTGCGGGATCGGTTGGTTGGGTCGAATCTGATGTAGCAGAGGGTACTGCAATGAAACTATTCATAGTATAAACACTGTGCACTCAGTGTGTTACCTCCCGAGTGAAAGTTGGAAAAAGTCACTCGGGTGGGACTCGAACCCACGACCTCCTGCTTTCTAGTGCAGATGTCTTACCACTCGACCACCGAGCTAACGGGATCGGTTGGCTGGTTTGAATCTGATGTACATAGCAGCGGGTACCGCATTAACTATTTATAAGATGGAATTTTGTGTCGGGGTGATGTAAATCAGTATTAGGTTTTGCCCTTCACCGATGTATAAACACTGTACACTCAGTGTGTTACCTCCCGAGGGAAAGTTGGAGAAAAAAAATCACCCGGGTGGGACTGGAACCCACGAAAGCAGGAGGTCGTGGGTTCGAGTCCCACCCAAGTAAATAATATCTCATTTTTCTTGAAGTATGGCGCATAGCAACAATGCAATCCCAGAAGATGCGAGGGGGTTGTCTCTCATCATATCAGGGGTTTATTCATGATAATCTCATGACAAAACTAAACAAGAGACAATGCACACTTGGCAGTTTTTTAAGTTAGCCATCTATACGGGTGCAACTGCAAATGTTGGTTTTTTTTGCTGACAGGCTGACCCTACCCAAGAGGCCAAAAATATATAGAAACCATAGAAAGAAAGTCTTCTTACCACACTTTTGCCTCTATGTTGTAACACCAGACTTCTTTGCCATCTAAATATATGTCATCACCCACATACCACATCTGGTGACCTGTCTCATTTGCATCGGAGAAATTGAGCTGCTCCTGAAACACAATAGACAGATTGTAACTTGTTCTTGTATTCCAATTTTGGATTTTTTGAATTTCTTTAACAAAAACTGAATAAAAAAAGGAAAATAAAAAGAGCCTTTGCTATTATTTTAAATTTAGATTAGGTGACAAATTTTCATTTGGTTGGCTCATTTGAATTTTGTGGAAATTGCTTTATGGTATTTCACAATAGAATGTGTTTGTTGTGAACTATAGAAATACACCATTTTTGACGTTCAAATACCTAATTTGAACTGATTGACAAGTGGATATTGTTGACACTGATTGATGCAATTTAGCATGCCTTGTACCGGTACTTACTGTATAGCCTCCCCATACAAGCATAAGGCCACCGTATGTCACAGCCACATGGCCACTTCGTGGGGTAGGTTTCTTGCAGTTGGCTTGGATACGTCGACCAGCTGACTCCATTTCACCAACTACAAAGAAAATGAATACTACTTGTAGTCGTTATTGATACTAAAAATGATGTTTATGCCCCAGCTATAGAAATGGCCCCAACTACACATGTACTAGTCCGGGTAGTCCTAACTGTAGTTGTGACGAGCCCAAGTGTAGTAGGGATCGTGCGAACTATAGTTAAGTTGAGACAATGCCAGACTGGAACCTTAAGTGCAGAAAAACACGCAAAATATTCGGACTACGTTTAGCCGACAAAGTCCTCCTAAATTTTCATGAGGCAAAGACAAGGCCCACACTTGAAATGGAACTCCTTGTCATCAGCTGTACTCCTGTCTCCAGCAGACTCATCTCCATCCGCATCTTAGCTAGGCCACACAACATGACCATCATCCAAGTGTCCGTCCCAACTTCAGACAACGATGATGAGGAAGTTGAGGAGGTCTACATGTATTGAGCAGCTGGATGCCATCATAGCGCAAAAGTCCCAAAGAAAGACATACTCATAGTACATAAAACGCTACAAGGACAACTTGAAACACAACCTCAAACAATGTGCTTTAACCCTTTCATGCCCACATTGTTTAGTGACTAGGCTCTCCCCAGGACCAAATTGTTTGCTCAGTCATGCGGAAATCACTAGAGCGTGAACAAAATGAGCACGAGTCAAAAACTCACTTTTTTCAACCCAGATTTTCATTGCCAAGGAGTGATTAAAATCATAAATGTTGTGTGTAAAGTTTGTTCCTTGAACCTTACTCTTATATGTGATGTAAAAATGAAGTCCAAACATGCAAATATAAGGAAGTTATTCCTTTTTGTTCATCTGGTCCAAATTATCAAACTGCAAGCCATTTCACCACATGACCAAATGGCACTCCATACCTCAAATTGTGCGTGGATACTTCTGAAGCACTTTTCTCATTTTTTTTGTATGGTAACACTATGAATAAACCACACCAATAGAAAGATCCGAAAACACTCTTTCAGCAGGTATATACATATATAGTTGATGTATGGGCGGCCAAACATATCAACATGCCGCCTTTCTGAAAAGTAGTGAATATATCTGTGTTGAGGGTGTTTTGTGTGAGGTTTCCTGGTCGACTAAAGTCGCCCATGGGTACTTGCAGGGGGCTACTTCTTGTCGACAAAAGTCGCCCATGGTAAGGAAAGGGTTCAATACAGAGGACTGGGAGGAACACGCGAGTAACAGACCTGGCTGGAGACATGCCATCCACACTGGTGCAGCGTAAAGAGAACAACAGAAGAAGGAGCACAGTGAGAGACTCCGGTCAGCAAGAAAAGCAAGACAACAGGCTGTCGGCACAGCTCCATCATCTACAGAGTTCAGATGCCCTGTCTGTCTCCGTACGTGCCTTTCAAGAATCGGGCTCCACAGTCATCAACGAACTCATGTGAAATGAACATTGCATATGATGAATGAATTACTCATATTCTGCGAACAGTGATCAAGTGGACCTCTTACTCGATAGAGGGATTGCCGAAGAAGAGACATGGAGACTGGAACGCCAAAGTAAGCCCAGATACATATGAGAACCGGGTGGGGACAGTGAGTTAGACGATTTGGCATTGGGGAAACCAACAACAGATGCCTTGGGTTGCTAGAGTTTGCCAAGAGTCACCGCCTCACCCTGGCCAACACTCGCCACCCTCATCACAAGCTGTTCAGAACTGCTAGTACCTGGCACTCACCAAACGCACAAACACACAACCAGATCGACTTCATACTGGTTCCACAACGCTTCAAATTTAGCGTCAACAAGGCCAACAAGAGAACTTTCCTCGGCGCCGACATCGGTAGCGAACACGACCTTGTGCTGCCAACCTTCACGCTGAAGCTGAAAGTCAAGCGCTGTCCCCGAGAGCCCCCGAATCTGCTTTGACCTGGAGAAACTCAGGGACCCAGAAATCGCTGAGGTGTTCCAGAGCAGACGATCATTAACTGTACATATTGTTATTTATTTGTTGATTGAATCTTTGAATGGTTGGCGGGAAGATCAAAGCCATCAACATCAAAGTAGACACTCTCGCCAACGACATTAAAGGAGTGCTCCTTACAACAGCTGAAGAGGTGCTGGGGAGGAAGTGGAAGAAAATGCAGCCTTGGGTCACGAACAAGGTCCTTGACCTATGCGACAATAGAAGAGCGCTGAAGGGACAGAAGCATGAAGCAAGGGCGCTACTTAAGCAAGTGCATCGAGAGGGTCAGGAAGATGAGAGCAGCCAAAGAGGAATGGATCGAGACAATTAAGAGAACATTGCCTGAGATTGCAGACTTGTGGGAGCAACATACTTTTGGAATGAATTCCATGCATGCCATATATGGCCATCACTTATTTTTCCCTGCAAATTTGTGCAATTTATTTATTTACATAATTTCTTTACCTATGACTAAGTATGAGTATGACCTATCAACCATCATCAGAAAGCGATAACATGTCCTAGTAAAAGTCAAATTTAGCAGGGAAAATATTGAAGCACTTAATGAGAAAACACTTAGAATTTTTCAGACAAGTCTCAAAGGGTTTGTGCACAGGGTGTCAAGTGATGTCCAGCTATGGAATTCTTTCCAAACTTTTTTTAAGAATAACAAAAAACGGAAAAATTCCCATATTTGGCCATCAGTAATTTTCCCCTTAAATGACCTATCAGTATCACTATCAGCCACAGAAAGTGATGTCCTAAAAGTCAAAATTACCAGGGACAAATTTTGAATTTTTACTGAGAAAACACTTGGACATTTTCAGACCAGTCCCATAGGGTTTGTGCACAGGATGACAAGTGATGGTCAGATAGGGAATCTTTTTCCCCAAAAAACTGTGGTGTCCTCAACTTATGTACATGATGTATGGGACTGTGCAGTGTGCATGCTGTCATTGCTGTGTATTCCATGTAAAACCTGCAAATCTGAGACTGAGAGCATTATGTTACTGATAAAACATAGGCTAGGCTTACCTCAACCTTTCTTTCTTATGCAAGGAATTAATTCGCCTAATTTGTGGTTGCAAAAAAACAATGGAAATGACGGATGTTTCACGTCGCGACGAGAACGATTCCGTCTATCCGGCCACCGGCGTGAAGAACTACAACGCCCTCTTGCGTAGGCTTAGACTATTTCCGTTCTAGGTACGTTTGACCGCATATCCCATGTACCGCCCCCATTTTGGGGACATGCGGAATCCCTGCACTATTCCGTGCATGCTAGATCAGATGATTCAGATCATTCAGCTGTACTTATTACATGTATTATGTCTGTGCGATCTCTTTCAAGAGAAGCAGAAGGAGTACTTTTACATGTAGCAGTCTGAGTTCTTTGAATGAGGCAGTTTGTGATGAGCAAAATACCAGTGTTTTACTCAGTCGATAAATGAAAATGATGTCTTAAATTTGACCACGGACTGCGGAGTCAGAGAGTTCTTGCACGTCTTGCTCCATTATCAGGTGAGTAAAATTATTTCTCCATGGTAAAATGACGTTTTCTAGAATTGTTAATTAATATTAATGGGGATCCCTACTCGACAAGCAGTTGCTTTTTGGGGACCCCATCCACTTTTACTTTTCTTTTCGTATAATGTATTGCGTATACACCAGTTATATGTGGAAAATAAAGAATGAATGAATGGAAAAAAAATAGAACTAAAAAGTAGAACATTGTAGAAGGCACTGTCACTGGTCGATGGTCCGAGAACTTGCCCTACACTTGCAGACTTGACCTTTTGGAAAGAATGTTGTATGACGCCACTTTTTTCTTCATATATCATCTCAATGAACGTCAGTCTTTGCAAAAATGATGATTTTTTTGATAAAGATTATGACTGAGAAACATTTCCAGGTTTTTACTCTCCACCGTCTGTATTTCGACATCGTGAACGTTGCACACACACACGTGTGTAGTTTCAAGTTCAACTTTGTTCAATGATGATTTTCAATGATGATGATTATTTCTAAGAAAAAGTAACATTTGGCTCAGTTCAGTTTTTGTGTTTCTTTGACAGATTTTCACCTGCAGATGTAATACCGTTGAGAGAGTAGACATCAGACGCGACATTCTACCATGGCAGTGTTGTCTGCCGTAACTCTCTTAGAATGGGACGTTGTGGTTTTCTGGTGTATGGTTACAGCTTCCCTCATTTTCCTGCTAGTATTACTTGCCACTGTCTTCTTCCAGGAGGTAGGTCTGTACTAGATCCTTCAAAACCCTCCATTTTGGAGTAGCATATCTGCAATTTATTTTAAACGATTTATCACTCCCTTTTCGGTCATGGTTTTTGATTAATGGAACGGGTGATTTATTTTTCATCTCAGTCAGTATTGAATGGTTCACTCACCTTTTCAAAACATGGGTTTGCTTACCTATTCATAACATTGGTCATGAAATTAACTTCAACGTCCATTTTGGGGTTTTAGTGCTAGACCCAGAAACTGGGGTGCGAGAACTCCTTTCGAAATTGTGGCTTGGTGGGTCGTAGCGCCTCAGCGAATCGTTAGCATAAAACTGTAAACTTTAAGTAGTATTTACCACACGTCCAGCTCGAAACAAAATTGCCAAAATGACAACAAAAATACCTTATAAATTGCCTACAGTACTTGCTTTTCAAGGTGTCAAAGACTAACTACTGGGGCTTCAATTTTACTCACGATCATTTTTGGAGCTGCCAATCGACAGAATTTGACCAGTTTCCACAATCATGGTTCACACTTTCTGCTTCATGTTGGGGCAAAATTAATTCAACCAAAGCAGGGTGCATCAACGACTGTTTTGTGAAATGATACAGTACGCACCGTGCCTACAGGCGCTAACGCGCACGGACATCGTAGCCACAGTGCGGCTTGTACCATTTCACAAAATAGGTCAATGACGCAAATTTCATCTTATGAATAGTTTGTTTGTAAGATTCGAACCAGCCAGCTGACCTTGGCAAACTCAGTGGTCGAGTGGTAAGACGTCTGCACTTAGTAAGCAGGAGGTCGTTGGAACGAGTCCCACCCTAGTAGTTTGAGAATTTTTCTCAAAAGCACTCGGACAATGCTAAGTATACAGTGGTTTTAAAATAAGGCAGTGACGAGCAAAACCCAATTGAACGGACCAATGTAACGGCTAGTACAATGTATACATGTAGCAGACATCGTTCCACTGTTTAATGTTTTTGGTCCATTTTTGAGTTGAAAACTCTGATTAGCGTGATGTGTGGGGTGCTGTGGTCCAATGGTTACGGTGTTCGACTCGTGTGCCGTGGTACATGGGTTCGAATCCTGACCATGGGAACATGGTGCTTGTGCTCTTAAGCAAGGCACTTTACCATTATTGCTACGTCCTTCGGATTGGACAGAAAGCTGTAGGTCCCTTGTGTTGTGTAATGCACGTTAAAGAACCCAGTAACACTTATCGCTAAGAGAAGGGGTTTGCCCCGGTGTTTCTGGCAGTGGCTGCAATATGCGCCGCAGCACCTTGTAAACCATTATAAGGTGCTACATAATGGGTCTCATATTTCTCATAAGCTTCATTTACCTTTCTTTAATAACAGACATGTTCTGCAGCGCTTTGAGTACCTATTTGTTGGTACATGTAGATACGTGCGCTATGTAAGACTCCGTTATTATGTGTGATCTGCCAAACCTTTTAAGTCTCTCTAGTGAACCAAACCAACAAATTTCCCTGAACAGATCCTGTGGTCTCATACTGCTCTTTACTTTGAGATCTCTCAGGACTATGTGCGATCAATCTTGTTGACATAGAGTTCTTTGAAACACGGATTACGTTTGAAGCCAACAGATCTTAGATCTTGTGGCGGGAAGCATCGTGTGTACATTTTGGCAGCGGTCATGTTTAACACTTGTGACTTGCGGATTAAACCCAAAGGCAAAATTGAACCAACATAAGTTAGGAACTGCTAAAAAAATATGTACCTGCATAATTGAATAAAATTTTTACCTGGTAGTGTTGTTGGATCACATACACAAACTCATTGTTTGAAGAGTTCACAACCTTACCATTTTAATGCTATGTATAGGCCTACGGGGATAGAACAATCTTCCACTAATAAATTCATTAATTTTAAAGCAAGATTTTGCATTGAGGTATCCTGACATTTGTCTTTCTGGAAAGATTTCCATATATACAAAGTTCACTCAACACCCTGTGTACAAACCCTATGAGATTGGACTGAAAAATTCTAAGTGTTTTCTAAGAAAATGCTTGTATTTTCTCACTGCTCAAATTGACTTTGATGACATGAAATTGCTATCTGGGGGCTTGTTAGTCAATACAGAGGAAAATTAGTGAACTTCGTATGTATGGAAATCTTTCCGTCTTTCCTTAATTGCCTAAGTAGCACAAATATCGTAGTTTGGAACATGTACGTGTGCCAAAATATGCAAAATGTCATGTACATGGAAATTGTGCACAATGTACAGTATGGCCATTGACATCCTACAGGTAGTGTACTGAACTGTACATGTACAATGTAGATGGCATTTTCTTTTCCATTGCTGTAACAATAGATACACAGTTCATGTACATTTGTTTTTGTACTATGTATTGTGCGCGTGTACCTTTTCTACAAAAATATATGACCGGCTCCACAATAAAATGGTATTATGTGGCAAAAAAGTGAAATTACGTTAAATGTACATGGTTAGAAAGCCCATAACGTTTCATTTGGTATACAATAGAGCTCCGTAGCCCTTCCCATTCTGGAGATGTGACATGCTACTTCCTTGGAGTTGAGATTACACAACTGAGAAAACAGGCTTTGAAAGAGCTGGCTTTGTTGTAAAACAACATAATGATGCACACAAAATCGTTGCTTTTTCCACTTTGGGCATCAAAGTCAACATTTCTGTGAATGAAACCTGAAAGAATAGGTATGTCATTCATGACAAAAAATGAAAATCACATTTTGACAAAAAATTTCAGCCTCTCAATGTTGAGCGGGCCATTACACAATAATCCTCAGAGTGACTTAATACCCTTTTTTGTGGAGCCGGTCACATATTTGATCTCTCAAATGTACATTGTACAGTATAAGTGTGTGTGTACTAGGGATGTGATTTTGGGTTGTTTTTTTTCCACAACGGTGTGAAACACGCCATGGGCTTGAGCTGCTTATGTTGGTTGGTTGGTGAGTTGGTGGGTTTGTTTGTGGGTTGATTGGTTGGTTGGTTGGTTGGTGGACACTCGTGCCACATTTTCACTGGGGGGCACTAATATCTATGTGGGACACAGACGCACTACATTTTCTGTGTTCCACAAGCGCGAGCGTGATAACGAATTTATCTTCAAGCAAACTTGACGTACAGTAAAGATGGAACATGCACAATGTTCACAAACTTTTCAGCGGATATCCTATTGCACGTGCGTGTTGTATGGAATGGCGCTCGCATCTTAGAAAGGTGCAATACGCGGAGTGCGGTATGGACCGAGGCTGTGCTACATGGTTATATGTAGCACGGCTTGTTGCCATGGATCGACCAATCAGGATCGAGGATTCAAGTTAACTTGAAGATAATACGTAATAGTGTACAAACTACAAATGCCCCCTTCTCATAAATTTTTCTTTTGGGGGTGAGACAATTCGCATGTCAACTTCTACAATTGGCTGCTGCCATTTTCACACCTAAAATAGTAAGTTACCAAGTCCAAGGCCTGGGTTTTTAACTTAAGTTTAGCATTCCGGTGGTCTTTAGAAATGTAGAATAATTAGATCATGTATTTGTCCTTGAATATTTGTCACCGGTATGTCAGTTGTCAAGGATGCATGCTGGAAAAACAGAAAGTCTGTGTATTAAAACAATTCCTCAGTGGACCAACAAAAATGATAGAAATTCTGGACTTCCTTAATTCACAGACTGCTTGGCATGTTGACAGGAAAAAGGTTGTTTATTTTTGTCTGTTCCTTCCTCCATGGTTAACCTAGACTTGATCACAAGTCGTTTAAATTTAGCCGTGTTTTGTCCGTGAACTTCAGTCGAACTCCATTGATGCGGCTGGTATAAGACTAGTACGTAATAGGCCGGGTTGCGACCACTGATCTCTATAGAGATCAGTGGTTGCGACATATCTAACGACTTGACGATTACATTCTCGCACCGTTATTCATATATGTGTGCGTGCAGCGCAATACATATGCAGCACATGTTTGCGGTGAGATCCAATGGCGCACCGCTATGCAAATGAGGACTCATTCATTCCGTTACGTGGGGAGTTCTTCTCAATACGTTGGGGACATGTTTGCAGATCTGGCGACGTTTTAACGACCAAAACACTCAGCTAGGCCAATTGTGTATTGAAATAAAATGTATCATTGTGATATACTTGATTTATTTGAGTCGTGTATGCCCTATAGTGATTTTTTGCAATGTTACACAACACAAAGTAAAACCCTCAAAGTAATGAGAATGATCTTCCGTGGCGGCCTAGAATACGCTCTGGAATCTGAACCAATCAGAGTGCTCGCATAGAATTCGCTAGCAATTCAAAATACTCCCATATGTTGTGTACAAAATAGAAAAAGTATTCGCCAAGTAGGTAATTGAACATCAATAGTCAGCATCATTTGGTCTGGGAACCAGACTACGCCCATTGCAGCGTTATATATTTTGCGTGTGTGGAGCCAGTAACCGGTACGGTATACGCAAAACAATTACCGACTTGGCACCAAGTCTATGGTTACCCCCCAAAAATATTTCCTTGAACAAACTGCCCTGGCACAAATTCAAAGTGTTTTGGCAAAATGCCCCCATAATAATATGTGTGCAGTCACTGAAAAGATTGTTCACACCAGATTCTGTGTTGTAAAGTTTGTTGACCTGAGAAGTTTGTTGACCCCATGTACAGTCTGGAGCCCCATCCTCATTGTGTTGTGTTTACCAGATTCTCAGCAGATGTAGTCAGGGAGATGAGTCATCATGCTGATTTTTTTTTGCTGCCAAATAAGTTAATGATTGTTGAAATATTGATCCTGCTGGGTCTGTCTCCATGGTCTGACCTCCGTTTTGAACTTGACAATGTGTTGCTGCATTGAGTTGTTGGCAATAATAGTGCATACTTTACCTTTTCTGAACTTTAATCAATAATGTTTACAACAAACCAAAAATATGAAAATAATGTCCTGTACATATTTGGTTATTGCAGTTTTCACTTAAAGCAGACAGGGGAATCAAAACAAAGCCAATTTTTGGCATGTGAGTAAATGTTTTTTTTCTTCTAAGAGTGCCATGATCTTGTCATGGTACAAACATATGTTGTACAAACATATTTTGTTTATGCAGCATAAGAGATAAATGTAGCTAGTCCAACTACTGCTAAAACCACAGCCATTGGAACATGAAAGAGTGCAAAAAAAAGTACAATGTTTACAACAAACAAAAAATATGAAAAAATGAGACATTATTTTTTGATTGGAAAAAAGGGAAAATTTGTGGTCTTTTTATATAATTCATTTATTTCTTTCTTCAGATACAATAAGGAAAGGGGTAAAAAATATCTTTTTAAATATGGGTTTTAATGTTTGTGAGTTGAAACAAAGATCAAAAACTGTACATTCCTTAAATTAAAGCACAAGTAAAAGTTGCTGTAAGAGCTTTTAAATTGCTATTTCTTGCAATTCAAAACTTAGCCACTTTTGAATGAAACATCTAGCAAAAAAAAAATAGGCCCACATTCAGTTATGGAATATGTACAGCCCCACCATCATTCGGGCGCGTCCTATGGGCACAAAAGCAACCCAAAAGAAAAGCGTCTTTTTGCTCCAAAACAGAAAAAGTAGCTTTTTCCGTTAATAACACACAAATTGAAAATTTAGAGGCGAAAAAATATCAGTTATGTTGAAGATCATGGGTAGATCAAGCAATAAACCTTGCACACTGGTTCAAGGGTTACACCTCTATGTTCCGACACCCCTATGTTCCGACTGCACATATTCCTATTCCTAACCCTAACCCTAACCCTAACCCTAACCCTAACCCTAATCCTAACCCTAACCGGGAGTAACACAATCTAGGTTGTCGGAACATAGGGGTGTCGGAACATAGAGCAGTCACCGGTTCAAGACGTGTCACAGTGGCAGCAATGAGTGATGAATATTCCAGCACAGTGCTGCAGGCAATCTTCATTGGCCATTCCAAGACTTATTAGAATACCAGAGTGCCTGCTACATTGTAGCAACCCTTCTCATTCATCCATGATTGGTTACATATACATGTACATGTACATGTAGTTGTACTTGTCTGATTGGTTACATGTACATTATGTATATCTATACCGGTATTTGTAATTGTCTGGCTTCTGAATGCATACATGTAGGCCCTATACACAAACATGTGAAAATTACATGTTTGGGTTTCAGACTTTCAGAGGTTCTTCGTTTTTATAGTTTGATTTGTTAGGTCACACAAAATCAACTTTTCTTTTTTAAGATAAAATAATAATGGCTTATAATGCCAGTGTGAGACGTGTACACTGTACATCCATTCTTCACATTAATGTTATTAAAGTAAAACAGTTATATGATGTATGTGTATAATTTTCATGTAATGTACATTGTGCATGTACAATGTATGTGTGTGCATGTTTGTTATTGCATTGTTATATATATTCGTTTGACATTTCATCATTTGCTCTTTTCATTTCAAGTTCAGTTCTCTCAGCCTCCATTTTTTATTTACAAACTAAGAAATCAACATACCTGGTGATTTTTTTTAAATCTTCAAAATTAAAATGATACTTTTGATAAATAAATGTCTTTTTTCCAATTCAATTCAATTCAAAAATCTTCATTATATCCCACTGGGGTAATTTAAAATGCTCGCATACAATAACAACATCGACACATTATGAAACACAGTTACATTATAATTGCACGAACAATAAAACAGAACTATCAAAATGATTAAAATTTCCTTATTATATAATATAATATTAATGTTGAAACATAAGATTGTGATGTTTTATTGCACTAGGAGTGAAGGAGGATGGGTGTCAGTTTGTCGCAGCAAATTGTCGCTTTAATTCTTCATTTGCAGTGGACCTCAGATATAAAATTATGCATTCAATATTTAGTTTGAAAACCAACTGCTATTTTGTAATGAATTATATTTTTTTTGAAATATTTTGTATTTTATATTATTTTATATAAATTTGTCTTCCCCATACATCCCCACCATGCAAGACTTCACTCATGCATTTATGTGTCGTTATAATAATTCCGTTCAACTCAGACTGGATAAATGACATTTTTTAAGTGGATTCTATTTTTCTCTCATGGGTAGACCACATTTCAACACATCATAAGATATTCCTATTTACACAGAGAACGGAATGTATTTTTTTGATACGGTAATGCATCGTTTAAAATCAATAAATCTATTTAACTTCTTGCATGTTTTTCTTCAGTGTCTCAAATGAAAATTAATAGTTTGCCAATACCAACAAATCAGATATCCAGTTTTAAAAACGTATTAAATGTTAATCAATTAGGGTGCTATATGCCCAAATGTCACTGACACTATACAATATAGTACATGTATGTACTGTACATAAATGAGACCAGTTCATACTGGTCAGGTTTCTTACCATTTCTGCACACAAAAAGGTAAGGTGAAAATTTGTCATCCAAATCTGTCTAATTAGCCCTAACCCCCTAGTACTTCCTCAGGACTACCCTGCTAAATCCAACAGAGTTCAACCGGAGTTTCCTGCTGAGTTTCCTGCATCAGGAATGTACACAAGGGGTTTACTGCTCAATCCAACAGGCTCCATCGGGTATAGCTGGATCCTGTTGGATTCAGCAGGGTTGGGGTTAGCTAATATAGAAAAGTAAAATGTTTGTATTGTTTTATAAAATATAAGGTCTGTCACTCTTTTTATTTTTTTATATCGGTACATGGGGTTTTGCCTTTTGCCAACAAATTGTATGAACACTGTATGTACCGGGTACTGTTGTCTGGGGATTTATTTGTGAGGAGAAATTCAGAAGCTGACTCGGGTGGGACTTGAACCCATGACCTCCTGCGTAGTAGTGCAGATGTCTAGTTACCGCTCGACCATTGAGCTTGCTGAGGCTGGCTGGCTGGCAAATCCGTCTAACTCTTGTCTTGTTTTTTTTTCGTTAACTCTGATATAGGACCAAATGTCCAGCAAATATCACCGACAACAAACAGCACTACAGCTTCTCCTTGGACAGAAGGTACCGGTAGGCTGCATTTTATTTGTAGAAAACATGTTAGACCTATTTTAGAGGGAATGTACAACATTTGCTTTCGCTGTAATTTTCAGAAATGGATGGATTTGGGGGTTAGTATTTTATTGCAAAATGCTGTTTCACTGACCTGTTTAAAGTTTTGTGTTCATAGATGCTGGGGAAAAGCAAGAAAAATAATACCGTTCTTGTATTCTGGTTCCCTGACCCCATACTTAAGACAAAACAGAGCAATTTATAGATGTCAGGTCAGGGAACCAGACTAGCTGGCTTGCACCCATTCACGGATATATCACTGATTGCCAACAAAATGCGGAGTAACTTTTTCATTTGAACCATCGCTGGAAATTGATACCAAAATTCCACTCTTCTTGAAAATGGCAGCACTTCGGGTGCCTGATTTTACAGGATGCGTGAGACTATCAATTCAGGCATTTACTAATTATTTTGTAATGTTGTTTTTTGATGTTTGCAAATGTTGTATTACCTTTCATCAATATGTTTCATTTTTGTTCAATATGCTGCTGGCCTCCGATCAATGCTTGGCCAAACATTGAAATGTTTAAACTCATAAGAACGTTTTCCTCAACCTAAACCAAATTAAACATGGACTCGTATTTTGTGAAACAAAATTTATGACGTGAAACATACATCACAAATTTGCTCAAGTTTAAGGTACGGTACAGTATTTGACTTTGCAAATTCACAGTGTACATGTAGAATACTGCAACTTAACCCCAACTCCCTAGCATGATTTACGAACCATACCCATCCTGGCAAATTCCAACACCGTATGGGAAACTGTGCACACATATTTCTGTCAGTTTAGGGGTACTGCACCCATCCTGACAGATTCCAACAATACATGCTGTTGGGGTTTGATGGGTTGAGTTCTGTTAGGGTTAACCCTAACCGCCCTGAATCCTCCAAAATCCTTTTTGCAAATTGGAGGAATTTGCAGGATTGAGGTTACATGGCAAAAGTGCGTTGCTGATTTCGGAGTACGCACTGTGTCAAGGTCTTGGGCCGGACCTTGTGTTGTTTATGCTCAACCGTGCATAAATTTAGTCCTTGATTATACTTGACATCCTCCGCACTGCTCCAGGATGTCACTGCCTCTGCCTCAGCCTATTGACAGACATAGCCGGAGGATTTTGCAGGATTCAGGCAGTGATCATCCCTCCATAAACCATATTCAAGAAATAGCGGAGGAATTTGCAGGATTGAGGCTATATGCTATTTTTCCATGAGGCCAATTGGAGGATTTTGCAGGATTGAGGCTACATCCTAGCAAAAATGCCTAGGGAGTTAGGGTTAATGTAAATTTGTATTTATATGAACTGGCCATTACCCTTTCCCATAAAAGATGAAGTACAATTTCCCTCTTTTACCAATTTCTCTAAAGTGATTCATGAATTTTGTTGTTTATTGTAGTTATTTTAGTATATATTTTGCGGCTTCCGAACTGTAGTCAATATCGTTGCAACTAACATGTTGTATTTATGTCTGCAGTTATTACCAATTGAGTCCAGTCTGGGATGGCAGCTGGCTGGGGTCTTCAACAATCTGAGGGCGTGGACCAGGTGTGTAGCCATGCCCAATCAGTCCAGCCAGACCCTCCATGGATGCTGGGCAACAGTGGATGCCGAAGCTGAGGTATACTGTCGAGTATGAGCATAATGAGTACTTTTCCACAAATACGAGTATGAGTACTTTGTCGTGTCATGAGTACGAGCTACCGGTAATAGCACTTTTTTCCATGAGTATGAGTACTTTGTCATGAGTACAAGTTGTTACGGTATTGTAGTTGAGTACATTTCCAAAAGTGCAAGTATGAGTACGAGCACTTTTCCACGAATACAAATACTTTTCCACGAATACGAGTTCCACGAATACGAGTTCCACGAATACGAGTATGAGTACTTCGTCATGAGTACGAGTTAATAGCAAATTTTTCCATGACTACCAGTGCTGTACTTTGTCATGAGTACGAGTTGTTACGGTGTTGTAGTCAAGTACATTTCCATGAGAGCAAGTATGAGTATGAGCACTTTGCCATGAGAACGAGTACTTTTTTACGAATACGAGTATAAGTACTTTGTCATGAGTACGAGTTAATATCAATTTTTTCCATGAGGCCAAACAAAAAAATGGTGTGTTTACGGTAACCCGACCGACCTGGAATTTTTTCGGCCAAACTGCCGACCTCAAACTTTTTATTGCCATTTTGAAGGTTGATATTGATAATTTTAAATGAACAAATTTCAAACATTTCGAGTAGGCCTACTTTTAATTATTTGCCACGAATATAAACCATTTTCCACACTTGAACCTGACCATGATTTGACACAAACCCGTCGCGAAAATCGCGATGATCTCAAAACTTGAATTCTCAAACTACGGGAAAAAAAAAAAAAAAAAAAAAAAAAAAAACCTTTGGGAATAAAAAAAAAAAAAAAAAAAAAAAAAAAAAAAAAAATGGAGCTTTGCTATTGGCATGAAAAATAAAAGAGCCAGGACTAAATCGGGGCAATGACTTTGTGCTAGATTTGTGAAAGTAACAGTTCACTTTAATATGAAAAGAAAGGGAAATTTCAACTGTACCTTTGCAAAAATGAACAAATTATGTTCTTTTTTCGAAATAATTTGTGGTTCCTGATTTAAATTACTAACGTTCTATTTTAAAGTCCCTTTGAGTATTCTGCTTGATTATTGAATTTTTATACAAAATGTTCTCTTTGTATTGTATTATTTGCCGCTTTTTATTTAATGTTCAATGGCAATTATAACTTTTGGCTTATTAAAGGGCAACATTATAAAATGGAAAAAAAAAAAAAAAAAAAAAAAAAAAAAAAACTACGAAGTGCGATTATTTTTGCACAAACCCATCGGGGTGAACTAGTGCGCCTGGCCGACGGACGGCAGGGTTCTCCCCACGAACAAACGTGCGTACTGGGTATCGGCCCGATACGCTAGAATTGCGGCCCGATACGCCGACAAAAATGGCGATCACATTTTTCAGCCCCCGATACGCACAATATAATTATTATACAGGCCATTAAAATGCACAATTTAATCGTTACATACGCCATTATTTCATCTTGACATGCAAAATCTTGACAAAAATCCTGTTTTTCTGATGCATGTGTGATCAAAAAATAGAAATTTTTGAAACCCTAATCAAAATTATTGCGCCCGCTGTCGGTCTTATTGCGCCATTCTGATATATCGTCTGTCTAGCCCCCACCACACCGAAAAATAATAGTAACTAAATACTGTTTAAAAATGTGCTCGTTTATTCAGAAATTCATGAAGCATAATATCCAAACTGATTGGATGTTTCCAAAGTGTCTTTTCCATTTGCAAAACTTCTTTTTAGAAGCCCATTCATTAGAGACACGCTCTTGGAAAAAAATAGTCCGGTTAACTTATTCTTTATGATGGGACTTGCGGTTTTGCCTAAGTCAACTGAGCGTGATCGGCTGACTGATAAGGTTTACGCACAAAACCCTCGGCCAGTGAGGAGTTGTATAGAAAGCTGGCCGAACCACTTTTTGCGAAAGTGTGCCGGTAATGTGTACGGCCGGCCAGACTAAATGTTGGCGGCGCCAGCGGCCGTGATGTATGTTAAGCATATAGTGGAATCACCCACCTCAAATATATTTTTAATTAGGTGAGGCAAGTTTTAATCACTTTTGATAGCCAGTCTTGATAATTTTCGTGGCGCAAATGAAAATAATCCAGGCACAAAATAAACATGATTCCTTGCTCTAGTATTGTTATGATGCTCCATTAATCAGCACCCCCAAAAAATTGGCGAAATAATTTTTTCGACCTACTGACACTATTTTGAAAGGCATGTAATCGGAAGCGAAAGTGATTTTTTCTTCACCTTAATTTCTTAATTTGGAACTTACTTGTAAATGTAATCCAAACTTTTCTAGTTCAGGAAGCAGTGTAACACAGGTTGTGAAATGTTGATTTTTTTTTAAGTTAACAATTTTAATTTTTTTTCTTTAATTACAAAAATATTCGGAACCTACAAGATCTTTTCTGAATTTTAAGGACAAATCTTAAGTTAAAGACCCCCAGATTTACTCTAAAATGCACCAGAGAGCTTCTTAAGTTTTAAAAATTTTCGGGGCCCTTAAACGGGCCCTGAACCCCACGTCATGGCTTCGCAGGATGTTGAATCACAGCAAAACTTCCCCCACAGGTTTGAAAAAAATCCTGGGGAGAACCCTGGGACGGTACAAATTATAATTTGGAGTGAAATGTATCGATTATATATCTTGAATGCTTGAATAATATTTTTATACAAATTTTCTTGCGAAAGATGCATGCAGAACTGAAATGAAAAAAAAAAATTACAAAATAAAATTATTTCCCTACCTACCTACCTGGATTTTTTTCACACCATTTTTTTTGTTTGGCCTGAGTAACAAAAAATGTACTTGAGTACAAGTATGAGTACTTTCCATAAGTACGAGCAAATTGCAATGTGTGACGTGTTTTCAAGGGCTTTTTGCTGTCAAACAAGCCATTAAACAAATACAGAAGCCTCTCGAACAGTAGAAAACTGGTTCCCTTCCTTAAATTGTTTTTTTAGATTCTTGCAGGAGAACATTAGCAACTTTGATGGTTTTTGGGGGGTAAAAGTTTCCAAAAGATTCAGATAAAATGAACCACTTAAAGGGGCATTACGGTCTGAAATCCCGGAAAAGTTCATGTTTTGGATTTTTTTTTTTACTCTAGTTAAAAGGAATCTAACCTGATGTCTAACTGTTCCTGAGAAATGAAAAGAAAAAAACCCATATTTTTTACATCGGACATGACAAAGTCGAATACGTTTTTCCTGTCGTTTGCCTTCAATGTACGATGCACATTATGTTTGTCGCATAAATGACACACAGCACCAATGCACAAGTGTGTTTTTTTACACGTCTGCAGAAGGCGAGCACTTTACGGCTGGAATCACAACTAGCACTGAACAGCCCGATTTTTGGGGTCACAAAAGAGAACCCCAAAATTTGTTCTTGCAGGAATAACACAAGAATAACACAAAACGCCCAGTTTTTATCAACGGATAGTTGTGTGAATGTTTATATCCTACTTTAAAATGTTCTTTCAGATTGACATCATTTCCTTCAAAATATGTTTTGGACCCAATTGGGCGTATTCAAGACCGCATAGTTTTACTTTAAGCACTTGGTGCTTGGAAACAAATTCTAACCATGCTTTCTCACAAATAGTTACATGTACACATGTTTGCACCTCAATCAAGGCAGTACGAAAAGAAACTTGTAACACACTTGGCCGTGCGTGTAATTGCACGCACAAATGACATTGTGAAATGCATGTGCTAGTACGAATGATATTCACCTGCAGTTTATACACGCTTGTTTGTACAAATCTGAATCTGTATATGACCCTTAGCCCTTGACTTACAATTGAAAAGCAACTAGTGACTGGAATAGTTTTCACCTTTGACTATGCAAACATAATACAGCAATCAACTTTTGTCATCTTTACACACTGATGATTAACTTGTCGCGTGACGATGGTTTGTTATTCATGATTAACTTATCATGTGATGAAAGTTTACAAATAACTGGATGCGTCATACTGATAATGGGCAATGTTTACCTCATACTGAACCCTAGAACACTTAAACGTCAATCGCCTAACCATGTAAAATTTCAAAATAATTTGTTTGGAATGGATATGGCAAAAATGGAAGATCAGGTTTCGAAAGATTTAGGTCGAAAGAATAACAGAGTAGGTGAAATGAGTAGAAATTATGAAAGGAAAATAGACGATCATTAAAGATAAAAAAAAACAAAATATTTTATATACATTTTCATGCGCTACCGGTAATAAAAAATTTCAATATGTGGTTCAAGCCTTAAACATACATTCTGTGTCAAGTTGTCATTGCATTCAAAATCAATCAAGCAACTGTTTAAGAGCTCCCAGCCTACATGAAGCAGGATTGACTGGCTGTGACCGTTTATGTAACTTGATACAGCTGTGCTTTGACTGTAGGTGATTGATAAGCCAGCTGTGCCTACCAGTTGCCTGCTTTTGTCTGTTGACTGAATTTGACTAGTCAGAGTACTTGTTTGATATGATCTGACTGTTGGTGACTAACCTGTGTAAAAGGCATGGCTGGGAAAGAGGATGGAATGTTTGACTATCTGTGTTTATTCTTTTTTGGGCACGTACATCTACATCAAGAGGTCTTGAGTTCCAGTCCTACATGAGTTATTCTGTAATGGGTTTTCTGTAGCCTTGGGTAAACGATGATCATTTTGACTTAGCACAGAATTCACTGTACATGTATTTATGTACCGGTATCAGTTGTACTTACTCAGCTGTAACAAAAGAGTGAGACACTATGCTTTCTCATGTAAAGAAACATCAGATTTATAGACACATTTGGCGGCAGCCATTTTCTACGGTGGCGCAAGGCTCACGCGAGTCACACTCCGGTAATACACACGCACTCCGGGCTCCTTTGACCAATAGGAATACCAAAACGTGTGCGCCTCGTCTTTAAGAACGCGTGCAGCATGCGCTTGAGCGTGACACCACCGCACTAAAAGCTTCAAATTCTGGTCGCCGGATTTCTCTTTACACATTAAAAAGTCAAAAACTGTTTTAAGATAACACAGTTCACACTTACATGTAGCACTGAAATGTCGAACCAGTGCATGTGTGCACACATACTGAAATTTGTATCCTTGTGGAGACATTTCTTTGTTCTCGTCTAGTAAAGTTTTCGAGTTTGAAAGTGTAGTTTCAAAATGCTCTTATTTTAACCAGAATTAATTTCCTTGGCTGAAATTTGGACTTAATATCCCTTTTCTAAAACTCTTCCATTTGCGACAGATCAACCCACCTTGGAAATTCCTATTTTTTTAGTAAAATCCTATATCTATTTCGTGAAAACCTTGTGGAGATGTATTCATCTATAGAAATTGCCCTGTGGAGACGTACAATGTATTCAATCTTTTGTTCCCTATTGTGTGCATGTCTCCAGAGGCCACGGTGTATCAGATCACCATGTCTTTCACACAGTAGAGATGACAACACAGAATCATCTACTGTTCATGAAACTCATGTAAACACTTTTCTCTTTTGGGGTTCTTACTATAAACTAGGACATCCTAGCCGCGGTGCAGAACATCACCAAGCAGCGAGAGTGGGACCCCTCCATCGCCACCATCAGCCAGTCCTCCCCTCCTCGGGTCCTGGACGACTTGGACGCAGAGAATCCTGTCATGATGGACGTGGTTTGCGTCACGTTGACCTCCCAGCTCCAATCGGAGCCTGTTCACCCGGGCATTCTAAGGTCAAGCCTACATCATCTCTTGAGGTTACTACCCATGAGTATGACATCTTGGGTGATGAAGACTACAAATGAGGTGCAAGAACAAAAGGAAATTGTCATGAACAGGTACAGATATTTTCAGAAATTTTTTGACCCTAACTCCCTAGGCCTTTTTGCTAGGATGTAGCCTCAATCCTGCAAAATCCTCCAATTGGCCTCATGGGAAAATAGCATATAGCCTCAAACCTGCGAATTCCTCCATTATTTCTTGAATGTGGTCCGTGGAGGGGTGACCACTGCCTCAATCCTGCAAAATCCTCCGGCTATGACTGTCAATATGTTGAGGCAGAGGCAGTGACATCTTGGAGCAGTGCAGAGGATTTCAAGTATAATCAGGGACTCAATTTATGCATGGCTGAGCATAAACAACACAAGGTCCGGCCCAAGACCTTGACAGAGTGGGTCCTCCGAAATCAGTAACGCATTTTTGCCATGTTACCTCAATCCTGCAAATTCCTCCAATTTGCAAAAAGGATTTTGGAGGATTTGGGATGGTTATTTAATTGCAAGCTGATTCATCAGAGTTGGGCATGAACAGTACATGGCCTTCAGTGGTAGTTAGGCTTGTGCGGTGTTGGATTTTGAGAGTCGATGATAGACTGTCACAAAAAATATCACGGTGTTCAGTCCTTTTCTGGGTGGACTATTATGGCATCAAAAAACAATACAACACATGTGATTGGGAAATTGCACACAGGGAGCATGGGCAGAACTTCAAGGTCCTGCTCGAGGACTAGTAAGCACAATTTTCACTGCACCTAGATACCATGAATGGCATGACTGCAAAGAATTCATTGAATTCAGAATTCAGATCTGAACAAGTTGTTTCTGTCACCTTTTGTAAGGGCTTTTGCATACATCTAGCCACATTTTACCACAAGAGGTTAAAACAAGGTAACGAAATTCCATACTGAGGTTGTTGGTACTCTGATATTTTGACATCATTCTGTATTGTTCGGTATCAAAAAAAATATTGTCACTGCATGATATTATTGAAATACAGGGTGGGTCCAAATTTTTTTAAAACTTTTTCAGATGCTGATTTCTCAAATTTGGGAGACATGTTGACATTGTTTTAAGATATTCCAAAACTACTACATCTTGGTGGTAGATTGTGAAAACGGCGCTAGAAATAACGCCTAAATGAAGAAATAGCGGCCATTTACAGAAAAAAAGTTGAAAACCAGATTGTCCACTCGCAAGTCTATAGAGACATGGTCAAAACAACAGCGCTGCGTGCACAAAGAACTGCAATAGCAATGACCATATCTCATACACGCGTGTGGACAAACTGGTTTTTGACCATTTTTTCTGTAAATGGCCGCCATTTCTTAATTTAGGCTTTATTTTCAATGCTGTTTTCACCATATACGACCAAATTCTTGTAGCTTAGGAATATCTCAAAACAATTTCAACATGTCTCCCCATTTTTGAGAAATCTGTGTCTGACAAAGTTTAAATTTTCTTTTGGGCCACCCTGTATAGTCCCAGCCAAGTGGAAGAGACATTGTGTGCGCACTGGTTCACTTATATGGCAAGATGTACGCATGACTAATTTTATTCTGAGTATTGCACAAACCCCTTACATCGTCACATAGGTGTCTCGGCCATTGACAATTTCATTCATTTATTCATTTATTGCGGTTATATTGTTAAAAAATAGTCACCAAAGGAAGAGTCTTTTAAGTACCAAAAATGTTTGGTTTATAGTAAAAGTTAATCATAGAGGGGACAGAATTGTTTATATCTTTGAGTATTGATATGAGGCATGGTAAGGTGGTTGGAGTTCCTGAGATTCCGTTTGGTAAGAGAAAGTCTTGAGTTGGGAAGCATGTGACGGTGTTTTTCAGAAACTAGCAAGTTTTTAGCAAATTGAGTGGCAAGGTCAACACGTCTGTCTGAAAGCAATTGGATGTTAAAGAAATTGAGAACATTGTTATATATCTCATCAAATTAGGTTTTTCCCTTCACCGACGTTTAAACACTGTATACTCAGCTTGTTACCTCCCAAGTGAAAGTTGGAAAAAATCACTCGGGTGGGACTCGAACCCACGACCTCCTGCTTTAAACATGCCTCATCTCAATACTCGGAGGCATATAACATCGTTATATGGCGAGACATTGGGTTAAGGATAAATAATGCATTTTAGACTCCCTCTAGAATCTCTCAGTTCACAGCAAAGGGAGAGGTTCTTTCCCCTCAAGTGTATTTTCTGGATCTTTTTTCTTTTTCATCTTTACAGAATCTGGAAGGTTGAACGGGATGGCTCGTGCTGGATGTTCAGCAAGAATGAGGACAGTGTACAGGCTACCCACACCCCATGGTGCTATTTCTTAATTCAACCGATACTCGAAAGTAAGTGGATCATAAACCCACAAAAGTCATACTGTCAGCTGCTGTAAATATTGTCAATGGATAATTGTACAGGGTGGTGCAAAAAGAAGGAAACCCACTTTTGACTGGAATTTTAACCTTACTTTCTTATTTATTTGAACTGTTGTTTTTTATTATGTAGTGAAGTATAGCTCTTCAATCATACGTGGTGAAAATATCTTTAAAAAAATCCACAAATAGTGTTATTATGCTAATTTGAACATAAGTCACCTAAATCATTGTTGTCGACGTGTAAGTCTAGTGTAGTGTTTTTGGTCTTCAAATCAAGCTTCGGAGCGAAAGCCGTCCGTGGACAAACAGGTTTGGCACATGAAATTTATTAAACTACCATACCTCAGGGACAAAGTATGCATTTGCAATCATTTTTTTGTCACTTATATTTAAAAAATATTATATTTAAAGATCAATATTTAAATAGCAGTAAATTGAATTTTTGAAGTATGCTCAACAAGAAGGTGAAATTGCTGTCAATGGAAAAAAAATGAAACCAAATGTCGGGACCATTGTTTTAGTGAAGTTCTGCATGTAGCACTTTCAAAATCTAGGATATGAAAGCCCAATTCATAAGCTTTCTTTTAGTACCAGAATCATTCAAATCACTCATGTACTTTTCAAGTTACGGAATTTTAAACACAACCACCGTTTTAAAGTTCAGTCCACGGATCACAAGAAGGTAAGTGTTCTTTCAGCAAAACAAAAACAAATCACATAGGGATGTATGTGAATTGTTTTCGTTTCGCCTAAAGAACGCACACCTTTTTTATGATCCGTGGACAGAACTTTAAAACGGTGGTTGTGTTAAAAATTTCGTAACTTGAAAAGTACATGAGTGTTTTGAATGATTCTTGTACTCAAAGAAAGCTTATGAATTTGGCTTTCATATCCTTGATTTTGAAAGTGCTACATGCAGAACTTCACTAAAACAATGGTCCCGACATTTGGGTTTCGTGTTTTTTTACTCACCCTGTACATGTAAGCAGGAGGTTGCAGTCCACCAGGGTAAATTTGCTTACTTTCTTCTCTCATACTTTTTGACAGCATGGAGTGTACAGTGGTAGAAACATTACATCAGTCTAACGCAATACCAAACAATATAATTTGATCTCCTTTATGGATACAAAATTCCATTAAAACATTTCCGCATCTTGTCCAGATATGTATTTGCCTTTTTTTTTAATTCTGATTTGTAGCGTCGGGTAGGAGCGTGTTTCACATAATTTGGAACCCCTCAACGGACCAAGTGACAAAAGATGTTAGCAAATGCCTTGCCACGCGCCTGGCAGCGCTCTGTCAGTACATCAAACTCACACAGTTGAAGCTTCCGCCCCTCACGTCCTCGACCCTTCAGCACGTCGGCGACTTGCTGCCCCTCTTCACAGAAGAGGATGAGGACGAACCGATCGGGACACAGGACGCTGTCGCGGAGGAACCGCGGCAAAGCAGAAGCTCCAAGGCGAGGAAGCAGGGTTGGGACAGGGGAACAGGCGAGCCACCAGAAGGAACAGCGAGAACAAACAGCAGGTCCAAAGCGAAGCCTGGCAGGAAGAGCCTCTCGCCCTCCGGTAAAGTGAAGAGAACAGTGCCCTCCCGGGGCAGGCGACAGAGGGGGAGGGTCCCGGGGGTTGGTGGTGGTGGTCTTGCCGCTGGTGGTGGGAGCTTTGCTGGTGCTGGTGACGGGGTCGGAAACACGGCTTCATCCTCGAGCGAAGACACGGGCTACTCTGATTGGATGAGCAACAAGGGCAGCCTGGAGAGGGACGGCAAGGCCCCCGGGGTCGTGACCTCTGAACCAGGGGTCGTGACAGGGTTGATGGATTACATGCTTTGTGATGAGGAGCCAACATCTCTGAAAGGTTAGCCACATGGTTGCCATCCAATTCCCGGGTCATTGTATTGTTGTGATCCACCATAAACGAGGCACGGTACATAGATACAGACAGTGACAGTTAGACACAAAAGCAGTAGAATGCGCTTGCAGTCCAAATGTTTCTACTTTTCAAAGATGGCAAATGTTCAGTTAATGTCTAATGTCTGACCTTAATTCGTCCACTTCTATGTATGCCTCTGTGTTACAAAGTTTTAAACGTAGAGTAGATCATTTTGCAGTTTTCCAAAAAGTAACTAACCAAATTATTGCTCAAAAGTATACTTGGTTTAAAGATAGTAATGGCACACACTTAATAAAGGTGCTCAAAAGTTGGAGGTGCTTGCACGCACGGCACGCAGCTGAAACATGCAGTGATCTGAGAAGCGCATGTGATTTTGCTAATGTGCACAGTGGGTTGGGCTTAAAGGTGTAGCCCATCATTTGTAATTTGTGCATTTTGTTCGTTTGAAGCAACAAAAGTGCTCAAAATCTTAAGAAGGGTGCTGAACAACTATTAACCTGATGAAATTTCAGCTCAGCTTCAGCTGTATGTTTCGAGAAAAACAACATTCTATGATCTCGATTTCAAATCAAAAGTTGCTGAATCATGTTTTGAGTTGGGCTTGAATTCAGCGTCCGAGACACGTTCTTACTGAGCTGATTGCAGCTACGCGATGTGGTGCACTGATCCGATGAATTATAGCAACCACGAGCACCTGTGCGTTGTGTCAACGCTTGTGCGCGCTTCGCCAAATGGAGAAAAAAAACGAACTACTAACGGAAATTTCCAACAGTGTTTCTTAAGAAGCACCGTTGGGAAAGACCTTCTTTAGTTGATTTCTTCAAAATAACAGCTTGCCAGAAAGAATAATTTCACAGGGAGGTTAGTCCCCTTACTATCTTTCAAGTATGTTTTTCAACAATAATTATGCCAGTTACCTTTTGGATAGCTGCAAATGATGGACTCGGGCTTTAAAGGTAGAGTGGACCATTTGCAGCTATCCAAAAAGTAACCGACCAAATTGTTTTTCAAAAGCTTACGTGGTTTAAAGATTGCAATGACACTAACCTCTCTGTGAAGTTATTCTTGAAGAAATTTTGAAGAAAACAATAAAAGAAGGACATTTCCAAAGCTCTGTCAAGTGAAGCATATTTGGAAATTTCCATTAGTACAATGTAGTTGGTTTGTAATTAGGCGGATCCATGTATAGGACTCGTTCAATGACGGCCATCTCTGTAGGAGAACTGCAACTGCGTATTTTACGCAATCAAGCACGCAATGCGCAGTGTTGAAAATGTTCCAAACAAGCGCGCTTGTTGCTCAAAATGTGTTCGAAATACGACGCGGCTGATGCGCGTTATGCAAGTTGACGCTCAAAATGCCAATGCACGTGGCAGGTCTGTAGGAAATGACGTCATTTGAACGAGACCTATGGGTGCACCCAAGCGTTGACATGACACACACATGCGCGCGGTTGCTGTTACTCATCAGTTTAGTGCGTGACATCACATAGCTGCAACCTGCTGTATAAGAACGTATTCCAGACGCTGCAACTTTTGAATTGAAACCGTGACCTTAGAATATTGTTGTCTCTGATTGTACAGCATGCGCAGGGCTCAAAGTTCATCAAGTAAGTTGTTGAGTACCCGTCTTTAGATTTTTAGCACCTTCTTGCTTCAAACAAAAATAATGCACAAATGACAAATACCCTACCGTAACTATAGCAGAAAATTGTACATGTACTAACCTCCACCACTATTTCATGGTGTGGATGTGCTAACTGCTGTGCCTGCTACTTACGGTCTCCATGAAATAAATGGAAGCTCTGTTAGCAGAAATTTGCGTGCTTAGCAGGGCCAATTTCACGGCGCTGCTATGCACACGATTTTCTGCTAACAGAGCCTCCATGTATTTCATGGAGACCATAAGCATAAGCACAGCAAAGGCATGCTAACTTCAGAGGAAATTTTTTCTTAACTTAGTGACATAACAATAGAAATCTCCATGCACACGTGACCGTTAGCACGTCCACGCCGCGAAATAGTGCTAAGGGTTAGCAAATTGTTCTGCTATGCTAAACACACCTTTTCTGCTAACTGTTAAGCAACGCCGTGAAATTGGGCCCAGTGCCATACATAGTTTTGCTAACAATTATGGGATGTACACATACGTATAAAGCAAAAAGTCCTTGCTAAGCTAACTCATGAAATGCAGTCATAAAAAAGCACACATTTTCAGCTGCTAGTGCATATTCTTTGCATATTGTTTTTGTTTCTGGTTATGAAACCAAGGATTCCTCAAAAGTGCCCTAAGCCTTGTAGTTTGAAAGCCTGAAGAAACATGTGGAGAAGAAATTACAGTTTACAGGTGGGAGGAAAACCCCAGAAGAATATGCTGGGGAAAACCCACGGAATCAGGTAGGGACTGAAAACCCAATGCACATGTTGTCTGGGCAGGAATTGAGGTCAGTAACCACTGTGCCAACCCTGATTCCAATTCGGGCGTTTCACAGTGCAGTGCGCCACCAAGAGTTTGCCATGGAGAGTTAATTTTTCCCAGTGCATTGTGGGAAATGGTTGACAAATTTGTAGCGCGGGACATGTGAAATTGTTAGTTTTTCCGGTCAGTAGTTTTGTAAGTGTATGTTTCAAGTATCTGTTTGCCCTTTTCTTTTCTTTTTATCAATATAGTGTTTTTGTAAGGCGGCAGAACGCTATGCCCAAATCTATAACAAATTAGCTCTCAAGCTGTCTACTGACACTTGTTCAAACAGGCCATGTTTTGTCGACCGTAAACTTGAAAATGGACTCTCCACGGCAAACTCTTGGTGGCGCACTGCATTGTGAATCGCCCTAATTATAGCAGTCCTAAGAAACATAGCTGATCCACACAGACTGAAATGGTCTTCATTTTTTTCGTTTTGTTGATTACCTCAAAAAATTTTTTTCGTTTTTTTGACAGATGGATCAGACGAGCTGTACACATTAGCCAATCAGTGCACAGCCGAGCTCCTGAAACAGTCCAATCAGGTAGCAGCGATCAACGTGAACACCAGCGTGGTTGAGCAGAAGACCCAGACCGGAGGCTGGTTGTAAGTGGTGGTTATTATTATATTATTATTATTAACCCTTACTCTCTGAGGGTAGTTTACTGCATGTCAGTTGGTTATGCCAATGCCCTCCAGCTGCAGTTATTTGGCAGATAACAAGTCTTAACAGTGAAGGCTCCAATTGGCAGGAGTTGGAGGCCCTGGAGGGTGCCTGATACTGACCAGCTGGGGGCACTCACTTTGTTATCAGAGGACTCTCATTGTTCTCTGTGGCATGTATTGGAGTGCCTGTCCAGTTACCCTTGAAATGACATGGCAGATATTGGAGGGCCATGCAAAAAACATAGGAGATTTTCTTGAGGCACAATTGGCATGCATTGGAGGGTCAAGTAGGGTAAGGGTTAAGGGGATAATACTGTGATGGGGCAGTTATAAACTTGATGTTTAACACTGGTTAGGGGCCTGGTCGTTGATAATTGCTCAAAGGCTGAAGATGAGGGCAATTATCGGCCATAAACCGTGACTCCCTAGTCCTTTTTGCTAGGATGTGGCCTCAATCCTGCAAAATCTTCCAATTGGCCTCATGGAAAAATAGCATATAGCCTCAATCCTGCAAATTCCTCCGTTATTTCTTGAATATGGTCCATGGAGGGGTGACCACTGCCTGAATCCTGCAAAATCCTGCGGCCGTGACTGTCAATATGTTGAGGCTTGGCCAGTGACATCCTGGAGCAGTACGGAGGATTTCAAGCATAATCCAGGCCTATATTTATGCATGGCTGAGCAAAAACAACACAAGGTCCGGCCAAAGACCTTGACAAAGTGCATCCTACAAAATCAGTAACACACTTTTGCCATGTAACCTCAATCCTCCAAATTCCTCCACTTTGGCAAAGAGGATTTTGAAGGATTCAGGGCGGTTAGGGTTCAAGGCTAAAGATTATATGGTAAGCGTGTTTTATTCTGTTGACCTCCAGCTTTCACTCAGTATGCAAAGAAGTTGTGATTATGCAGAAGAATCCAGTGCAGGGGAAGTACCATTGGTAAGTCAATGTTATTTATAGATGTTAAGATCAGCAACAGTAGGTCAACAAGCAGTAGATTTATAACTTCAGCAGAATCCAAATGATTTAGAAAGAAGGCAGAAATCATGTTCTGTCAAAACCAGACGGAACTGGGCGAGGAATCAATTTTAGGATTTTTTCTAAAATCTGTCTTAAAAGTAATATACAACATTTGCTTTTGCTGTATTTTTTTCAGAAATGGATGGATTTGGGGTTTGTATTTTATAGAAAATATTTTCACACTGAACTGTTTAAAGTTTTGCATTCATGTATGCTGGAAACCCCCCCCCAAAAATGATGTTCTTGTAGTCTGGCTCCCTGATCCTACTTCAGTCGAAACAGAGCAATCTATAGATGTCTGGGCATTGTCAGGTCAGGGAACCAGACTAGCTGGCTTGCACCCGTTCACGGGTGTGTAACTGATTGCATAGGAAATGTGGACTAACTAAATGTGGTGAATTTGGGGCAGTATTTGAAAATAAGTCAGTTTTTTTCCAACGATGGTCGGCCAACCATCGTTGGATTTGGATACAAATATTCAACTGTTCTTGAAAGTGACAGCACACCAGGTGCCATAATTTCACAGGATGCTTGAGATTGTTATTCAATTACAGTCAAGTGAGGTCTTTCAAAATAATTTGCTAGTTTTTAATTATTGCAAATGTTGTAGATAACCTTTAAGCTTTGAAGTTTTGAAATTGAATGTTCCTAACTCGAGTAACCTAATTTTGAAATTTGTTTGGGGAAAAAAGCTTGAAAATGAGAAGTCATGCTTTAAAGGTAGGGCTTTATTTCGGAAACAAATTACAGTCTTGATTTTCAAGTAATATTTTTGCAAGATGAAAGCCTGGCAATTCCAGTGATACCAAATAGGTTAATGTCCGCTTGTTCTTTGCAGTTTCCTAGGGAAGGGTGTCATCAGAGCACCCCCGGAAGAAGTCTTCAAAGCTGTGAAGAATCCCAGAACTCGGTTCATCTACGACAACATGCTCAAGGTATGGAACCTGCACCCAATTTCATAAAACTCTTCGTAACTTACGATGCATCGCAGCGATGCGACGTGTCGTATCTCAACGATGCGTCGCAGCTGTGACGCGTCCTGCGATCCATTTCACAAAACACGTCGTAAGTGCGACGCGTCATAGGTGTATTTATAGCACAACTTGGTGACTGTTTTAAGTATTTAGTCAGCGTACAGTAAATAGTCGTCTGATATTCAACAAAGAGTCGTCGGATCTCAGCTCGAAATTTGTTAAAACGTAAAACAAAATGGCGGCTGTGCGATGCAATTTTGAAGGAAAACAAGCTCTCATTGGACTGCAAAGCTACTTTGAAATTTGAACTGCAATGTTCCGGTCTAATTCATAATTATTCAATGAATTTTCTATTTACAACTTTACACACATTGCCTCGGTATTATAATCTCGTTTATGTAATGTTTACGGCATAAAACAGACTTAGAAAATAACTCTTCTTATTTTGTGATGACAACTAGACACGTCGTAACTTGCGACATGTGTTAAGCCGTTGTCAAGGAACGTTCAACACATCGCAACTTTCGTGAAATGGATGATTTCGCGAGTTGCGACGCGTCACAGCGCTTCGTGAAATCAGGTGCTGCCTCGCTCTAGCTAGACACTTGGGGTTTTTCCAAGCCTTCTTTTTTTAATGTCTGACTTCAGAGTTTTAAAGTCGCTGTCCCAGTGCTATTTTCAAGTTTCACCCCGGAAAAATAGATTTTGTTTTGAACGTCCAATTTTGTTTTTGCAAAACATGAGCCAACCACTTTTGAATGAGACATCTAACCAAAAAATCCACCAACGTTGAGATATCGAATATTAACTATACAATTTTCAATTTTGTTAGCAGCCCAACAATAATTCGGGCGTATCATTTTGTGCTTTATGGATGCAAAAGCAACCCAAAACAATATTTTCAGATGGTTGATATCGTTAATAAAACGTTAAAAAGGTAACTTTTTTTCCATTTAGGGTAAAAAAATATCCAAATTAAAATTATGTTAGGAGAATACAATCGAACTTGTTGGAGCACACGGATGGAGCAGCTTTAAACTAAATGGAAAAACTTTTAAAAATTGCCCTCAGATGATGGGATTTTTTGTTCTGAGAATGGTTTACATATTCCTGTTATGGAATCTTGTCTTTTTTTCCTTTTTTGGTCCAATTTATATGTTTTGTGGCATATTATTACCCTCTGTAATAAAAACTTGTTAATTCTTGAATGCTTACATGCAATGCATGTTATAAAAAGGTGTCTGTTAAAGGTAGAGTAGATCATTTGCAGCTATCCAAAAAGTAACTGACCAAATTATTCTTAAAAATCTTACTTGGTTTAAAGATGGTAATGGCACTAAACTCCCTGTGAAATTATTCCTTCTGGCATGCTGTCATTTTGAAGAAAACAATGAAAGGGGGTCATATCCAAAGATGAGTCAAGTGACGCACTTTTGGAAATTTCCGTTTGTATTTGGTTTGTAATTGTGTGAATCCATGAATAGGTGCATACGAGTGTTCACAAAATATGACTCGGCAACTTTTGATTGAAATCGAGGGACCAAGAATATTGTTTTCTTGGAATATACAGCATTCACTGAGCTACAACTTCATCAGGTTAGCTGTTAAGCACTCATCTTTAGATTTTGAGCACTTTTTATGCCCCGCGGTGAAGCCGAAGGGGCATACTGTTTCCGCCTTGTCCTTCCGTGGGTTGGTGTGTGCGTGGGTGGGTGTGTGTGTTCGGATCAATCTTGTCAGCGTGATAACTTGAGAAATAATTAACATATGAACTTCAAATTTGGTTTGTGTGTTGTTCTTGGTAATCTTAAGAAGCCTATTACATTTGGGGCCGAAAGGTCAAGGATCAAGGTCACAGTGGCTAAAACAATAGACATTTTGTCAGCGCGATAACTTGAGAAATACTTTACATGTAAACTTCAAATTTATTTTGTGGATTGTCCTTGGTAATCCTAAGAAGCCTATTACATTTGGGGCCGAAAGGTCAAGGGTCAAGGTCACATTGGCTACAACAATAGACATTTTGTCAGCGCGATAACTTGAGAAATACTTTACATGTGAATTTCAAATTTGGTTTGTGGATTGTCCTTGGCAATCCTAAGAAGCCTATTGCATTTGGGGCTGAAGGGTCAAGATCACAGTGGCTAAAACAAAAGAAATTTTGTCAGCATGATAACTTGAGATATACTTTACACGTGAACTTCAAATTTGGTATGTGGATTAATTGTTCTTGGTAATCCGAAGAAGCCTATTGCATTGGGGGTCGAAAGATCCAGGGTCAAGGTCACAGTGGCTAAAACAATAGAAATCTTGTATTTATTCTGAGATCATAGGGATTCGGGATTAATTCATATAAAACCTACAGAAGATACTAATGCTGTCAATGAACGTTCCATGTGACCAAGGTACATGTAAGTTGATGTTAAAAGAGTGGTGTTATGTCATGGGAACAGTCATGGTTGCGGGGCATTTGTTTGATCTACTCTACTTTAAAAAAAAAAAAAAAAAAAAAACCATTATGGTTGTAAAAACAAATTGGCTTTAAAAAGAAAGAAGAAGATTTTCTAGTCAGTACATTAATGCTGCTATCTGGTAAATTGATCTCTCTTTGTAGAAAATGGACATCATCAAGGAACTTAACGACAAAGTTCAAATTGGTAAGTACTGATGGCATAGCAATCATGTTGAGTACAGCTTACACTAACCACCATCAAATTGAAATTTGAAACTTAAGTTTATCATGTGGAAGAGTGTGAACCGATTGTGGAGACTTTCCATGTACGTGTACCTGTTGAACTTGCCCTTCTACTGTGTGTGAATAAGGGCTGTGCATCGGAAGTAACTTTACTTAGTAACTTCTCAGACAATGAAACAGAATGGTTTTGAACGTCATTTGTGGGGAATTTTCAAAATGAAAATCGGGCAACATGGGAAAACAAAACCTATTTCACATTTATGATGCTCACGAAAGTTGCAGTTTACAACGTAAAGCTATAAAGCTCACTGTACACACTTGTATCTTGCTGTATGAACATAACGGTCATTAAAGGAATGGCATTTATGAACAATCTGAACAGCAACTTCCAAAATTTGAATTTTAGGGTTGGGTTTCTTTAACGGGTATCCGGGTATCCGTGTTTTTTTTTCAATCGGGTACCCAGTTCCCGTGTTAATTATTTGAATTGCAAAGTCGGGTACAAGTTGAGACATTCACAACCTACGTGTGTTTGTGCACACAGTTTGCAAATTTGAGTGTCAGTTTAAAAACTTTTTCTTTGTGCAATGAAAAATATTTGGGAGCAACTCATGTTTTTGTCTTATTTATTGTTGTGCAGTTTATGCAGTACATGAAGTCCCACAGCTTCTGAGAAAAGAATCCAGAGATTTCTGCCTTCTGCAAACCAGCAAAACTGAGGTATGGATGGAGTTTTTGTTCAACCCTAACCAAGCACAACCCAACAAGATTCTCAATGTTTGATGCAAGTTTAAAATTTGGGAAACACTGTTTGTGGTACTAACTCATCAGAGAAAGCACCTATAAAAGCTTCAATATTAGGTTTTACCCTTCACCGACGTATAAACACTGTATACTCAGTGTATTACCTTCCGAGTGAAAGTAGGAAAAAATCATTTGGGTGGGACTCGATCCCACGATCTCCTGCTTTCTAGTGCAGACGTCTTACCACTCGACCATCGAGCTTGCGGGATCGGTATACAGTGTTTATACATCGGTAAAGGGCAAAATCTAATGTTGATTTACATCACCGCGACGCATATTCCATCTTGTGAATAGTTTAATTGCGGTACCTGCTGCTACATGTACATTAGATTCGAACCAGCCCACCAATCCTGCATTCTCGGTGGTCGAAGGGTAAGACATCCGCACTAGAAAGCAGGAGGTCATGGGTTCGGGTCCCACCCGAGTGATTATTTTCTAACTTTCACTCGGGAGGTAACACACTGAGTATACAGTGTTTATACGTCAGTGAAGGGCAAAACCTAATATTGATTTATATCACCCCAATGCAATTTCCGTCTTATGTTATGTATCCACTCCGTTCACAAGTACCCCCTCACCGGCAAAGAAGGAACAGTTGGGGGTGACCGACCGACGCCATCTTGCCTGACTGTAATTCATTTGCCGTGAAGCGCGGCCACTGCGTGTAGGCCTACATAGTACAAATCCCTGGTGTACGTGCGTCACACACAAGGAACGGTGCGCGTCAACCAGCGAAATGTCCCGCCCATGGGACGTCGTTGCTAGGTAAAAGGGCGCCCTCTTATGTCGGTGCACAGAGCCCATAATAGCTTCTGCCTCTTTTTGAATCCCTCTCCTTTCAAACTCATCAGGGTTCGTCACACATCGTAGCCTTCACGTCGGCTAACGTAGCCGAGTGTCCCCCATCAGACACCATCCCCCGGTCTCACGTTCTGCCCAGCGGATGGATTATTGAGCCTAGGCTTGACGACAGGGGGTCACGCTTATCCATGGTCACGTACATAGTGCAGGTAAGTCTTGAATAAGGATATGGGAGGTAAAGTCAAGTCTGTCACAAGCCAATGTGGCCATCAGGCCAGCGTATATCTCCGGTTTCCTTGGCATGAAACAACTGAAAATATTTCTATTCCCCCTGGACGGGATGCTAGTCCATCGCAGGTTACTCCCCAGCTAATGTCGGTACCCATTTATACTCATGGGTGGACACAGGCAAGTGAGGGTGAAGTGGCTTGCCCAAGGACACAGCCATATGGCCAGCAACTGGATTCGAACCCCTGACCCTCTGATCACGAGTCACGAACCCTAACCACTAGGCCACACTCCCCCGGGAAGTTTCCTAGCAAAATATTGTTGTTGAAATGGCTTTACTCCGTGGCATGTTAGTTGTCCCCTGATGGATGCCCCATTGCAGTGTGGCATGTGTGACACAAAAGACCTTCCAGAGATAATGTAGCGATAATATTATTTGTATCTGTTTTCTTTTGCATAGGTGAGCATAGGTGGCAAGAGCGTGCCGGCTAGCTTCGTAAATTTCCTGTCCAAGCGTGTGCCTCTCAGCGTCGCGTATCTTCGCCTCTTCATCGAGTCAGAGAACATGTAATTGGATTCTAAACTACAGCCCATCTGCAAGAAGTTTGGTATCAATATTTACACAGTTAGAGTCCATATCATTTGCTGATGACCACAATCTGCGTAATTTGCGGCCTTTTGGGGCCTTTTAATGTTCATTTTCTTAAGGTCCATTAAGGACAGTTAAGTCTTTGAATGGCTATTTATCCCAAAGTTGAGACCTATGTCAGATTACTGAGAATTTGTAGTATTGATCAGTAAACCTGAATATTTTAACCGTTCTAAAGTGGATTATAAAAATAATAGGTTGAATAAAAAGTTGACTTGAGACAGATTGGAACCTGTACCAACACGGTACCAACTAAGCTATCCAATGTCCTTGTTCCTGGGACAAGTATCACTTCATGAACAAAGACACCAAAACAGTTGGGACGCCACCAACATACTTCTGGATATCTCAGACGATTGAGTACCTGTATGTTGTTCTGGCAGGTCACAGGCCCAAATCTTGCTCCCGTCAATTTCTTTGTTCCAACGAATATTGTTTAAAAGTGAACCTAGTGAGTATAGTGGTTTATTTGATGCCTCGAAGAACTGAAAATATGTGTTTCCTTCTTGACTTCTCTGGTACAAACAAACTGTGCCAGAGAGTTACTGGGTGTTTCTATTGAAATTTGATCACTGAAACTTAGTTTTATATGATGCCAGGTTGCAAATGTTTTGCGATGACAGGTCGCAAATGTGCAAATGCGAAATATGCTCAGAACATTGAAGCCTCAGAACATTTGCAAAACATTTGACATCGAAATTTGTTCTGAGAATGACTGACATGTCACAGAGATGCAAGATGTTTATGGTAAAGTAAAAGAAAAATGTAGTAAGAGAGATTTAACGCTGATCTACGTTTCCATGACCTTGTTTATTGATCTGGTATCAGCAAATGTGCAGTTACCAAATATGCTGTGGTGCTTATTTGTAATTTAATTGTTAAAAAAAAACTATGCCAATCATTTCTGTTTATGCATTTTCAAATCAACTTGTGTTTTTTTTATTGTTATCCAAATTAATATTTGGTACAAAATTGGCCAGTTTTCCTTTTAATTGTAAAGTCCAGCCACAATTGAGACAGCGGTATTGTCTGTGTGATGTCCAAATCACCTTTATAGCTTTCTGAGAAGTCAATCTAGAGATTGTTAATGAACAATTCAAACAAACTGTCTAAATTTCTGCACAAATTTCTTGAAATATTCTAGAAAATCATGAATTTCTGACAACTCTTTTACCTCAAACGTTTGGTGAACAAACATGACCAATATCTCCTAATGTTAAAAAAAAAGTGATAAAGGTAAAATGGAATTGGTCAAAAGATTTTTAGAAAAAGACTTTAAATTCAACTTCTCTTGAAATTCAACTTCTCTTGAAGTTGTTCTGGCGATCTGAAGTTTGATAAAAAAAAGTCATCAAAAGTCCAAGGCTTAAGGACAAGTTCAACAGTACATATGCTTTGGCTTAACTGATTCAGCTGCTCATAATGCTATTATAAACAGTTTGGAATCAAACAGGAACTGAAATATGATATTTTCTTAAGCCAAGTGCATCCCGCTTTGTTTTGAATTGTTGAAAGTAAAGTTTAGACCATTGCTGAAAGCACAGGATTAGAAAGGGATTTAAAAGTCAATTCCTTGACTTCTCAGTTGTAAAATATGAATATATGGCTGTTTTATATCCAGTATCTTTGAAAAACCTGTTGTACATAGAGTAACACATAAGTCAAAAAACCTATAAGCCATCAATTAACATGTAAATATATTGTCAAGGCATGCACATTGCACAATGCAAGCAAAGCATGAGATTGTCTCACACAAAATGAAATTTGGATTCCTGTGCGTATGTATAATCTCATAGACACAAGGACCATTAAGAAATTGAATTAAAATAGATGGTGCTAATAATGCCAAATGTAGTAAAGATGTTGCATGCTTTTTAATCCAAAGAAACCTTCATGCCTAGTTTAAAGGTTCATGTTGAAAAAAGGTTTATAAGCAAAGGATTAGGCAGAAACTGTGTCATTTCATTTGCAGTATGGCTGAAAGTTGCATGGCCTGAGTTTATGAGTAATGATTATCCCCTTATTTATACATTTGATGTATAGGCGGGCTGTGTAAAATAAAGAGGTGCTCTGTGATGGTGTTGTGGTCGGCAGGAGAGGGGCTAGCAACAGGGCTTTGTTGTATCCCAAATTTTGTCAACCCCCCCCCCCCCCAAATCAATGTGAGAAATATATGAAATGCAGCAAAGCTTATTGAATGGCCAAAGATTAGCCATTCCCAAGAACAAGTGGTCAAGAAAAACCAACAGGATGGACCATTTGCAGAAATAAGACTTGTCATAGCAACATGAAATGGAAATGACGAAACTGCTTGTAAGAGTGTCTTTAATCAATTGGCATGTTGTGTGTTTGACCATGGAGGTCCTACCTCCATGGTATGACCTAGGAAAATTGGCTTTTGTGCAATTTTGCTTGGAGTATCACCTCGGTATTAAAACCACGCTTTGTCAAGTGTCTTCCTCTTGTGTTTTTGAGGATGAAATAAATGTCTTTCTATAAAAAAAAAAAAGTACTGTTTAGCAGTGTCACTTTTATTTCTTCCAGGTTTGTTGTTTTTCTAATTGATTTTGAGGATGGTATGCACACATTGTACGGTGGATAGTTATTATGGGTACCAACAGTTTGTGGGGACACGGAAAGTCCTCAGAATTCAGTCCGAAATGTTTCTAAGGGTAAAATCTTTAGCTCATTGCATCATTGCCTGTGTTAACACAAGGAACAGTCTTGAATTCTTGTTGCTACTTAAAAAAAAAAAAAGTTAATTGCCGAAAATAAGTGGCCAGGCATTGAATGGAAACACTTAGAGTGAAGTTTAAAGGGGTCATGAAGTGAATCTTTCTTAGGAAATAATTCTGTGCAACTTTCTACTCTTAAAATGTATGAAAACCATTTGACATCCCTTTTTGGTTTTGATTTTATTAAAAAGTGCACCTTTTTAAACATTAAACAATTTTCCATGCTTTTCTGGGCAACTGAGGGCGCTGTTGCTGTGATTTTTTTTCAGGAAGACACTCTTCAGTTAAGGGGTTTTCTCAGTTTTCAAGTCGTGAACCCCAAATTTTCTCATCGAAAACATTTGCGAGAAAAGATTGCTCACTGGTCTATACTACTGTCATGTGTACTGACAATGAATCACCAAAGAAAAGAAAATTTACGACAGCGATATATCAACAATTCTGGCAACTTTTGACGCTGAAATAGCTGTAACATTTTGGTTTTTGCCAGCAATGACAACACACTTTTGCTTTTCATGAATATAGAAATGTGCATTTAGCATAAAAACCAAAAATCACCAAAATACCCTTGAAAATGGCAAAACGAAAATTGAAAATAGTGTTAAATGGGCCACAAAGGTGTATTTTTATTAATGCATCACAGGTTTCTCACACATTCAAGACTCATTCTATTTCTAATAAAAGAAAAATTCAATGTTAATTTTCGAATTCTTAATTCCCCATTGCTTAAAGTTGGTTACACGTGCTTTTTGGGTGTGGCACCTTGAAAAATAATTTTTCAAATTAAATTGATAATTTTCTAGCATTAAAATTAGTTATGAACTTTCCAATGAGTCATCGCACAAAAACAAATCTGCCCATGACATGTAATCGATTAATTAATTTCAAATTTTGAGCGGGACGCTCCTAATTCGTTCTGAGTGTGCGCAACTGACTTCTGAACTAGAGCGCGCCATTTAATACCATTTTAAAAAATGTATAAAGGTCTGCAAAAATAAACAAGCAAAGTTATTTTTTACAGGACATTATATTCCTTTAAATTTCGTTCGAAAAGGATAATCGAAATTTAAAAAAAAAGCACTTGTATCAGAAAAAATAAATGTGCTTGTTTCACTTCCCTTTTCTCGTCCTTGAAAAGTTTTATTTCGCAAATAAAGTGGGCGTGGTGTGGGGAAAATATTTTCAACTTTTAATTGTGGGTACCGGGTCTTGCGGAAAATCAACTATGCAGTAAGAGGAAACATTTTCAGCAAAAGCGACATTTGATTGGTTGTCAAATTGCAATTACACGCCAATTCACCGAACCCTTTCACTTATTATTGGTTTTGTTCAAACACCACAATTATGCGAGTCTAGCGCCATCGTTTATGTTTACGAGAAGTTATAATCAAACACCCCTTGCAAAAAAATGGTTCCGGCTTGCTCGCCCGTCTGGCTAATCTTGTACCCTGTCTCCTCCGAAAGAATCGTTTATAAATTCAACCCGATTTTTTTATGTGCCGGTCGACCAGACTAAAAGTCGAGAAAAGGAAAAACAGGTGAGCCGCCGAGGCCCTGGATTCTATTTTTTACCACGAAGAAGAAAATCCTGTTTTCTCTGATTTCAGAATGTCGTAACCTCTTTGGAATTTATCACGAATTTCTTAACGGATAGCTGTTCAACCTGAGTGAGTGTTTTGCTGTGGATTTATTTGTCGCATAATAAGGATTTTATCGTAAGTATGGAGAGTTGAGATGAGCAGATGAGAGGTGCAAGCTGTGCAAGTTAAGTTAGCCGACCGGCCTAGTGCACGGTGATGCTAGGATCACTGATTATTCATTGGATGTGGTTTGTCATGTTGTTTGTGTACAGCGTGTGCAGAGGGAATCGCGTACTAAGTTCTTCTAGTATGACTAGGGGAAAGATTCCCACATTTGGCCGTCACTTATTTTTCCCTTAAAAATGACCTATCACTATCAGCCATCAGAAAGTGATAAATAATCCTAAAAAGTCGAAATTTGCACTGTGACAAATTTTGAATTTTTACTGAGAAAACACAAATTTTCAGGCCAGTCCCATAGGGTTTGTGCACGGGCGAAAAGTGATGGCCAGATATGGGAATCTTTCCGTACTAGGCCTAAATACTGAATAAAACTTCGCAGCCCAGCCCAGACATGCAAGACTAGACTGGAGTCAGTCATGTCAGTGGTGTCAATAACAACGCCGCTCCAGCCTCACGTAAATACACTCAAAATTGTCACGGAGCACGTCATTTTGCCATTATAACATACAAAGCTTTGTGTAAATTCACATGAGTGTAGGATCTTGCATTGCCAAGAAATTTGAGGGAAAAAAACGACCTCAACACAACATATATATGTACGAGCAAAACTTTTGATTGTCTGAGGCCACGCACGGTACGCTGGTACTCCGAGTCATGCACACGCATTATGGTAGGAGCCGTCTGGGTACCCGTACAATCTTGTGCGTCGAGTGTTTCTATGCGACTCTGGAGCGTGGCTAAGCCATGTTCATGGGTCTAGAGTCAGAGTAAACAATTGTGATGAATCCAAATCGTTACAGCAGCCATATCGCAATTTTCAACTGCTACAGTTACGTCATTGCAAAAAACCCATTGCGAATCTATATCAAGTTTCTAACTTCCCTTCCTATCAGAGCATTTTGGTAGCTCAATTTGTTTAACATTTGACTATTAAGTACTATGCCGAAGGTCCTAGGATCGAATCTGCGCCGTGAGAATTTTTCTTTCCCTTTTTGTTCTTTCAATAGTTTCCTTTTATGTTTTTAATCAAATGATCCTCTTTTTATTAATGTTTTCTTTTTTTTTACTTAGTGATCCGTGACTCTGGAGGATTTTCTTAAAGGGAAATAAAAATCTAGAACATATTGAGTTTAGAAAGAATGTTGCATCCAGACGCCACTTTTTTTCTATATACCGGTATATAGGTCAGTCTTTGCAAAAATGTTGACAAGATGTGAATCCGGGACTGAGAAACATAACCAACTTATAAGATGGAATTTTGCGTCGGGGTGATATAAATCAAACTTAGTTAGAGCATGCACTTTGTACACAGCCAGAGAAGTGGCGTCTGGATACTACATTATTTCCTTGAGTTGAGGTGATATTCTGGTTCAAAGCGCCGAAGATCCTGACATTGAACACTGTCAGGTCAGGGAACAAGACGGTTGACTGCCATAATGATAGCAACTACATTTAAAGGGGCACTAGGTCCTGAAATCCCTGAAAATTTTATGTTTTGGATTGTTCACTTAGCCTTTTTCAAACATCTGGTTGAACAGAAACCAACCTAATGTCTTACCGTTCACGAGAAATCTCATTCAAAGCGTGTTTTGTAGCCCAATTGGGCTGTTCCAGGACCTAGTGTCCCTTTAATTTATGTTACTGGACGGAGCTGGCAGTGATGCCAGTGTTTCTCAAAAGCTATGGGAATGGGAAAGATTTTACTATCATAACCCCAAAATGAAGGTGGCCACAATGCTGAACAAAAGTTGTTTGACAGCACATCGCTGATAATGCTGATAAAACGTAAACTGTACACTTTTTACAGTCAGATCTCAGACTTTGATTGAAAGTGGAAGGGGAGTACGAATTGGTAAAAGGAGTCGGCCCTAGCCAAAGTGGGGACTTAACGGTCATTTTGATGAATGTATTTTGGAAGAAAATCTCTGATGGGCTGGAAGTAAACACGACCTTAAGTCCTCTTATAGGTTGCTCTCAAATGGAGCCATCTCTGTAGGAGAACTGCAACTGCGTATTTTACGCAATCAAGCACGCATAGCGCAGTTTTGAAAATGTTCCAAACACTCGCGCTTGTTGCTCTAAATGTGTTCGACGCAGCCGATGCGCATTATGCAAGTTGATGCTCAAAATGCCGATGCACGTGGCTGGTCTGTAGGAAAAGATGTGATTTTAGACTATTGTTTGATCAGTCACAGACAGTCACAATTTTCTTCAGCATCCCCTGCCCTGCGTTTGTATACAGACAAAATGACAGACAAGTAAAAAAAACCCAAAAATGACAGACAAGTAAAAAAAAACCCAGTCAGATCACATGTGTAAACAAACACTGTGACTGGTCAAATTCTGTCAACAGAAAAAAGAGGTTACAACTGGTAGAAAATGACCAGGCTAGCGCGAGCTGTGCTCAGGTAGTACGCACACACTCAGGGGTCCTTCTTAGGGTTACCAAAATGCGCGCGCGCCTTGTCTTTAGGAATGCGTGTGAACGCCAGCATGGCACCACCGCAGAAACGGCTTCTAATTCTGGTCGCCGAATTCCACTACAAGGGACCGGGTCCCAGACAAGACATACAAACGCACATGTCATTCAGTTGACCTCTCTACATGAACAGTTACTGTGTACATGTATAAATTTCTTTTTATTTTTTTTCTCCTTGTTCCCTATTCAGTGGACCTATGCTACCACCAGTGTTTAACCCTGTGTCTTGGGGCGTGGACTGTCGGAGAGTAGGCCTTTCATCATTGTCTTGTTGAGGATGGCTCATTGGCGGAGGGTCAATGGCGTGGAGGAGGATGGGGACAGTGCGTGTGGTCGGCACCCCCACCAAATCGTCTACAAGAAGGTACATCTTTAAACAAATTCCCAACACCTACCCCCATTAGATCCTGAACCAATTTTTAAGGGGTGGGGGGGGGCACAGAAATTCGAAGGGGCGACTGACTATTGCAAAGTATTGCAAATTCAAAAAGGAAGGGGGAGGGGCTATAGGGGCTTTTCCTCATTGGATGCTACATGAAAGGTCACTTTTCCGCCTTCTTTCCTTTCTTTCTTCCAATTAATATTTAATCCTAACCGCCCTGAATCCTTCAAAATCCTTATTGCCAAAGTGGAGGAATTTGGAGGATTGAGGTTACGTGGCGAAAGTGCGTTACTGATTTCGTAGGATGCACTTTGTCAAGGTCTTGGGCTGGACCTTGTGTTGTTTTTGCTCAGCCATGTATAAAATATATATTATGCTTGAAATCCTCCGTACTGCTCCAGGATGTCACTGGCCAATCCTCGACATATTGACAGTCACTGCCGCAGGATTTTGCAGGATTCAGGCAGTGGTCACCCCTCCACTGACCATATTCAAGAAATAATGGAGGAATTTGCAGGATTGAGGCTATATGTTACATGTATATTTTCACGAGGCCAATCAGAGGATTTTGCACGATTTAGACTACATCCCAGCAAAAAGGCTTAGGGAGTTACGGTTTATGAATATGTGGAGGGAATGGGGGTGAGTAGTTTACATCACGGCCCCCACCCCATCTATTTGCTTGGGTACCCAGGAGGGTTAAGACATTGGGCCTTGTCCAACTGTTTTACCATCTCCGAATAAAACAGATGTGCTCACTCATGTAAGTGCATTTCAAGACATGTGAAAAAGGCTCTCCATGTGTCAGCTCGACTGCATTTTATCGGAGTAATCTTTGTTCCGATCTGACTCACTGTCTTCCTCTACCCCACACCTTTTTTAAAAAAAAATTAAAAGGGAGATCAGACAATTTTACAAAACGAGAATAAAAAAAGAGAAGTTTAGAATGTTGAGATTAGGCCTTTTATAATCATGTTCTAGAGGGCTTGTTGTTTCAATCTCAGGAATTTTAAACTTTCTCAAAGACAAAATAAAAATAAACTCATTCCTCAGATTAGCGGATTTCCTTTTTTTTTTCTACAAGTTCATCTTGTGTGCCATAAGAAGACCTTTGAAAATATTGCAACGAGACTTGGAATTTCATCTTCTTCTTTTTTGTGACTTCCCAGAAGCATGCCTAGTGTGTCATTCAAAACAAAATTCCTGAAATTTGAATTTTTAAAATTTTGACCTTGTTTACCGTGGAGTATTTTTCCCTATCAGTGGGCATGAGAATGTTGGGCGTAATCGCGGGATCTTCGCTGTCCATTGATCGCCTCAGAAAAGTGCGATCAGTGGATCCTGCAGGAATTCTCCGATTTTACTTCCCTGTTTCACAATAATCCTCCCGACTTAGAAAGAAAAGGTGACCAACTGATGGTGGCGCAATCGACTGATTGTGGCACGATCGACCGACAGCGCAGCGCAATGGACTGATCGCGCAGCGGGATGGACCAATTGCGCACATCTACCGATCGCGCCCAAAAAGAACAATGTTTAAATTGTACGTGTAGATACATAGAAAAGTGTTTCCTTCATTGTATGAGCTCGGAAACAATAAGTGGATGCATGTCATGCATGTTGTCGACCCTTTACTCTTAATTCTTAGAACTACATGTTGCTGCAGTCTGTTTTCCTGACGAGTCCTTTGACTGGTTAGAAAATCCAAGAACAGTTGAAATAGGGTTTGCTTGATATCGGTCATCGGTAGATGTGCACGAATTTTAAGTAGCCTGCACTAACGTTGCTGGCAAAAATGAACCTTTGTCCTACATGTATAAGATGGGCAATTCTACCAGAATGTGGGCGTGGCCTGAAAAGTAGAAACCATGGCGGAAGGTACACATATGTTTATAACAGTTTTGGAATGTCTGAAATTTGTACCAAATGTTTGTGTTGTCACGCCATCGAGAAAGTGGCTGCCACTGAAGGCTATTTTCTTGGAGGTTGTAAGGAGTACATGAAGATGGAACTTTCTCAAACCAACACCGCTCACGACACTTCTTGAGCAGTCAAACCAACCACAACTTAAACAGACTAGTAGGAACCTTGATAATTAGCCAGAAATGCACCTACTATATCATCAGGAAAAATCTTTCAAAATCTTCAAAGTACCGGTGAAGCATGAATTTAGGTTTTATGATATACGGACTCATTGGTGGTATTGCGCATGCTCATGCATAGATAATTAGGAGAGGGACCGGTCACATGAGAGGGTTTAACCAATAAAAGGGAAAAAGAGTCCGATTTTCATACGAGTCCGATTTTCATATGACACCGGTACATGTAAAGGTACCGCTACATGCAACTTGTATACATGTACACAGAATGAGCATGATGGATGGTACAAAGCAAACCTGTGAAACTCTCTAGCCTGAAATGATATCGTTTGGAAGAAAACAATCGTTGAAGGTGATTTGTTTTTGAAAAGGCACACTTCTTTACACGTGCATTAGCAACATAAACGAGACCCCCAAAGTACATGTACATGTATGTTTTCTCTACGTTGTCTCAAATGTAATACTCACTACCAGTAGCTTAAAGTTGTGCTGGTTAGTTGATTATGCAATTTATACATGTACATTGTACATGTATGTGCATCTTAACTAAGATTTTGAACAATTTTGTTGCTTCCAACCCTTAGGCCAAAAAAAAAAAGTCTCCGGTTTCTGGTATGGAGCTTGCCCAAAAAGTGGTGCGGCGACGCGGCTTTTTTTTTTTTTTTACCTGATTTTTTTGCTTCAAATGTAGGCTGATGACTGCAAATGGTGCCCGACTAAGCTTAGTGCAAATATATGGGAGTCCAGAGAGGCCACATAAAGCTTATTCTCGACCATAACCCAATCTAAAAACACGTTAAAATTGTGCAGCAGCAGGATTCCAGTCAAACAAGTGAGTTTGGCGGTTTTGAGACATCATCTTTCATTGAAAAAAAACTTTGTCATTTTGCCGACGCGCATGGCTACGGCGACGCGCGCGCATACCAGAAACCGGAGACTTTTTTTTTTTGGCCTTAACATGCTTAAACACACACTTAAAAGAGAATATGTACTATACAAAATACATGTACATGTATATGTACATGTGCGTACGTTTGCAGAAGCTCATGTCAATAACGATGACTCTTTTCATATTTTGAAGTGTGTCTCAAATACATACAATCAATTGGTTGTCAATAATTGTAACCATCTCGAGCCTGTAAAATGCAATTTAGATTTGTATACATGTCATGCATGTATACGAAGCATAATGTTCGTACTGGTACATTTGTTCATTCATTACACACTGATTATCTCAATGCCTACATGTACATTGCCTTGCATTATGTATGTTTTGAGTGCATAATGCATGACTTGCCTACAATGTTCGTCTCTCTTAATCTGTGTGACAGATGTGACAAACGATCAAATATTTCCCAGCTATCAAATTATTCAGTACAGAGATTGCTTTAACCAGTATTCAATGTCAGTGGATTAGGGTAATAGCACAGCAATAACGGAAAGATTTGCTGTTGCCTGGAAAATATTTATGATGCACGGTACCAGCATTTTGACGATTATGCAAAACAAATGTTCATGTAAACTGTACTGTGTCCATGCATGTACATGTACATGTACATGTACCTGTACAAACCTTTCCCTACATTGTTCAGGCATATTGAACAACTTTTCTCTTTTTTTTTTTACCAAACCGCGTTTATCATTAAAAATTTAGAAAAATTAATCAAGTTCTGAAAAGCTTGGAATATCCAAGAGTTTGTTGCAACTTCCCAATTAAGTTATAAACTCTTTTACATCCGATGATTTTGTAAATTCAGGACATATTCTTTAAATGCCTTCTATCTATCTCCAAGAATGATTATGTCAAGCAAAAGACCTGCCAAGCAAACACAAAATAGTTTAAGTCAATTTTAATGTTGTTGTTGTACTAAAACTGGCACTTGTACACACATGAAACTGTGCCATTAACTGTGCGTGGTTTCTGCATTGAAACTTAATCGACACTGGCACGGAGTGGTGCTGGATTGAATTGGTCAGGAATCGAAAAACCCAATTTTAGCCCTAACGTTCTAGCCATTACTTTGGGATAAATGAACTAGGAGTACCACAGAATACTACAAAAATGATTCATGATCCAAATACCAAAAATACTATGAATGCTGTGCCCACTTATGCTAAAGCACTGCATACTACCGGTATAGTTTACTACCAGTAGTATTTTGGTAGCTTTAGGTGAGGTTAAGGTTAATGATACTTGTATTGCAAATTGCACAGGTCGGGAACACCAAAAATGTCACACTTTTGGACCCCACATTTATGGAATGACCCAATTACATAGTGTACATTGTGCATGCGTGCCAAAGTTCTATTTTGTACCAGCATATGAATGTATGTGACATTGATACACTCTTGAATAAATATTTGATTTGTAGATTAGTTTCCTGAAATGATAACTTTCTACACTTCGCCAAAATTAACCAGTCCCAACATTTGAAAAGAGTGTTGGTGCATATTCCTAGTGGGGTTACTGAGGAAACATGCCACGCCCCTCATTTTGTTTGACTCAGTCTGAAATCCTCCAATTTGCATAATTTTTCACACACCCAAGGGAGTCGGGGTTAAAGGACACTGCGTCCTGGAAAACGCCCAATTGGGCTACAAAATGGGTTTTGAATGAAATGATGTTAATCGGAAAGAGCATTCAAAATATAAACATCTAGGCCTATGCAACCTTCCTTTAAAAGCTGGGCGTTTTTTGTTACTTTGTGTGAGAACGAATTTCGGGGTCCACTTTTAATTTGTGACCCCAAAAAATCAGGCTGTTCGTGCTAGTTGTGATTTCAGCTGTAAAGTGTTCCCCTTTTGTGGACGTGTTCCCCTTTTGTGGACGTGTTCCCCTTTTGCGGAAGTGTAAGAAACCACATTTGTGCATTGGTGCTGTGT